CTTATCAGGGACATATATACGTATATTTATATATTTTAATAGTATATATAGGTCCCTGGCCTTATGCACCGAAAAAAATCTGTTCACAATATAGGATATCTTATCAATTTTCAATTAAAAAAAAGAAGAAAATCAATCAATCAATTGAAAAAGTGTAAAGGAAAAACATTAGTTTAGTATGTTAATTATTTAGTAGGAATTCATTTTCAAAGAAACTGGGGGGATAAGCCGAGCCATATGCCTACATAACGATCGATAAAAATCAATAAATTCATTTTACAAAATTTTCACTTTTTGTTGAATTAATGTAATGCTTATTACCATTTTCATATAAATTTGACAAAACCTGAATACTGTAACAGCGAAAATGATTCTGATTAACACAACAAAATGGCATCACGCTCAATTTTCACAGAAACTGACATAAATTGGATGATATAACTACATTTTTTAAATAGAGTGGGTCATCGTACCATTTTTTTGAGAACGATTAATGAAAGGCAATGGAAAGATGTTGCTTTTTACACTTGCAAAAATTTGGTATGAAGACCCACTCTACATAAAAAATTAAGTTAACTTACTTAAATTTTCACCGTGGTCTTAAAAAATTCTAAGTCCAAAAACGCTTGCTAAATATAGAGAACTGTATGCTATTTAAATGGACATGTTAGTGTGACTCCGTGGTCTAGTGGTTAGCGAGGAGCTCTTTAAAGGGACGTTTATTGAGGAAAGTGTTCGAGTCATGCTCTGATTTTTTTTTTTTTTTTTTTTTTTTTTTGATTTCTTTGGTTTTAATTTTGTTTTACTTTATAAAAAATGTCTATAGGAATAACATATTTTTCACTGGAAATAAAATATATACATGTAGTAATGAACTTATTTACAGTAAATTATTTAAAATGCCGGATAAAAATTATAATAGATATTTGAATACTTTTATTCCCGTTTTATTTATTTTAAATAAAAGCGCTTCTAGATCACCATTATCATTATATACGATGTTAACATTTTTATAATATCTCCACAATAAGTGTAAACACTCAATATGCAGATTAATTAATAGAAGTCCTTACCCATGTTAGACATTTGTGACAGTAAATGAAAGTCAACTGTTTAGCTTGTTTAGAATATAAATATCATTTTGAAAACTACAGTAAACATTAAAATGCTTAAGTAAATTCGAACAATTGAGAGATTTTTTCCAATAAATGTTCTTGCATAGCCGAAAAATGGGCATGGGCACATGACTCGTCTTATCCCCCCAGATTCTTTATCCCAGACTGCTTCTTTTTTTCTATTCTTTAAATTCTTTTAAAAAAAAGAATAATTTGTAATATTATTAGTAATTTACCTCCTTGAAAATATCTTGGGGTGAGGTTGAGGTATTGCTCATATGAATATACTTAGTCACTCCACACCCAATGCCAACTAGAAATCTAGCTTTAGGGGAATTTTAAGCCAGGTGAGAGATTACATATAACAGGAAAGGAGAAAATGTATGGCTGGACCGGGAATCGAACAAGGGAACCCTGCATCACTAGTCAGGTGCTCTACCCACTGAGCTATCCAGACTGATATCCACAGCTCAAACAATTACACTCCACCCTCCTTAAATTGTCTCGTCCTTGAAATCCAGGGGTGGTCAATGGCACCAAATTTTGTAACAGGAAAGGAGAAAATGTATGGCTGGACCAGGAATCAAACCCGGGGACCCCTGCATCACTAGTCAGGTGCTCTACCCACTGAGCTATTCAGGGCGATATCCACGGCCCAAACCATGTTTTTCCCTGGGCACTTTATGGGTGAAGTTGAGCCAGAATGAGCCAAGGGGAGGTAACTACAGAGCTGTGGTAAATATGTTCCAAAGATTTTTTTTACCTTGACCATAGTTTTGTCAGTGCAAATTATATGCAGACACTCTAAGGGTGAAGTTTGGACTAAATTCGGCCAAGGACTTCCTCACAGTGTCAGAGGTCCTGAGTCCACTCATGGCTGTGGGATTCCTGATAAACTTCATTTTTTTAAGGGCTAACTGCAGCAACATACATGTATTTCTGGGAAATTACAAATCCTGATTGGTTTTCTTATCTTAAGACCAATTACATTAAGCCTTTTGGTGACAAACAACTTGTAACATGAGCATTGAGGTGTCCATTGCTACCTTTCTGTTTACATTTTATGTCAACTTTCTAAGTCCCAATTTGACTGGTGCTTCTCAATGAGAGAAGCAAAAAAAATAATGATGTTTGTCAGGGGTTCTATAAACACAAGTGTACTCAGAACCCTTGATGTTGTAAGGATGGGACAAGAGGAAACACTTTATATTCTGGACAAGTGATATCAGAAAGTAGAAAAAGACTAATCGCTATAAGGTTACAGCTTATGCTTTTCCAGTATTTATTTCAAAATAAATCATACATGAATATGCTGATAAACTAATTTTATTCACAGCACTGTATTCTATAAGATATAGGATACATAACATATGAATACATTTTACATTAAATGCCCAGAGTAAGAATATTAAACAAAAAATAAACAAATATTGCCAAATACAAAATACCCACTGCTATGAAAAAGATGCAAAATGGACGGAAATGATCCAAAAAGAGAAAATTATGCAAAATAGCCTCTCCAAAGTAGTTTAAAAAGACTTGCTACTTATACAATTTTTTTATGAACACAACTACATGTACTAGCACCTACCTAAATAATGAAGTTATTTGTTCTTCATAAACTGTATCAAAATTCAAAACACATTTCTGAAGTGATGATTTTGCACATGAACAAAATGCCTACTATGGAAACATCATTGTTTGTGAGGGACCAATGTTCATGGATTTTATGGGTCACCCCTACCCATAATTTACATCCCCATAAACTATTATTCAGTCAACGTTTTGATTCATTGTATCTTCTGTATAAAGGAGTTACCATGGAATTTCATTCCCAAGAATCGGTGAAATTTTGCTTGCCCACAACATTAGGCCCCATGAATTATAATGGTTCCATAGTAATTACCATTATTTATTCTCACTTCTATGCATCTCATAACATATCCTGAAAATGCATAAAAAGTAAAAAAAAAATTATCCTGAACTTTTTGCTAACTTTTATTCACTAAATATATATGCTAAATATTTCTTAAAGATTCTTGTCCGAATTTCACTTAATTGTAGATCTGAAGCAGCCTCTCATTTATAATATTTACAAAACAACAAGGATAAACTAAATGGTCATGATAAGAACTTCCAAAATTGTTTTCAACAAAGACTTTTTATAGCATAAATGGAATGTCACAAACAATTCACCTGAGTCAAATAAAAAAAAAAAAATCACAAATCAAAAATGAATACAGTATCAACAAAAACAATTTCTGAAAGGCAGAGTTCAACAGAAAAATAAAAACCACACATACATATAGTCTATATATTTCTTAACATATACTTGTAAATATTCATTAATTTCCTTATATAGTATCTATATTAATAACATAGAAGAAAAAAAAAAGGAAAAGATATTTATACATCATAACATGTATATTAAAAGACATACTAATAGCACATGAACACAATAGATGGTTTATGCTGCATCACCTTGCTTACATGAGCTAACATCTTTAAAATGATCCAAAAGAAACTGAACTTTCAGTTATTGCTTACATATTTAATTGACAATGAGTTGCATTACATATTTGTAAAAACTGGTACATGCAGTCAAACTCTGTTATCGCGAACTCTCTGAAGAGACTGAGAAAAAAGTTTGAAATATAAGATTCAAGATAACAAGGTTAAAATGCATAAAGAAAGAGTTGTTGAGACTTCCAAGTGACTTCAACATTCCATGTTCTAGATAATGAAGTTTAACTGTACTTGACATAGAAAACAAACCCAACTAAAATGTAAATTCAATGTAAAGTACTTCAAAGGATCTCAGAATTATTCAAAATCCATTCAATCATGTGTTAGTGACAATAAAATGAAAATTTAAAAATTATCAGTATTAAAATGATAAAGTAAATAATGTTTTACATTCGTTTAGTAATTAAAGTTTACACAAAATGTAAAACTGAAGTCAAACTTTTTTCAGAGCTTAAAAATTATGTATTTGAAAATCAATACATTGTATATATTTGAATTATATATAGATGTATCTTTATATTATTATTCATTTTAATAACACTAACCTTTGAAATTCAGACTCTTTTGAAATAAATCCCAAGGTCATTTTCTTATGGACACTCATCAGTGCACAGGAACATATCAAAAAGTCGGAAGTATGGAACCAGTACACTATACAACAATAAAAGATTGTCCTCTGTACAAACACAGAAAAAAGATGCCACAATAACTTTTCTTGGAAACAAATAAATACTAATTTTTTAGGTTATTTAGGAAAATAAATTCTGAACAGATTGAAAAAGATATATCTACATACATTTATACATTAGCATGTAAATGGGGAACATTTGTGTATATGGAATAATACTGAAAGACATGTACATGTTTAAGGAAATATGTTGGTTTGGAACATCCAAGTTCATTCGCTCATGAACATTCAATCTAAACTACATTTCCTACATACAGATATGCCTACATATTACTTGAATTAATATAAGTCTGACAATATAATAACTCCTTATTTTAAACAAACTACATGTATTTCAATACAATTTACATAAAAGGTAAATATACCATGCTAAATTACTTTATACATGTACCTATCTTAAAATGGGACATGCTTGTCATTCAATAATGTGGAAAGGGGGAGGCAAGTGAACCAAAAAAAAGCGAGAAAGCTTTCCTCCAGAAAAATATGTTGTGAAAAAATAAATCTTTACACCCACAAATAAATGTACCTATATGTATTACAGTAGATGTGCATGACACAAGCAATACTGTCTATTACAATACAAACAAACAACTTACATAACATATATTCATGTATACATAAAGTGTATACATATACTGTCAATTACAAAACATGTATAAGCAAACAGCTTATATAACATATATTTATGTATACATAAAGTGTATACATGTACTATCAATTACAGTATAAGCAAACAGCTTATATCACATATAATTAAGTTTACAAATTAAAAGTGTATACATGCTGACAAGCTAATACTCAGTGCATTCAATAAAATAAGAGATTCGGGTACACATATGGACTTTTAGTTTGCTAATGCTGGAATTCATTGCTCTGTGGCTCCATAGTTAGCCTGGGCTCCTCCTGAATGAACAGGGGAACTTGTTGTCGAACTGCAGATGGTATCTTGTGATGTAAAACTGTCTGTTCCAGTCTTGGATTGAAAGAATGGTGCCCTATCTGAATCAGATAAATGAGTTACTTCCCCTTTCGGTTGAACTTCACCCACATTGACTGTTGCTAAAAGCCATGCTGCAACAAAAACGGTAAAAATATGACATGAAAATTCCTTCTTTCTCTTAGTCTCACACTAGTACATCTTCATGGAAGACTCTCTGAGTCAATAGAATTTTAATGATGTCATTTATGTAGAACTGTCAAATCAGGATGGTGTCATTTCTGAAAATTAGATCGACCGTCAAATGTGAAACCTTTTTTCTATTCTGTTTGATCAATTGAAACTTACAAGGAAAGATCCCAGGAGAAATCTGTTGGACGTACTCTGTAGAGGAGGACGGCTCGCGGACTTCATCTGTATTATTTGCAGCAGACATTTTCCCCAGTGTGATGAAATAAACACCAACAAATGATAAAAAGCACCTTAAAAGTAAATAAAAATATATTAAATTTACTTCTGTTAAAAGAAAGTATTGCATATTACTTTTAATTTTTTTTTTTCAATACAGATTCATGATGTGTGTGTTTCAAATGCTATGCATAATTCAGTTCTGAAATGCTTACCCTATAAGAAACATGAATACCTCCAGGGCATTCATTCCCCAAAATTCCTTGTAGAAAACTATACCTGTAATAACAATGCTGTTAATGTTAAGTCTACCAAAAATCCTATTATTAAATGTAGCTTTGATTACTTAGGAGATGAATTTAATTTTTGAGAATTCATGAGGACATGAACTAAGACGCTTCACGCTTGCATATTTCATGAAGCGCATATGCAGGCGTGAAGCGTTGTAGTTCATGTACCTCATGAATTCTCAAAAATTTAATTCATATCTTATATTTACATTATTTTTCAGATGACTTGGCACATATTTTTGTCATTCAAGGATCATTTTTGAAAAAAAAAGTTTGCACTATTTTTTTACTTCAATCACATCACAATGGAAATATTCTTACTCATCCCACAGTAGTTCATGAGAACATGAACTTTTTTCTAATTTGCAAAGAATCTTAAGGAAAAATATTTGGAAATGTAAATATATCAAAATAAAGAACCTGCAGAGACAGGAAGAAAATTGCTACTTCATATATGAAAATAATGTTTCATTATTTTGTACTTCTTGGTCAAGAAGGGTGTCTTCATTTTAAGCAGAAATTCACCATGTGTGCAAACTATAATATGACAAAGTCAGAGAGGGCCATGCTTAGGGTTGTCATAGGAAGGTGAAAATCTTAATGTTTAGAACAAAATATACCACATAAGCAAGGTGACATGGAACAATAACTAATAAATGCTTTAGAACTACATGTACATGTATTATCTGATTTATCAGTGTTGACACACAGACAGACACCATCGCCAACCAAAGTTTCGAGTCCACAAGCTTCGATCCTCAAAGAGAGAATTGATGTGAATCACTCATGGGTAACCAATGATGACAGAAAGATGGATAGACTACAAAATTAATATGTGTTTCTCTTATGGTCAATGCCTAGTGATATCATTTCACAATTTATAGATGTAATCCTCTTGCAGCAGGATACTTATGTACAAAATTTGAAAAAACATTTTTGTATTATGATGAAAACTGTATCATATCACAACAAAAATGTTTATGGATATACATTTGGACATACATACAGACACATAGTCCAAATGATATGTCTCCAAAATGTATAGGTGTGTTCCTCTCACAGAAAAAGTACTTCTGTAAAGAACTTGAAAAATGTTTGAGTTATCGTGTCACAATGAGTGTTCATTGCAATACTTTCTTGATCATGGATAAACATTCCTACATACATACAGACAGACAAAGCAATACGACAGCAATAATAGCAGGCGTCTTCCTCTCATAGTAAAGTAATTTGAAAAGGTTACACTCAAAACTGTTCAAGTCAATCAAATCACTTCAAAAGTGTTGACAGACAGATGGACAGAGAGACAATGTGATTCCTATAAGGCTCCTGAATTTCATGATCAGGCCTGATTTTCATGCGGGGCCACAACAATTATTGATAAAAACAGCTCACTTAATCTAAGGACTCAGGTGAGCAAAACATTCGTTTTGCTTACTTTGTGTCCTTTAGATAAAAATTTATCTTTTTAATTTAAATTTGTATGTTATTTATATCAAATTCTTACCAGCTATGATTGCACTTATTGTAAAGAAGACAAAATTTGTAGGCACTACCACTGTGGAATCAAAGGCTTTCATTGCTTCATTTAGAAACCTGCAAATGAAACTATTTTAACAATCACATCCTTTTTATAATTCTCAATTTCATTTCATCAAGTAGAATTCAGAATGATAAAAAAATTACTCTTTTTATTCCTACATGTAAAATGATGACCCATTACAGAATACCCCCCCCCCCCCAATTTTCAACACAAACTTACTTAATCTGTGTAATGGCAGTGACAAGCATGACAATCAGCATTATGTACAGAATGGGATAGGAAAACTGAGAAAAGCCATCAAAAGCTATCTGTAACATACTGGACACTGCTTTTGCTGCTATTACGGTAAATGAAGCTGAAAGACAACACAAAAGCTTGATATAAATCTGAGCCGGAAAACTTTTACTGCTCCCATTAAAATCAACAACAAACACATACATGTAGTTGTTTCACAGAGTAGTGTCATGAATGTATATCTAGGAAAATGTCATAAAACAGTCAGCTACTTTGAAATTTGATATATATTGTTGTGTTTTATGTTTATTGGTGAATTGATAAGCTTACCAACAATAGAAGAAATGAGTAAATAAATGATCACTTTCTTCATCTCCTTGAAGTAGAGAAGGAAGAATAATACTCCTAGAATTATGATCTCAACACACTGAAAAAAGAATAACATATACAATAACATATACATTTCACAGTTACAAATATCTTTGAAATTAGTACATATAAACAAAAGACAGTCTTGTGTCACAAGTATTTGTCATCATGAGCAAGTCAGCTGTTAATCTGGATAAACAAAAGAACTATTTTTTATAGTGACAAAAATCAAAATCAACTTTTGAACTTTACCAGTCTATTTGAGATATTATGTGAATTATAATTAAAAAAATCATTTATGAAATTTGACATGCAAGTCAAGCTCATAAAGCAACATCAGACATTTATGAAGCAAAAAAAAAAAAAATACTTACAATGTATATGATGAATGACAGCTGAGTGAGGGCTTCATTTATTTCATCTCCATTTAAAACTTTTTCATTCTGGAATAAATGGATTCACAAACATCATTCACAAATGTTTATATGCATAAACAAGAAAGAAAATAGGAAAGGAATAGCATAAGTTTATTGCTTTTTATCTCTATTATTATACAGCTAGCAAAATGAGGTTCATAGGCCTTCTTCTTCACCTGACTATTATGAGTTTCTCATTTCTTGACCAACTTCGCATCTCCTACATACAAACTATGCTACTTTAATTAAAACCAGTATGTAGACCTTGACATTTACTCTAGGATTTTCTTTGGTATTAAACATCTGGAAGCAAATTATCTTACTTTAGCAGAGAAGGCTATCAGCAGGAAAGCTCCAATAACAGCTAAAGCAGATCCTGTGAAGAATGCATAATGAGACATATATTTCTTAAAACTATCACACAGAGAACAAGACATTCATCATATTACAGTGACACTTTAATTAACAATATGATATTAATTACACTGAATATTTATTTCTATGTTCCACAACCAAAAATGTTTTCTTGAAAATTGAATTTTTCAATATAAATAATGAGATCAGACATACCTCCAATATTGAGCACATATAATAGGTTCCTTGCCTAGATTTAGATTTTATCTTAAATTTTATCTTTTATTTAACAATCATTGGATCTCTATTTACAATTTGCTTGTAAGTCTGAATATTTTACTTTGGCATATAAGGCTTAAATTTTACCATGTTGCAGATTAAACAATATACTTCACAAATTACTTACCAAACAAATGTTCAGCTTTTATTTTCTCTTTTAAAATCAAAGCTGCCAAGAACATATTAGCTGCAAAACATATAGTATAACTTTACAATGCTTACCAGCATAAGTTTGTAATTTTCTGTAGAAACTGTCTTATGAACAAATTGACAACAAAATGTAATACATGTACAATATCAAGTTCCTTCTGATTCAGAATTGTAATGTCGAAAATTTCTTAGGAAGCACGGCAATGCTACAAACCTACAACTGTTGTTGTTCCTAAGGGAGCTACGAGTGATGCTGGTGAAAATCCATATGCTGAAAAATTACCAATCTCACCCAAGCCCATCAGCAGTATCCCGATCCACCACAACGGATCCTTGGTATAGTGGACTTGTGTGGTCTTCTCTGCATTTTTCATGTGACTGTACTTCTGTATTAGAAAAAAATTCATACATTGTTATCATTTTCAAAAGTTAACTGTATGACACATGTTGATCACAGATAAAGACAATAAAAAAACAAAATTATTACTACCAGTAGTTTGAAAATAAATTAAAGGTTTATATCCTTAAGTTTTAAAAATAATTTTGAAATCATTTCTACCTGTATATTCAAAGAAATGCTTATTACAAGATTTCCACCAATTGCTAGAAGACATCCAACCAAAATGTCCTAAAAAACCAATTGTTACAAATATTAACACAGGTTTTAACATACCATACATATATTTTGCAGTACAACCTGTGTACACATACTAGAAACTGTGCAAATGGCACATTTTGTCAATTATTATTACTTTTTTGGGCTTCAAGAAACATAGTTTAGGTTCATTAAAAAAAAATTTCTCAGTGACGTCATAAAGGGTCGACGCGCAATCAATGGATTAAACACGTGCCGTTGAGTTTGAAAAAATAAAATACTTCACACGTTAAAGATTATCTGGCTGAAATACTGTTCAAGAGTACGAAACACTTTTTCCACTCTCCCTCTCTCTGATTTGTATCTGTTTGTTAGTGTAAAGTCGCTTTTCACAATAAAATTTAACAAATAAATAACGTTATTACATTTCAATAATGAAATATGAGGAGCATTTGAAAAGTTCTGTTTATGATAGACTGAAGTCTATGTAAACTATGTCTCAACTAGCAGTTGTGTTTGTTAGTGTGTTCCTTTCATAAAGAGTGTTATAAAAAATACTACCAAGCCTGTTATAAGACATTGATAGTAAATAAACCATTCTAACAGAGACTAACTAGAAATATGTCCATAGGACATGAATGCCCCGCCAAGGGTATATTAGTAATGCAACATTTTAACACAAATTGAGAAAAGTGAGGTCAAGGTCAAAGGAAAGGTCAAGGTCAAAAAATATTGATGCAGTTGAATAGCTTACATCCGTATGTATCAGCATATGACGTTTGATTCAGAAACTAATTTAAGAAAAGTGAGGTCAAGATCAAAGGAAAGGTCAAGATCAAAAAATGTTGATGTAGTTGAAAAGGTTACATCAGTATGTATTAGCATATGAAGTTTGATGAAAATATTATGAATGGTTTCTTTAAAACTGAGCTAAACACTAATTTAAGAAAAGTGAGGTCAAGGTCAAAGGAAAGGTCAAGGTCAAAAAATATTGATGCAGTTGAATAGCTCTCATCAGTATGTATCAGCATATGAAGTTTGACACTAATTTAAGAAAAGTGAGGTCAAGGTCAAAGGAAAGGTCAAGGTCAAAAAATGTTGATGCAGTTGAAAAGGTTACATCAGTATGTATTAGCATATGAAGTTTGATGAAAATATTATGAATGGTTTCTTTAAAACTGAGCTAAACACTAATTTAAGAAAAGTGAGGTCAAGGACAAAGGAAAGGTCAAGGTCAAAAAATATTGATGCAGTTGAATAGCTCTCATCAGTATGTATCAGCATATGAAGTTTGACACTAATTCAAGAAAAGTGAGGTCAAGGTCAAAGGAAAGGTCAAGGTCAAAAAATGTTGATGCAGTTGAATAGCTCTCATCAGTATGTATCAGCATATGAAGTTTGATAACACTATCTTGAATGGTATCTTTAAAACTGAGCTAAAAACTTATTTAAGAAAAGTGAGGTCAAGGTCAAAGGAAAGGTCAAGGTAAAAAATATTGATGCAGTTGAATAGCTCTCATCAGTATGTATCAGCATATGAAGTTTGTTAGAAATATCTTGAATGGTTTCATTAAAACAGAGCTAAACATTAATTTAAGAAAAGTGAGGTCAAGGTCAAAATAAAGGTCAAGGTCAAAAAAATGTTGATGCAATTGAATAGCTTACATCAGTATGTATCAACATATGAAGTTTGATTACACTATCTTGAATGGTATCTTTAAAACTGAGCTAAACACTAATTTAAGAAAAGTGAGGTCAAGGTCAAAGGAAAGGTCAAGGTCAAAAAATGTTGATGCAGTTGCATAGCCCTCATCAATATCTATCAGCATATGAAGTTTGATAAAAATATCTTGGATAGTTTCTTTGAAACTGAGCTTTGAACAGAGCTAAACGCAAAGTGTGACGGAAGGACAGACGGAAGAACAGTAGGACGGAAGACGGACATGACAAACACTATATGCCCCGGCCATATTCATGGCGGGGCATAAAAATACCAACGATTGTTAAAATTTTTAACCTCACAATCACTTAGCTAGTTAGCTGTGAGTCTATGATACTGGGCTTCATTAGGTGCAACATGAGGTGATGCTGACATCAGCAAGATCTGCAGCATACCAGGGGCTATTACAACCAACCCTGGGGGTTGGCACTCCAAGCACATCCACCAGCTTGAGAAAGTGCAAAGAAGAGCAGCACAATTTGCCACAAGGAATTACATGTATCATGAACACCATTCAGACAGCATCACCCAGATGAATAGAGATCCTCACTGGGAACCATTAGATCAGACAATTGAAGATTATATAGACTCGTCTTGCTTTACAAGATCAAGCATGCCTTAGAAGCCATACCTGCAGATCTATACCTAACTCTGACAGCAGGACCAGAAGCACTCATGTGTTCTGGTTACCACATATGTGGACCCACATTGCTAGTAAGCTACATATTTTTTCTGAGGACAATCTGGGACTAGAACTTCCTACTACTTAAGGTTGCCTTAGCACCATCATTATAAAGAGTCCTTCGAGTCCCAGTTGGACACATACACCAGGTGACAGCTGACCAATACCATCTACTAAGTGTGCCAGTTTTAAACTTATATATTGTATATAGTGTCCTACTTCAGTTTTTAGCCTTGTCTGAAGTGCAGCCAAGCATAACACTCTATTAAGAGTTAATTAAACTAGTATGGAAAAAAATAACGTCTCACAACTGCTCAACTATGACTTTACAGCCTATAACACTGCAAAACAGGTCGAGGCAAAGGGAAAATCAAAGAAAATGTATTAAACTGAAAATTCAATGTTTTATGTTCAATATGGAATTCAAATCACTTGTGAAAACAGAATTTTTTTTAATATTTTCACTCATGCTTCCCCCTCACAAAAAATATCAAAAAATCCTGCCCCGCTAGAGAAAAAATTCCATATCCAACTATAAAACGTTGAATATCTTCCATTTCTTCTCTCATTCACATTGTGCACTTCATCTTATGCAAAGTGATTTTTGGATATGCATGGGTACATTAAAAATGACTGGACTTGACAGGAAAGGAGAAAATGTATGACCGGACTGGGAATTGAACCCGGGACCTCTGCATACATTTTTCCTTTCTTGTTACAACATTAAGCAATCCTGTTATCTGTGTATTATATGCACAAAAAGGACTAGTATTAACTTCAAACAATTCATAAAAAGATACTCATAGTGTATGTCATTGATTTCAGCTTTTGCTGTTTTCAGAGACTACAGTGTATCATAGTTGTAAAACAGATGGACTACTGAAAGTAAAGTAAATCTTTACCTGTTTTAGTATTTACATCATATATCGTCAAAATTATGCTATTTCGCACAAAATCTTTTGTCCTTTACATTGAACAAACCTGATATCTTGTTGTGGAATGAGAATCACCAGATACATTCTTTGAAGCCTCTAAATTATCATAGATTTCCATTATCTCATCCTTTCAATATTCCAGCCACTGAACCTAGCAAGGTAGATTCATATTAAAGAATCAATCAAAGAAATTATTAAAACGCAAAAATTCTTAGGAAGTAAATTTCAATGGACATAAAATACAACGTAATTATGTATATTTTCAAGTTTAGTCAGTGTTATATATTACGGAAAAAATATGCACATCTAAAGCAAAAAAGATACAGTTTATCACTACAGCTTACCCATATCGTTTTTTAATGTTTTTATTCTTAAATATTTGTGCATGCGCACATTATTTACATATTCCACATCCGGTGAAAGAAGGTTTTACCGTCTATTCATCAAAGTAAATATCTGGGCAGTGTATGGGAAATAGTGCATCACAAGACATGCCACCACCGGTCACTGTAGCTGCTCAGGCGAGACATACCGCCACCGTGAGTTCACGTTTTCTTGTCATGTTTATTCAATGAAAATCGGTAGCAGTATTGAATGTCCTTAGGCTTACGTATCTACTATTTACATGTTCTATACATGTATATAGCCCCTGTGCGACACTTGAAACGGGTCACGTGTATTGAAGAGTAGTTAACCGTTTAGAGCCTTTTTTTAAAATAATTTTTTAATTTACTGAAATCAGTGTGCCTTTGAAAAGATTTTTTCAGTACGCAGCTTGTGTTACAATCTGACAATGTTTCATAAGCCTACAAATGTATTTTATAAATGACATCTTCATTTAAAGTTATAAAGAAATGAATGAACATGATCGAATCTTCGAATGTGCTCATGATGAATCCATTAAAGTATTAAATGCAATTTTTTGTAGTATTGAAATTTGCTGGAAACACATGAGAATTAAATCGCATATAATTATTAACCATGGCTTTTAATATTGATTGACATAATGAAACATTTTGTAATAAATAACAGAGGTTTGCAACTCTGCCATTTATAAGTTTATTTGCTAAATTATGTGATGGCCAATTTACTGGTAATCAGGTTGGGAGCAATCGCCTAAATGGGACATAATATCCCAAATGAGACATAAATTTACAGTGCAAAAATTGGAAGATTTTTCATTTACTTCTAGTAAATATTATAAATCCACATCAAAATACTTAAAATACTGTAAAATACACTGTTTGGGAGATTGATCCCCTGATCAGAAGATTTTAAACTTCTTGGAAATCAATCTCTTAAATTGTAGGGTGGATAGAAAAACTTCCTTGCCTAAAGTTATTGCATTCAATTTATATTCATGTGGATTTATCATATATATTTAAAGCCAAAATATTTTTTTGCACTGAAAATTTATATCCCATTTTGGATATATTATATCCCAAACAGGCTATTATAATTTATATCCCATTGATGCGATTGGTCACAACCTGTTAATTGCTTTTACATTTCAATCTAAAGTATTAATATTAAATAAATTGTATATTTATATATAGATGTATGCTTTTTAAAGTTTAGAAACTGTACAATAATAGAAAACTATGCAAATTTAAGAATTCAATATGTTCAAAAGTTGATGAAATTCATAGATAGGGCTGACAGTGGGCCACGTACCTGTTGGTTATTTCAAATTCCTCATTTTTATTATATTAAATTTAAACATATTCAAAAGTTTTGCTGAAATGTATTGCTTTTATTGTATTATAAACATGAAAAAAGAGACACTTGATCTGTTTAACATGTTTAAATTACACAAATCTATAAAATTATCAAGGATACAGATGTAAAACTTTTATTGAAAAAATTATATTTCTGAAAGTTTCTTTGTAAGGCATAGAGCAATTATGTAACATTAATTCTGTCAAATACAATAAAATCTGCAATGCATGTATGTTTCAACAAACCATATGAAGCCACCTTATGACTATATTAAGCTGCATATATATATTTATTCCATGTAGATTTTAAGTTGGAAGAGTACACACATTATCATAGTACATGTGCACATTATTTAGAATAGGATATCACATTTTGTCAAGGTGATAGGGAAGTGTGATAATTGACATCAGCTAAGTTTCATTTATCATTTTAATTCTTATATATTTTAAAGTCTGAATGTAAAACATGTTACATTTTTACTGAGTATTTGAGTGGAGCACACATTATACACTTACACAATTCAATACAATCCACCGAAGGCATTGAAAACTGTGCATATATGCTTCCTAAGTGTTTTAATTAGACTTATTCTTAATTAATCTTTATATATATTTTTTTTCAGTTAATATTCCTGCATGGCCTTGGAGATACAGGGTAAGGCATGATATATATTATATATAAATACAGTACATGTAGTATTTTAAAAATATCTTGATCAGAATATTGATATATATATATTTTACAGTACATATGCATAGTTGTATATGGCTAATTTTAAGTATTCTCAATTGTTAAAATAAGAACTGTTGATTCTTTAGTTTACACTTATATAATATTGTGATGTCAAATCACAAGATTATAAATTTGCAATTAGACTGTTTGTCTAGCGTTTTTACATGTATTTCAGCAACATAAAAATAAAAGCGAGTAATTTTATTTCGTGAGTGGTGCTTCTCACAAAATTAGGCTGCAATTTATTCCTCACATTTATTAAAGAATCTACAGCAGTCTTCAAAAGGACATAATCTATTACTTACCGTTAGAAATTGAACCCATTGCAAAAATTATACACATGTAACATGTCAACAAAGCATTGATGAAAAGTTACATAAAACTCTAATGATTTAGAGAAAATTTTTCATACTTTCATAAATTGAATGACTAACTTGAAGATCCTTAGATGTTTATCCAATTCTGTCTAGAAATGTCAGTAATTAACTCATGTGTCAATGTAAATTTCATAGAGATTTGAACACTGCTATGACTCATGTATGCTGCTACCATATCATTCTATGTGCAATGGATTCTTTGTAATAAGAAGTCCAGGGGGAAGTGGCAATTACTGAGGAAGATGTAGTAAGACAAGGAATTGCCATTATACTCCAGTTTTGATGGCCACTGTAATGTATATGGCCTGTGATACACATTGTAATTACAAGTATTGATTTAATTCTGGTAGCTTTATTGCCTTGACCACCATTGTCCAATACCATTTCATAGAATCTTCTCAACCAGTGCTCTCATCACTATTACTAGTACACTGAATAGAGCCATAAGTTCCCACTGTTAATGGGCACAATATGTGATCAGGTTATAAATTCCCTTCTCTACAAAATGATACAATTAAACCAAAAAGCAGTAAAACACGTGTACATAACAGGTGAAATAGGTCCATGGAAAGAAGAAATTCCTATCTTTCACAACCATTACTCTTTAAAATTTTATTTCAGAGTTACCTCCTTGTAGAATTCTTTGACCAAAATGTTGGAAATTTCGGGTATATATTGTGTTCAATATTAAACCAGCTAGTCTACACATTTTTTTTTTACATCAAAATTTGTTTCTGTATATTTTTTAATGATTTCTTGCATTTCTGGCCTTGTGATTGGGTTGCTAGCTATTTTAATAGATTTTTAATGAAATACTTTAAAATTTGGAAGGTATATATGTATTTATGCCCACTGTTTTGGGATTCTTTTCCTTACGTTTTGTAGAAGCAAACCCTTAAACTAGTCTAAATGATTTAGAATCTTAATACCTCTGATTTTCTTGAAATGTAACTTAATTAAGAACAATTTAATTGAATTCCAACAAAGAATGCCATTTTGAAGAATTAAGGAAGCCATTTTCAAATATTTACATTTGCTCTGGTTTTTTTTTTTTAAATAAACCAACTATGAAATTGATTTGAATAGCATTTTCATATGTACTCACAGGTAGAAATATACACAGAGAAACTCTTGCAAAAGTGATGTATCAATGTGGCAACAGACATTAATAAAAATATAATGATATAGGGTAGTGATAAATTCAAACCTTAAGTGTATTTTTACTGCTTTTAACATGTAAAATGTAAATATGGGGATTATTTTTTAGTTTGATATGCGTTATTGGTGTGTAAATCACACAGACCTGCAAATATATATTCATATTTTCAAGTCTGTGTGATTTACACTAATAGCCAAGGCTTTTAATATATTTCACACAATATTTCGAGACCAAGGAGGCTATCTTACAACATCCGCAAGAACACAAACTTTATTTCTGTTCTACTAATAGTTATTAATACAAATGATCGTTTCCTCTATAGAGAAATGAATTAGGTCACCATGTCGCGATCAGGCTGTTCTATGTAACACCAGAGGGTCAACTTGTTTGTTTACTTGTCAATTGTAATGGAATGTAGATGATTTGAGCTCTTGTTGGATTAAAAAATATCTTCTAATCATTTATAAATTTGTTTGTAACATATATTGACTAATTTTTATTATGCCCCCGGATCGAAAGATCCCGGGGGTATATTGTTTTTGTCCTGTCTGTCTAGTTGTCTGTTTATCTGTTTGTCTGTTTGTCCGTTTGTCTGTTTGTCCGTTTGTCTGTTTGTCTGTCTGTCTGTTGTCAACTTTAACCTTGCCCATAACTTTTGATTGGTTGGAGCTATGACTTTCATATTTCACATGTGTATTCCTTGTGACAAGACCTTTCTTTGGGTACCATCATATTTGACCTTTTGACCTTGACCTTGGAGTTTGACCCACTTTTGCAAAATTTTATGAGACTTTAACCTTGGCCATAACTTCTGAACAGTTGGTGCTTGGGGTTTCAAACTTCACATGTGTATTCTTTGTGACAAGGCCTTCCTTTGGATACCAACAACTTTGACCTTTTGACCTTGACCTTGGAGTTTGACCTACTTTTGAAAAACTTTAACCTTGGCCATAACTTTTGAACAGTTGGTGCTTAGGGTTTCAAACTTCACATGTGTATTCCTTGTGACAAGACCTTCCTCTGGATATCAACCACTTTGACCCTTTGACCTTGACCTAGGAGTTTGACCTACTTTTGAAAAACTTTAACCTTGGCCATAACTTTTGAATGGTTGGAGCTAGGGCTTCCATACTTCACATATGTAATCCTTGCGACAAGACCTTCCTTTGGATACCAACCACCACTTTGACCTTTTGACCTTGACCTATGAGTTTGACCTACTTTTGAAAAACTTTAACCTTGGCCATAACTTTTGAATGGTTGATGCTAGAGCTTTCATACTTCACATATATATTCCTTGTGACAAGACCTTCCTTTGGATACCAACCACTTTGACCCTTTGACCTTGACCTAGGAGTTTGACCTACTTTTGAAAAACTTTAACCTTAGCCATAACTTTTGAATGGTTGGTGCTAGGGCTTTCATACTTCACATATGTAATCCTTGTGACAAGATCTTCCTTTGGATACCAACCACTTTGACCTTGACCTTGACGTTTGACTTTTATTTAAAAAACTTTAACCTTGGCCATAACTTTTGAACAGTTGTATCTAGGTCTTTCAAATTTCACAGGTGTATTCCGCGAGACAAGACCTTTCTTTGGGTATCAAAATTTTTTATCTATTGGCCTGGATTTTGACTTGCATTTGAAGAAACTTTAACCTTCGCCATAAGCTGCCATATGGGGGCATCAGTGTTTCACAAACACATCTTGTTATGTTTATAAAATAGCAAAATCAGATGTCGATTTTTAGCTCACCTGAGCTGAAAGCTCATAAGGTTTTCTGATAACATTTTGTGTGTCGTACTTTTCACATTTTTGTCTTCTTCTCAAGAACCACAGGGCCAATTTCAACCAAACTTGGTCTCAAAGAATCCTTGGGTGAAGGGGTTTCAAGTTTGTTCAAATGAAGGGCCACGCTCTCTTTCAAGGGGAGGTAATCAAGAATGAAAGAAATATTCTCCTGTATTGTTTTATCAGTAAAATCACAGAGTGTACTAAATGATTTTGGAAGGTACATGGATCAGTCCCCTTTAGCTATAAAAATAGTCTGAAATATTTATCAGCTTTTTATGCCCCACCATGAATATGGCCGGAGCATATAATGTTTATTCATGTCCGTCTTCCTTCCTTCCGTCTGTCCTTCCGTCACACTCTGCGTTTAGCTCTGTTCAAAGCTCAGTTTCAAAGAAACTATCCAAGATATTTTTATCAAACTTCATATGCTGATAGATATTGATGAGAGCTATGCAACTGCATCAACATTTTTTGACCTTGAACTTTCCTTTGACCTTGACCTCACTTTTCTTAAATTAGTGTTTAGCTCAGTTTTAAAGATACAATTCAAGATAGTGTAATCAAACTTCATATGTTGATATATACTGATGTAAGTTATTCAACTGCATCAACATTTTTTGACCTTGACCTTTCTTTTGACTTTGACCTCACTTTTCTTAAATTAGTGTTTAGCTCAGTTTTAAAGATACCATTCAAGATAGTGTAATCAAACTTCATATGTTGATACATACTGATGTAAGCTATTCAACTGCAACAACATTTTTTGACATTGACCTTTCTTTTGACCTTGACCTCACTTTTCTTAAATTAGTGTTTAGCTCAGTTTTAATGAAACCATTCAAGATATTTCTAACAAACTTCATATGCTGATACATACTGATGAGAGCTATCTAACTGCATCAGTATTTTTTACCTTGACCTTTCCTTTGACCTTGACCTCACTTTTCTTAAATTTGTGTCAAACTTCATATGCTGATACATACTGATGAAAGCTATTCAACTGCATCAATATTTTTTCACCTTGACCTTTCCTTTGACCTTGACCTCACTTTTCTCAATTTGTGTTAAAATGCTTCATTACTAATATACCCTTGGCGGGGCATTCATGTCCTATGGACATATTTCTAGTTTAGGAATACACAACATTAAGACTGCAGAAGTCAACACATCAGTATGGTCTAAATAAGTATTACATTCTAAACATGCTAAAGTTATATATTCATTTCACCTGTACATGTTTGATATGTGTTTCTGATCTGATAATCTGTCGATGATGTTTGTGATTTATTGGTCAGGAGAATAATGTCCATAGCATTTCTTTGATCTTGGCAACAACTATGGTAGAATCATTAATAATTTTTATTTCAGTAGTGTTAATTATAACTTTCAAAAGCTGTTTGAACTAAAAATTAAAGCAAAATTTGAAGCTCAGTTTTCTGTGTGAAGTTCATCAAAGTGAAAGTTGATCAAAGTGGCATGTGATTATTACTATTAGAAAATTCAATGATGTGTGTTCAAGGACTCAGATAGCAAACTTTCTAACATATAGTATAGCCTCAATGTTTAGGGATGATAACAGTTATTTTGAAAGTAATAAGATATTTATAAAGGAAGATTAATCTTATGAAGTCTATAAATAATGAGTTTTAGCATAATGAGATGACGAAAACTGGGAACATCCTCATTATCCGGGATGACTGATTACAAATAACCACTGGTATGTAAGAGGCTTAATAGCTAGAAATAATCAATGTGGATATTACAAGTATACAGTATACATGTAGATGATGAAAAATTTTCTAAAGTTAATAAGGACATGTCACATCTGTTCCTATGATTTTTTATACCTTGCACCTGCTGTATTGACAAGAGAAAGTTATGACAGATGTGCAAATGATGGAATTCTAAATGTCAATCTCTTTGTTTATTAATCAGTAATGCTGCTAGATTAAAAAATAGAATGAAACAAAGTGTAATTTTTTACATCATAAAAAATGTACAGAAGTTCATCTATGCTCTTGTAATGCAGATGATCATTAGGGTCATTAGGGTCATGGCTTATTTAATTTTTCCAACAAAATTGATTATTATACCTTTCAAAATTGTTTTCTATTTAAATCTATATTTATTAGTCTAATATTTCCAATGTTTTTACTGAGTGTCCATAAAAATATGATGTTGGACTACTCAGTTAGATGTCCAACCGGATGATGGACCGTTATGATATTTTGTACGTTACACATAATTTGAATTTGAACAGCTTAGATGGGATTGTCCAAGTCTAATTTGCATTTGTTAGTGTTCAACAATTAAGGAATTGAGTTTATCATTGTAAACGTGAAAGCCAGCACAAAATTTTTATAGAAAACAATTTTAAAAGGTAAAACAAAACATTTATTTACTGGGTTCTTGGGCAGAATACGTTTTGCCAAACCAGGTTTCAACCTAGCAGCCTCAGGCAAACAAAATTGTATAATGTTCCAAGATCTTGCATTACACTGGTCTATCATCACATTATTGTCTCAATCATTCTAATAGTGATATTTGGTACTTAGGCATCATCTAATAAGAAACAGTTCCTAAAACTAACTATCCCAATTATAACTATACAGTAAAAGCACGTTTATGGCAAAAGTTCCAGGGATGAAGACTGGTCACGGTAGCCTAGTGGTAGGGTGTTCGCTTTGTGATCGGAAGACTGGGGTTCAATTCTCGCTCACCACGCAGTGTCAAACCTGCGCCAAGCGCCCAGCATTAGAAGTGAAAGTCACAGGTCTTTCAGATATGACCTTAAAAACCGAGGTCCTGTGTCACGGCAGGTGTTGGCACGATAAAGAACCCTCATTGCTCAATGGCCCTGAGTGCCAAGTATAGGTCTCAATTTGAATCCCTTCACGGGCATATTGTGATGTCTTTATATGAGTGAAAAATTCTCGAATGAGATGTTCAACAACACACAATCAATCAATCCAGGGATGAACAATTTTGATTTATTATAAACATAAGTCATCATATCCCATAAGTTAATTCATATTGATAAGTTTTGTAATTACAGGGAATGAAAATAACTTTTTTCAGTTGTAGAATCAATCAATATTGTACTTATTCTGAAATTTCATTTCTTTTTCAAGTCATGGGTGGGCAGACTGCTTCAGAAGCATGAAACTACAGCATATAAAATGTGTGTGTCCAAATGCGTAAGTATTGATTTTGATTTTATGAGTTTGCCTATTAATTTATTTTACATGATTTCCTTATACTAATAGCTAGGCCAAAGTTTTTTAACTGGTGCCTATAGTCAGTTTCATTTTGGAAAATGAGTTTGTACATTCCCCAGTATAGTGTGTTTTAGTTGTATATATATGTCATGGAAACTGAAATTGAGTTTATGGTATACAAATGTAGGTGTGATTATGGATCTTTATGAACAATTTTACTTTGAAATGGTGACCAGCTGTGAATTTTGCATTGGTGAAGTTAAAAGTATCTCCTTCCTGATGAGATGAAATGAAAATAAATCATTGATTTAATTATTCCATATCCATGTATTTAAACTTGAGTATATAAAGCCAGCATATAATGATTTTTCTTGAAGATTTTATTTTAAATAGCTGAGCATCTAAATTAACCATATTGGAGTTTTCATTATTAATAATTACACGTATTCCATTGACAAATATTGACAAGATTGGCACACAGAACACAAAGTTTCTTTTCATGTTGTCGGGAAGCTGAACAAAGTACATGATAATTTAGCATGGCTTTTAGTTTATTGATAGTCTACATATTGTGATAAACAAATTATTGCAATGAAAGTAAAAGTGCATACAGGAGTGTCATAGGCCTATACCAAAGGTCGCCATACACCTGGTGTTGTTAATATACATATTTCACAATTTTTTCATATAAACTCATAAAGTACATGTATGCTGTATTACCCCAAACACTTTTAGGCCTCAACATATCTGGGGTAGTTGCCCATTTCACAAAATTGTTTTCATGTAAACCCATTTATAAATAATTATTCAACAAAGACATCATGAATAATTGTTATTTATTTCAATCTTTATTACATTGTTTTCAATTGTTTTATTTTTACTCTTCTTTTAATTTTAATATATTATACATAAAGCCAAGACCGCTTCTTCACAATGACACCTGCTTTTTAAAAATCAAAATATTAAAGCAGCAAAACCTCTGTCAGACAATAGATGTTTCTTGCATCCTATATTTTTAGTACAAAGTACATTCACTTTATTGCCACATTTACATATTCTGTCATGTTGAGGTATAAGCTTCAATCAGGAGAGGTAAAATGGTAAACGAATGTTTCCAAATTATTCAATATTTACAAAAACACTTGTTCTCAAGTAAATGAACATTCTTTCCTTATTGCAGCTGTTCAGATCAATTTGATAGCTTTATTCCCAGTTCATTATATATAAGCTTAAAATACAGTGAATCAAATTTTAAAATTGATGTTTAAAACCTGTCTTTATATAGAATTCTATGACCTGGATTAAATTACATTGTTTTTGGTTGAAAAGAATATTTTTTCCTTCTGAAAGAGAATAATGTTTTCAAAAAATCAAAGGTATTATTTTAAAACAGAATGAAATCATTATTCATCTGTTATAAGTAATGCTGCTAGATTTTGTTTATTTAATACATGTACGGGTATTTGAAAAAAAAAAGACTTCGAGATTCCAGAATGTACCAGAACTCATCAAAATTGTACCAATTTATTTTTAAAAAATTTGGCATTTAGGAGAGATATCCCTCCAGACCCTACATGTACCTCCACCCCCCACTTCCCATCCCCTTTTCTCCCAGAAACATGGTGAGTGCCTCAATCACTGGCACATGAATATTGAAACAGTTCAAACCATGGAAGTACTAATGAATGCATGAATCTATGTACATGTAATGAGTTTGAAGTGTTTTTTTTTCTTTTTGATTTATATGAATGTGTTATTTTTTACATTACAGACCAATTAATTCAGTCACATTAAATGCTGGAATGAAAATGCCATCATGGTAAGATCAACATCATCAGATCAAAGAATTGTGTAATATTGTATCCTCTGATTAAAGGTGAATATAACCTTACACTAAATGTGAATGTAGCTAGAAATATTTCACTGTAGGTTTGATATAATTGGCTTGGGTCCAGATAGTCCAGAAGATGAGGAAGGGATAAAGGCCTCCTCAGAAATTTGTAAGTAACTATTTATCTGGGAAATCTTTTATTAGTGAATTTTTCAAATATTGTCTTACAATTGTAATGAATAAACCTGTCTGGAATGATTTTAAAAAGAGATTATGGTAAATACATGTACTGTTTAAGTTACTACCAGTATGCATTATGACATATCAGTTAAATACATGTACTGCCAAAATCACCAGTATTTTACAAGTATGATGTCCAAGTAGATGTGATTTTTCTCCACATTGTTCATTCATTCAGTAAGGAAACTAATAGAAGAAGAAGAAAAGGCAGGTATTCCAGCTAACCGGATTGTGATTGGTGGTTTCTCCCAGGGAGGGTCCGTGGCCCTACACCAAGCACTGAGCACTGACAAAAAACTGGCAGGAATTCTGGCCTTTAGCACATGGCTGCCTATGCACAGAAAATTAGATCAGGTAACCACTTGTACTTCAGAAATGTGCAAGGGCCGTTTAGAAAATTTATAGACACAGGCATTTGTGAGATGCATGAAAAAGACATCACATTATGCTTTGCATTTTTTCAGATAGCATTCACCACTCTCTTTTTGATGTAACTGTAAATCTAAAATTAATTTTGAAAAAAAAGTTCATTACATGTATCTGGTACTGTAAAGGGTTATCAAAATATAAGAATCATTTAACTTTTATGAAGTTTACTAGTAGCATCATCCAAGCTTTAGCAGGGGCTGACAAATAGATTTTTTAGGCACTTGTCCAAGGGCAAGTGTATGGTGAAAATTCACTTGCCCTACCTGAATTTTTGCTTGCCCAACCATAAACTAATACTGTTGTAACGATCCCTCCCCCACTTTTCATGTGTTATGATGTGTTGAATATCAAGCATTTATACATAAATGTTATACTGGAAATAGTGCCAGTTTATATCCGTTCGTATCAGTAGTTGTACTGATTTTTGTCTTTTGTCCCAAGGGTTGAGACTTGTCAATTTTACACACTGTCACTCATTTTCTCTGTTGAACTACCTCAATAAATTATAAACTTTATTTAGCGACTTGGTTTTTATTCCTAGCATTTGCGGGAGTGTTTGACATCTGAAGCGTTACACTGTATTTATATATATTTCAAAAAAATAGAAAGAAAATACTGAGTAGAACATGCAATCCCCTGAGCCCAAAATGAAATCTATGACTTAAATATTTATTTTATTATTTAAGTCACTTGGCCATGGGCAAGTGGTTGATAAAATTTCACTTGCCCTCTCCTAAAATTCACTAGCCCTGGGGGTCGGGCAATGGGATTTGTCATCCCTTGCTTTAGTCACTATTTCAAAACAAACATTGACCCATATCTTATATGCTGATCAACAATGTATTGTCTATGTTTTACTGATGTATTGAAAGCAAATTTTATTAACTATTCTACTACAGTTATTGCAAAGATCAAAGAAATGCCATTGTTCTCCAATAAACCACGTCATCAATGAATTCAATGTCATCTTATAAAATTGTCTCCAATTCTACACTGGTTCATGATGGAGAAAATAGTTGTTTCAAATCGTAGTTGGTTTACAGCATGTAAATAAAAAATGCATTGACAATTATATATTTTGAGACTGTAATTTTTTCCTGTAAGAAATATTATCCCATATTCCATGTTTGTGTAAAAATTTCATTCTTTATACAGGTCAAGAAGTCCGATAATGTTCCATGTTTCTGTAAAAATTTCATTCTGTATATTTTTTTAACAGGTGAAGAAGTCCAATAACATAAAAGATATGGCGATATTCCAAGCTCACGGTACAGAGGATCCACTTGTACCTTTCCAGTGGGGAGAAATCACATCCAAGGTTCTGGCATCCATGTGTGACAATTATTCCTTTCACAAATATCCTATGGCTCACACTTCTTGTCCAGAGGTATGAACGGAATGAAAATACTAATGCATTAAATCCATAAAAACAAAGGACTATGTGCAGTAATAGCCTTTATCTGCTCTCAAAATAAGACCTTCAATTGATAGACAAATATATAATTATGCTTTAACCATGGCAGCATTTATAGACTTCAGATCTTTAAATGTGTTCATCAATATGGTTTCATTACTGGTAGTTAAATTTAAAAATATTTCAAGAAAATGATCTTGAATTCGAAATTTGACAGAAAATGGGGTTTTTACTTCCAAGTTTTTGATTTGGAAACATCTAGCCCAGACTTTTTCCAAGTCTTCAGCAAAACACTTTAAAGCTTCTAAGTATGTAGAATTCCTATTCTAAAACATACTACACTAATTCCTTGTATTATTTTTTTTTAGGAACTGGCAGATGCAAAGAAATTCCTAGAAACAATTCTATCCTGATTACCACTAGTCAAATTATTGGTTGGTTGTTGAGGCTAAAATGTAAAATGAGTGACATATTTATAGTTCTAGATGTTGAGAGACTTTGCACAGATAGTAATACCTCAAGTGCTACAGACCATTGTGCAATAACTCGTTGAGTAACAAAGTGTGCTAGTGACACTTGCTGATATTCTGTGCTGATATCAGTGTGCAGACTTTTTGATATAAGTTTTTTTTTTCAAATTATCCTGTCATAATTATGCATGCAGAACTTTTTCCTACTTGTGTGTTGAGTTATTTCTTTCATTACAGAAACATTTCTGTGTAAAAGGAATGTTTGATAAAGAATCTCTCTGCTAAGGAGATGGTTAATGAAAAAAAAAAGAATTCTTTCTTCAAATGGTAATAAAGAATCGCCAGGAACGGTTAATTTGTCTTGCTCTTTCGGCAATTCATTAAATACTGTGTATCGTTTATTTTTCCATAGTTCTGGATTTGGGAGGTTAACTTATTTTTATATGCATGGTTTTACTGTAGCCATCTGTTATAAACGCATGTGACTGTATGCATTCACCATATAATCGCAAGTAGCATTCATTTAAGCAAGACTTTTTAAAATTGTTCATGAATATTTGTATTGATTAATTTGATTATTTTTGTCCATCGATTTAAATTTGCACAATTTTTTCGTATCAATTTACAGTACTAGTAATTGGTACTTTAGTTACAATGAATTTAGTATTAATATTTTTAATGTGCTGATTCAGATGATTTCAAAATCATTTCCTTTAGTAAACATCATATTTATTTTAATCAGAGTTTATAAAAAGATTACAGCAAAAATATCTGTCAAAAGTGTTAAAGAAGTTTTTCATATTACAGATTTATATTTACATGTATATGTACAATGTATTTGAACTATGGGCTTATTATCACAAATTGTTGAAGCAAAATATCAAAATCTTGTGAAGACAAGCTGTATTGAAAACTATGAGAGGACAACATTCTTGATAAAAGTGTATAGTCCTTGATTAATGTTTATGTGCCAGTATATGTTTATTTTAAAAATATTTTTCTGGTGTGTCAGAACAAAGAAGTGTAGTAAATACACTGCTGTTTATGCTTTCTTATAATGCATCTTTAAAATTGTGGTTAGAGATGAACAATACTAACGGTATCAATATATACAAAGTTGGATCTCAATACCATATCATTCTTGACTTACTTGTGATACTTTTTTTTTGCTCATTAGAAACCTCTTTTTTGTTTTCTTTTCAAAAATGGCATCTTCTATTGTTGAAAATCAAGTTAAGATTCGATATTCCTTTGTTAAAACATGCAATATGTAAACATGGAAGTTTAGGCATGTGAAGTAGTAAGGAAAGAAAGAATAAAGAAAATATATGGCTGGATCAGGAATCAAACCTGGTACCCCTGTATCAAATACTAGTCGAATGCTCTTACAACTGAGCTACCCAGGCCAATATCCACGGTCCTTATAGCCCAAACTACCACATTCCTCCCTCCTTAAACAGTCTTCATGCAACCTCGAAGACACACAATACAAGTTCGCATTGCCAGGATTTATTAATTTACATATAACTTGACCCCCACACTGGTTTCCAAATGTAGTAGGAAAGGAGGAATGAATTAAAAAAATGTATGACTGGACTTGAAATCGAATCCAGGACGACCCCTACTAGTAAACTTCATATCACTAGTTAAGTCTTCTGACCATTGAGCTATTCGGGTCAATATCCACGACTCATATACATGTAGCCCAATCTACTACACATGGTAATTTAATGAACAAAACTAAAAAGAACTTGCAGAGGAAATAGCTTCTTATTATCAAGTCCTCCATAGTGTATTATTATGTATGCCTTCTAAATATGAAGTAGCATTGCAGAAAAAAACTACATGTATTACACTTTCTGTTTTCCCATTGATGCCCTGAAATTAACAGCACAGAAAATTTCAGATGTTTATACCCATGATTTCTTTCTCTATCCTTGTTTCAAACTGCTAATATGCATTTACTGGTTTCTCTCATAATCATGTGTTTTAAAAATACCTGTAAAAATATATCTATTTGGCACATTTGGTTTGAAAAAAAAATAATCTACTAAATCCTTCTGTTTAAATAAGAGAAAATAAGTTAATTAGTTCTGACTAGATTATACATGTATATCTACAATATACTGTCACATTGTTTTGAAAGAATGAAATAAAATATCAAGAAAATACTCTGTATTTAAAGCATTTATTTTCTTTTCTCTTCAGATTGATTAATTCCATTATAGAAAGATTGCTGTATGTTTCTATAATAAAATGCTATTTGCATACAAGGAACAAGGAGTAGCTACATGTACATGCAATCCATGCTAAATGTTGAAGTTCAGACTTCATATGCATAACTCTATGAAACTATATTGGGGGGGGGGGGGGTAGTAAAATGTTCAATTTGATTTCAGTACCTCACACATAGTGTGACATGAGATGCAGAAGTGGAAACTTAAATGTTATAAGGGAAAGACAACTGATTCACTCTGACATATTCCTGCTATTCAAGATATTGGTTTTTAAGATGCTTATTCTTTCAACTGTATTATCATAACAAAGTGTAAAGCTGTACCCCATCACTTTGATCAAAATCACTTTTGTTACCAATTTGACTTTTTCAAATGGCTACTTGCGGAGGGATGTGACCATCAAAATTAATGCAACCTTAAATCTTTTTTAGCTCACCTGAGCTGAAAGCTCAAGTGAGCTTCTCTGATCACCCGTTGTCCGTCGTCCGTCCGTCTGTCTGTCCGTCTGTAAACTTTTCACATTTTCGACTTCTTCTCAAGAACCACTGGGCCAATTTTAACCAAACTTGGTACAAAGCAACCTTGGGTGAAGGGGAGTTTAAATTTTTAAAATGAAGGGCCAAGTCCCCATCAAAGGGGAGATAATCAAGAAAATACAAAAATTGGATGGGGTCATTAAAAAATCTTCTTCTCAAGAACCACTGGGCCAGAAAAGCTGAAACTTATCTGGAAGAATCCTAAGGTAGTGTAGATTCTAAATTGTTCAAAACATGACCCCTGGGGGCAGGGCGGGGCCACAATAGGAAATCCAAGTTTTACATTGAAATATGTAGTAAAAATCTTTTAAAATCTTCTTCTCAAGAACCACTGGGCCAGAAAAGCTGAAACTTACTTGCAAGCATGCTGGGGAAGTGTAGATTCTAAATTGTTCAAATCATGACCCCCAGGGATAGGGCGGGGCCACAATAGGGAATCCAAGTTTTACATTGAAATATATAGGAAAAATCTTTTAAAATCTTCTTCTCAAGAACCACTGGGCCTGAAAAGCTGAAACTTATGTGGAAGCATGCTGGGGAAGTGTAGATTCTAAATTATTCAAATCATGACCCCCGAGGGTAGGGCGGGGCCATAATAGGGAATCCAAGTTTTACATTGAAATATATAGGAAAAATCTTTAAAAATCTTCTTCTCAAGAACCACTGGGCCTGAAAAGCTGAAACTTATGTGGAAGCATCCTGGGGTAGTGTAGATTCTAAATTGTTCAAATCATAACCCCCGGGGGTAGGGCGGGGCCATAATAGGGAATCCAAGTTTTACATTGAAATATATAGGAAAAATCTTTAAAAATCTTCTTCTCAAGAACCACTGGGCCTGAAAAGCTGAAACTTATGTGGAAGCATGCTGGGGTAGTGTAGATTCTAAATTATTCAAATCATGACCCCCGGGGGTAGGGTGGGGTCATAATAGGGAATCTAAGTTTTACATTGAAATATATAGGAAAAATCTTTAAAAATCTTCTTCTCAAGAACCACTGGGCCTGAAAAACTGAAACTTATGTGGAAGCATCCTGGGGTAGTGTAGATTCTAAATTATTCAAATCATGACCCCCGGGAGTAGGGCGGGGCCATAATAGGGAATCCAAGTTTTACATTGATATATATAGGAAAAATCTTTAAAAATCTTCTTCTCAAGAACCACTGGGCCAGAAAAGATGAGACTTATGTGGAAGCATGCTGGGGTAGTGTAGATTTTAAATTGTTCAAATCATGACCCCGGGGGTAGGGCGGGGCCACAATAGGGAATCCAAGTTTTACATTGAAATATATAGGAAAAATCTTTAAAAATCTTCTTCTCAAGAACCACTGGGCCAGATAAGCTGAAACTTACTTGGAAGCATCCTGGGGTAGTGTAGATTCCAATTGTTCAAATCATGACCCCTGGGGATAGGGCGGGGCCACAATAAGTAGTATAGGGGGGGGGGGAGAAATCAGGTGAAAAACAGCAAGGCCAAAGTTACTCAGGTGAGCGCTGTGGCCCATGGGCCTGACTTGTTTATATTTTACTCCTGGACATAAAGTAGTCAAACCGTTGGCATGATTATCATAACTAATAAACATGATTATCATAACTAAGCAGTGACCCCTCTATGAAAATTGTTTAATTCATGGTCACTGGTTTCAGGCCCCAGGGTAGGGCTAAGTTAGTCATATAAATTGAAAATGCAGCATGTATTGAAAATGCACTGGCCTTTTAAAATCCTATTTTCTTACGGATATCTGGCAGACAAACTGTTTGGATGATTATATCAACACTAAACCCTCTACCAAAATTTTGAAATTCATGGCCCCTTGGTCCAGGGATGAGGCCCCGGGGTGGTGATTAGTCAGTCATAAATTGAACATAAATTACATCTTTGATAATCTTCATTCCTCATGGATAAGCAGGAGGTAAATGGTTTGAATTACTAGAATGAGCAGCTAACCCTTTATAAAATTCAAATTGTAAAAAAAAATTGTCATATGAGAAGTCCATACCAGTTCCAAGCAGACTCAAAATGGTCATGAATAGCCTGCAGAAACTATTGAGACTCAGGTTACTGTCAATGCCTTTGAGCCTTTTGTTTACATTATAGAAATGGAAGAAATATGATGTAGTGCAGAACATTTTGTTTAAATCTTAACCACAGAGGGATTTGAGTAAGGTGGGACTATTTTTAGGATCAAAACAATACAGGTACAGAGCTATACATAGGGTACATAGGGATATCCTTTGCTAAGTAAGACAGGATAAAATCATTCAATAAATGATTGAAAATATTGAATACAAGGAAATCAAGAAAATGATTTATTTCTTTTGATATTTATTGAGAATCTGACTGAACATGTAACATCACCATTAGTCAGTTTATCAAATAAGCAGTGCTGGTCAATTCTTAGGCCACTCATAAAGGATCACTGGTGTAAAAAAAAATATAATAAAGAACATTTTATATAGATTTTCTGTGCATTTCTATAAAGAGTACCAAAACTTACAAGATTCTGATGATGATGATTTTAATTCATGAACAACAATAAACAACAGGTTTTAATAACAACGAACACAGTCCTAATGGTATCTCAAGTTATCACAACTGTAAACTGTATATCTGTTACACGGATATCTGAGCAAATCTGTACTGCAGTGTTCGGGGATTTCTAATTAAAACAAGATTCCGCTGATAAGGTAGAGATTGATGTAGTTTTTCTAAACCTAGCAGGGAACAGAATCCCTTCCCAGCTCCCTGCCCACTGCTTAATGAAAATCCACCATGCTTAATATACCCAATGACTTCCCTATCACCATCATCTACACTCTCCAAGTTGTCTGCTTTAATCTCTGGTGTCTTTTTTGGTGGTAGATTTAAGATACCTTTCTTAAATAGTTTCGCTTTTCTTCTTTTCTCTTTCTTTTCCTCTTGCTGAGGGTCTGTTTGTTGAAGTTTAATTGGTCCAACAAAAAACCCGTCAGCTTTCATTCTATTGACATCTTCCTTTGTTGGTATGGAGATAGTTCCCATTTCTTCAGGACAGCCTTTGGAATTCATCGCTATTTTGACGTAAACCAATGATTGTTTGTGTCTACTAATGATGTCTTTGAAGGAGGCATGCGATTCCTCATCAATTCTATCTTTCAAACATTTCTTGTTTTTCCCAGAAGCAATATTAAATACTTTCCTCAAGGTTTTGAGATCATTTTTTTCTCTTAACACATAAAAATCCTTGCTATCATCTTTCTCATCAACCAGTTCATTCCATGCCCAACTGAATGGGTGAACCACACCTAACTTGGTGAAGTTTGGTCTTTTGGCAGGAGGTCGTCTGCTATGCTCAGCCTCTTTTTCACTCTTTATCCTGTTTTCTTCTGCTTGTCCTGCTGCTGTATCTGGGAAATCTTCTGGAAAGTGTTCACCCTGTTGTTCATTGGCCAGGCATTGTAATTCACGCAAACCTCCTGCTCTTGCCCCATGATAGATACTGGCTATCCAGAATGCCATGCTCCATCCTGCAGGAAGGACTAGATCCCATCCACTCCCATAGTGACTGTGGTTCATGTCTGTGGGATTGATTCCTTCTTTCTGAATGAGAAGAACAGGAATCCTACTTTCATCTTCCCCTAGTATTAACTCTGTCCCTAAAATAATGTACCATAAAAAATCAATATCAATTATGGTAAAAACATGTTATGAGTCTGTGTAATCAATTACAAAAGATTTTACACAATACCCTCCTTTGAGTAACTTGTCCCTGCAGCAAATTAAGAGGCAATTCCTAAGGAAGTCCAGATAATGGCAAACATACTTGCTTAACAACAAAATAATACTGTAAACCAACTTTTATTTGCAAGTTTTATGACCTTTTCTTAGCATATATACCCCCCCCCCCCCCCACACACACACACACACAAATGTTATTTAACAGTTTATTTATGTAGAATTTTTCATCAGTTACTAAAATTAGTAGTTGCAGATGGATTTCAAACTGATGAATCATAAATAAATGTGGTCATGAATAATAGTTGGTTTACAGTACATGTATTATTATAGTATTACCTACAGAGAGTAAGTTTTCACTGAATCACTGCATTCTTCACAAACCTGGAACAATATGTTCTGATTTCAGCTGATTGATTTCAAAGTCTGACATTTTTGTTGAAATCACTGTCTTCCTGATTTCTTCCTCCCATAAGGGCGAAGAGGAGATGTCCTGGCTGATCTTCAGTGCATTGGCTCCTGTATCATCAGACACCATGGGCTCTGAAGTTTCTAAAATTGATGTTTGACAAAGACCATTATTACTCTGCTAAACTGAAAATTCAAATAGCTTTCTAGAATATCTCTTCAGATTGATACATACTAAGTATACCTCTTTGAAAATTGTATTCTTTTTCAACAAAAGAAGATAGAGGAGATAGGATATACATTCAAACTTCGTTATCTCAAACGACATGGGATCAAAAAAATCCTTGGATATCTCAGTTTTTTCTCGTTCTCAAAGTTTTTTCTTGAAGAGATATCAAAGGTAAAATGCTAAAGGAATATGTGGTTGGGACTTCCAAATCACTTTGACATATCCATGGTATTCGAGATATTGGTGTTTGAGATACCAAAGTTCAACTGTACAATGAACTTGTCTAACCGGACACCACTGGTTCCAGAGAAATTTGCTATATTTGACAACATTTTGGATTATACAACATTATAAACAATGGCATTTACTGAAAGGGACTAAATATCTTCATTGAAATAGGCAAGATTTTGGCATACATGATATCTGAATTAGTTTACTTTTACTTTAGTACCTTTATTTGCCAAATCATTCCATTTCTTTGCTTTGATGACTCTAGGATCTCTGACAGCCAGACCAATAACACTATGGGGGGACAACTCTGCAGCAGACTGACAATGACACACTCCTTCCCAGAATTCCCTCTGCTGGTTAAAGCCCAGAGAGTGCTTTTGGTCCTGGAAGTACTGTTTCCACCAGTGAGATGGTTCACTTTTGTTGAACATGATATCTGCTATCTGGAGAGTTTGTTCCAGAACTTTCTGGGACTCTGGTCCAATATAGCGATGTCTCACAAGTCTGTCTTTCAAAGAGGTCATCAAGATCTTCCCAATCTGAGATTTTCTGTTCACTACCTTTATTACTTGCTCCTCAGTTGGTTTCTGAGTCGTTTCCTTTTTACCTTTTTGTTGCTTCCCCTTACCCTTGTATTCACTAAATGTCCTACAATTATCATCTGTTTTCTTTATCTCCTCCCCATCCTTCTTTCCAGTTTGAATCTCTTGTTTTTCAGAATTATTGTTTACAGGAGATTTATCCTTAAGTTCTGATACATTTTTCCCTTTTCCCATTTCATCAACTGGACAACTGACTTCTACAGAAACATCCTGTGCTGCACAGTCTTCTGTATGGGAAAAACTAGCCTCTAATTCCTGCCACAGTTCATTATAGGAAGCAGGATGACACCAAATCCATAGCTGACGAAGAGGGTGTGATTCAGACGTGGGTCTCCAAAAGAAAGTGACTGGGCCAATGGCACCCAAAGGATACTGACCTTGTTTGTACAATACACAGCTACCCTCTCTGGTTCCTTCCAAATACAGCTTGGCTCCAAAGGTTAGTCCTGAAAATTCAGTAGAAACAACGTATATTGTATTTCACAACTTTATCTGTTAACTTCAGGTAATTTGCTTCATAATGTAATTTGTTGTAACTTTTTTTAAATGTAAGAAAACTTGGGACAAGTAATATGTATTTATTAAGAAAGATCAAGTTATTCTTGTTCATTATTAATTCAAGGAAGAACTTTTTACCAGTTTGTGAATTACACAGACGAGAGACGCCACTGAGAATATATTCTTCATTTCCTTGAACTTCTATACAGCACATATAGGAAACATCCTGTTAAAAAAAATTTCAATATTATTGATATCATCATATCATGTAATCTTTTGTCATAGGCATATACTGAAGTTGCTTTTTGTCAAATGTTATAAAGAGTTTTTGAAAAGTACATAAATTGAAACAAGAATACTTTGTAAAGAAAATGATGATGAATTTCTTTCTAGTACATAAAATTCACCCATCTCCCCCCTCCTTCCCCTCCCCCAAAACATTACACACAGTAACACATAGAGACTTAATTAAGTAATCAGAGAGTATGTTTAAGTTTCTGGGGTTGATTAAAAATATACTGAAAGCTGATATTGAACCCATGCTTACTATCATTTGACAATGATGTTGAGTTGCCCTGTAAGATGCTCGAGAACTTTTATCTGTTGGTTGGTAAGGAATTCTGTAACCCCATTTTTCTACCATTTTGAATCGTTTTGCATGCCAAATGTGAGTTTCAAGCCAAACTTTGGTTTTCTGGCGTCGAACATACTCCTGCAGCAAGTTTTTAGGTCGTCTTCGATGCCTTCTACTTGGTTTTTTGTGTTTATTAGCCTTTATTGTCACCATCTACAAATTAAATCACATTTCACATTCATTTTCAGTGTATATCATGAATACTTGGGGGATGGGGGGGGGGGGTTACGAACTTCAGTACTTGCAAAAATTCCTTTTTAGACAGCAAAGCAACTGTGCTTTAATCACCTATACTATTACATTATGACAAGAATATTTTTTTACCATTAAGTAATACACAGTTAGAACTATTGCCAGTTGAGGAGAATTGTAAAAATAAAAAAAGTCATTTATGGTTTGAATACTAACTGATTAATCCATAAGCATTAGAAGTACAGTAGTAGGCTACAACCTGTTAAAGTTGATATCAAAATTACTCTAAAAATAACACCATATATGCATATCTATAGCAAGAGTTTTAAGTATTAAATAACCAATTTAAATATAGAATCAAGAAATTTGTCACCTCTCTCACTCTGTGAGGCAACCTTTTAATGTTGTGACTCATTGCTCTCCGCCGCATGGAAATAGACATCAGTCCATTTACAGCTTGGGAAACCTTTCTCTGTTTGGTGGCAGCATCTAGAAGCTGCAACTCTGCAGCCCTACACTTTGCATATTCAACTACATTAATGGCTAAAATAAAATAAAAAATAAATTCTATAAAATCTTAGCTGTTGTTATATAGAAATAAATTAATTCAGCTCAAAAAAGGGACATAACTATCATAATAATGATGCTTTAACGTTTCACTTAAAAATATTAAATTTCATTTATTATCTAAGACTTAAAATTTAAGTCTCTGGCACACATCATTCATAGCTCTAATGTATATCGTCTCTCTCGCTCTCTCTCTTTCTCTCTCATTCCATATTTATACATGCCAGTACAACATGCACCTGACATGTACGTAGGTCTACTATAAAATTGTACCTTGAGGTGCTTCGGACAGGATTTTTTCATGGATTCTCTGTTTCTTAGCAAAGTCCGCTTTCCCATCATATTTCCTTTTCTTACCAAACTGCTCCATGTCAGTCTTTTTTTTTAATAGCAAATTTTAAGCTCGATCATGCAAGGTGGTTCTTCGTATGGGCGCAGACATCTTGAAAAAAAAATAAATGAGAAAAGAAACGCGTCAAAATTATTTTTTTCCGGATGATGTTTTCATATATCTTAGCAATAAATGCCTAGAGAGGATTATAGAAAAACTCACTGTTATATGAAAAATCTTATTAACCATATATTATCTTTTTTCCCCTTTTTTCGTACAGATATAGCCGAGGAAGCCGGTTCAGATCTTCGTTCATTTTATAACCTACTTTCATTTTCACTTTTCCTTCTTTTGGACCGTCAACACGTTGATAAGATACGTATGCTAAAAATGTCAGGCTTCGTAAGACGAATAATCCAGACAGCAAAAGCACCATCGGCTATAGGGCCATACAGGTGATTTTTTTTTTTCTGTGACTGATTCCTGACAATTTGTGTTTCATCTGATAGGCCTAATGATATTTAACCTTTAGAACTGCTCTCTGACCTTAGCAGGTCCATCAGTATATTTACGTTTAGCTTTATTTAGCTATTCAAAAAAGTTTGATTTAGCTATTTTTATGCAGTTTAATACATGTTTCCCTTTTTTTTTTTTGAAATAAACAAAAATTTTGATAGTAACAGTAACTACTAATATTTGTACTAACTGTATAGCTGTATAAAAAAGCAACCCAGAGCAAAGATAGTCAGCTTTTGAACACTGATTAAGAACTAGTCTTATTCAGATTGATATGAAGATTCCTTAAAATAGGAATAATTTTATTAACCCATGCTTGCAGCTTTTTACGTCTCTACAAAACCCTTAAAATTAGGCCAAAATAGAAATTACCTTTGTTTCCCCTAACGCGACCGACCCACTTAAATCGTGCCGACTGAAAAGTTTTTTTTAATCAGATTATTGAAATATTTTTTTTTTATTGTTAATCAACTTTATAAAATACAATTTCATCAAAATCCATTTTTTATCAGAACGGCAGCTTTTGTTTGGTGTCCACAACATGTGGCCACAGAGGGTTAGTTCGTGTTATAAAACAATGGTGACGTATTAATCTTATACATCTTTAACTTATTAGAATCCGAAACTCTCGAGACATCTCGTGAATTAATGTACCATGACTAAGGAGTGTTAAGATGGTATTTACAAATGTGTCTTCTAAAATTTACGTACGTAGTACGCATAGCAAAGCCTGCCTCATGAGCAGATGAGGGGCGCTCTTTGTGAATACATATCAAAAATTTCACTGCATTTGATTCGTTTCGATCTAATAAACAGTTCATGTATGATCCCATTTTTACTATATAAGACCATAGGAGTTGTAAATATGTCTTTGTATGATTATTTCATCTTGATAAATAAAATTCAGATGTCGTTTCTTTATTCCTTTCATCTATGGGGTATTAACTCCGTGACTATAAAATTAGATATATGAAACTTTAATCATTTAAGATATGGTTTGGTTGAATTATACATTGTTTATACATGTACACTATTTCCAAATAGTGTTGAAATCTTTAAAATTTGCTTATGGTACGGCTTCCTGAGACGTCCAGTTTATATTTCTTTAGTTAGGCCCTTGAAAACAGGTTGTTTCTTTGCTTTAAAATACTTTTAGAAATTGTTGAGCCGTCGGAGGGCTCCTAATTTAGACTTTTACTCGGCACTTATGGCCATTGATTATTAAGCATCAGTAAGGGATCTTTTACGTGCCATCTACATGTATACTCCGACACTGGACCTACGTTTTTTACGGTCTTATTCGACTGACCGGTCTCCCACGTCGGGACCTGTGACTTAGAATAAGCTCCTGAATTACGTCGTGACTCCAAAACGAAACACTAGAATTACTGCGCCACACAAGGCCCTTGACATTTTGTCTATGTAAGTAGAGTAGGTTTTAAAAATGTACTCAAATGTCCGATGGTTCTGTATTTGCGTCTTGTCTTGTGTTTTTGTAAATATTTGATTTCAATAAATTTACGCTGGCCTGAGATATTTCACAAGTTCAAATGAATAATATTTGTGAATTAATTTACCATACATGTTGCTTCATTTGTATGATATTCGGTTTAAAAATCGGTTTCTTTTGTTCTTTCTTATTTATAGATATTATTCAATTTTTCAGAATGTATTTCCAAAACTGCTGTCAGAAAAAAAGAAATAATTTACCTACCTACCGACCCAACTTGAGATTTTGGGGTCGGGTTAGGGGAAACAAAGATATTTTTAATGATGGTCTTACCAAAGTATTCACTTCTGATAATCTTTGTTGAATGAGTTACAGTATGTTATTTACAGCCAGGCAGTTCTCGTTGAGCACACGCTTTACGTATCTGGACAGATAGGAATGAATCAGGCAGGAAACCTAGTACCAGGAGGTGTGGTCCCTGAAACAGAACAGGTCAGTACTATTGGAATGCTGAACGATTGTGGTGTAATGTTAAGTATCTAAGTCCTTGTATGACCAATGGATAACTCAAGTCCAATCATTTTTGTCCTCTCAGCTAACCAAGATTTGTGATCTGCTCCACTCTTCTTAAAAGAAAAATTAGCTGTTCATAATCCTTGGTTAGCAAATTAAGATGCATTTTTGTAGAAAAAGCCAAACCGCAGTGAAGTCCAAGAAATAAAAATAAGCTGTTTGAACGATCTTTATACCTGTATATATTGTTTCTATTGTGTACAGTTGCGGACAGTGAGCTGTTTTAAAGTTCCATGAAGTTATAATGCCTTTAATCAATTAAACTATAATTAATGCAGTATATTTTTATATCTTTTCCATTCCAAATTTGTGCAAAATGATAATGATAGAGGTTTCCCAAATAGATTTTGTATACATGTGTAACTGTATATTTTATTTTATATCAACACTGATCAAGTTTCTTTAAATCAGAAATTTTTTGCATTTTAATCATTGACAGGCCTTAAAAAATATGCAGGCTATTCTTGAAGAGGCAGGTACCACTATGAATAACGGTAAGGATTCTTTTACATGTTGATGATAGTGTTGAATTAAATGTACATCATTTTATGGCTTCCATGTCAAAATATACTAACACACCCTTCAAATTCAATCTTTGATAATGGTTTATATAACTACTTTAATTATGCTGACTCTAGCATATTTTAGTGAATTTGAGAGGATTCTGTAATTGTATTCAGAAGAATGGTTCACATACCCTGTAGAAGGCATTTTCCAATTACATGTACCAATATATGTACTATTAAAGTAATTAGTCCTGTATTTGCAAAGAGAATTATATGCAATAAATCTCAATTTCTCAGACTGAATGCTAGTTCTTACCATTCTGTCAGATTTCAATTCATTCAAAAGTCTACTGTACAAAATTGATGAGGATAAAAAAAATTATTACGGTCCCACAAGATATGCATGTGTCCTGCAGTAATCACTCTTTGTTTGTTCCATCTGTTTATGTATGTGGAGAAGACACTATGAACATATTTTTTTTCCAGATCTGTGGGGGTAAAAATTAACCCTACATTTTAAAAAGTGGGTTATTTACATCATGGCTGTGTTCAAGATTGTAGCAGATAACCTAGCAGCTAGGTGATAGATATCTAGCTCTATTGACAGCTCACCTAGCTGCTAGATGTTAGTTTCATATACAAATGTTTTAGTAATAACTAATTTTGGAACAAAGTGAGCTGAACTCTGAGATGAACTCAAGCAAAAATGTGTATGTAAATTTACATTTGATTCACTAGGATGGAGAAAAGAACCCACTTTATTAGCTCACCTGAGCTGAAAACTCGTGAGCTTAATTATCTAGCCTCAGGGTCATAAAACTAAGAAAAGCTTACTTTTGATCTCAGTCTCACTTTTCCACTATTAATTCCTTTAGTAAAAGTGAGACTGAGATCAAAAATGAGCTTGTCTAAGATATATGGCCCGGGAGCCTGCATGATCACGTTTTGTCCAGCGTCCATCTGTCTATCCGTCCATCTAGCTGTCCGTCTCTCTGTAAACTTTTCACTTCTTTCTGACTTCTTCTTAAGAACCACTGGGACATTTTCAACCAAACTTACCACAAAGTATTCTTGGGTGAAAGGGATTCAAGTTTGATCAAATGAGAGGCAATGCCCTCTTTCAAGGGGAGATAATCAAGAATTCGAGAAAATTTGGTGGCATGTTTTAAAAATCTTCTTCTCAAGAACAAGTGGGCCAGAAAAGTTGAAATTTATGTGAAAACTTCATTACATAATGATAGTGTAAATTCAAATTTGTTCAAATTCCTGAGAGTAGGTTGGGGCCACAATTGGAGGATCAAAGTTTTACATAGGAATATATTGGAAAAAATCTTAAAAAATCATTTTCTCAAGAACAGCAAAACTATGATTATTCATATTATTAAGAAGCATTCTCAGGTTTCAAGTTTGTTCAAATCATGACCCCTGGGGGTAGGGTGGGGCCATAATGGGGAATCAAAGTTTTAGAAAGGAATATATAGGAAAAATGCTATGCTCTTGAATGTACCTCATATGAGAAGTGAGATTTAAAAAAATCTTGACATCACAAGATGTAGAATTTTTTGACATACAAGTTACATAATATTGCAATGTCCATATTGGAACAGTATTTGCCTCATTCTTAACATTAAAAACAATATCTTTACAGTGAAAGAATAAATTACAAGAGACCTTCATACATTTACACCCCACAGTGGACATTACTATAAAAAGTAATCCAATACTGTATTTTTTTTATGCACTGTATAGCTGCAGATCTATCCACATATATCCCTTTTTTCCATCATAGCTTTTCACTGATTATCCTCTGATGTTTAGATTTGCTGTATGTTGTAAGACATATTTTTTTTGCAGAGCTATAAATTTGATTTTGCATGGTATCTGCGTTCGGAGGGGTGTGATGGGGGTTGGGGTGGTGTCTAATTTTGTAAACAGAGTGAACTTCCAGAAATAAATTACATGTACAAATGTAGTTAAAAGTTAGATAACTCTGTTGAGTTTATTTTGTCCGAGATCCGGAGCCCAATAATTGATTATTGCACCCCTATGCACCTGTATGGTGCATAAAAACAATGAGAATAGGCTATCCATTACAAATTTTATTTACCAATGAGCAATAAACTTGCAGGCTTTAAGCATTTTGCTGACTACTGCAGCAGTCAGTTTTCCAGTACATGTAATATGTGAAAGTGCTGTATATGTAGCATAAAGCTTAGTAAAATAGGTATAAAGCATACCCAAACAGATTCATAAAAATAATTTCATGCTTGATTTGATTTTATTTTCTGTGGCAATGAAGAAAAGTTTCATGCTGTACTACTTCTTTATTTAACAGTTGTCAAAGCCACAGTTTTATTGGATGATATCAATAACTTTGGGGCTGTAAATGAAGTTTATTCCAAATGTAAGTATTTAGGTCTCTGAAGCATTTAAACACCTAGATTGTTTGGCATCAACTTTCATTTTCCAGACATGTCTCTTTGGCTGAGTCTAACATTTGATACTCTGTCATTATGCCTTTCACAACACTTTATTATTTATTAAAATGACATTCAGCCAAAAAATGCTATCAAAAAGGCTTTATAGTGAAGATAATTTAAACTATTTTCTTTTTCCTTTTTTAAAATGAAATACATTGTATTTATGTCATTAAGAGGATATATATAAACCATGCCATGGAAATACATCAATCTTTAACAGATTTTTTTTATTACTCAGTAAACCCACGGAAGTATTTGTCATTGATACATGCAGGACAACTCTCTTGTCATATTTTATACAAGTATGCACTGAAAGGTTTCATACTAGTACTTAATGGAAGCTTACATGTACAAACATTTCCATTATAGATTTTTAAGTACCATCCTTATATTTATGAATTTAATTCAAATTCATTTATTAACTTTCTCCTACACACTAACATTGATTCTCAATTCTGCAGATCAGGTATTTTCCAAACTTTTGCATATTTTTATTGATTTTTGTAAAAATATTTCAATCGGAAAAGACAAAATTAGGTCTGGAAAAAAGTTTTTGAAAGCATTGTTTATATAAGGAAAATTCACACAGAAAGTTTATTCATCATGCTTTATGTTAATTCAGTGTCCATTTCATTTTCTAGTTTTCCAAAAGAGTTTTCCAGCCCGGGCAGCATATCAAGTAGCGGCATTACCAAAGGTAGGACAATTGTGTAGAAAATTTTGTTACTACTGTAAAATTACATGAGAATACCTGCATTTTCATTAAATATTACTTGTGATCCAGTAATTAAAGGGTAGATCAAAGATCTGATTTTGCTTAGATTGGTAGAAATGTCCTACTTGCAACTGCCTATTGAATGAAACAACTTTAAAAGATACACATGCAGTCAAGTTATTAAAGTCTCTCAATCATGCATTTTTCCCATAAACATAAAAAAATTAACATGCTTAGATCATTTTTATGTGAGTTTGTTAGTCCCTAGCAAAAACTGTTTACAAAAAAAGCAAATCATTCATGTTTCTGATTGTGTTTACGACTGTTATATTAAGATGTTTTCAGTGCTTTCCATCATTGCATGCATAATTATATTGCTTTACACAGTTGTTCAGAAGGATGCTTATTTGCATGACAATGCACAATGTCCCAATGCATCTAGTAGATGCTAGTGTTATCTGTGCTTGTGATCGTAACTTCCAGAGGTCCACGTTTACTCTGCTCACAATTTATATTGTTTCATTGGACTTTTGAGCATGATTACCATTTGTTATCTTCAAATGAATATGCAATACTTTCACTTCTTAAAACATCAGTGATGGGATCAGGTGCCATGTAGGGGTAAGTATCCCCTGTTGACAGGTCACAACTGCTGTGTGCCCTTTGTCCTGGTTGGATATTCAATAGTCAATTCAGTATGAAAATAATGGCCAAACAATTGGTATGAAAGATGACAGTCAACATTTGACTTAACAACAGATTGTGTTTGCAAACAAGGTTATATCAGCCATAGAGTTTGTGAAATGTTGAGTTTAAACAAGGTTATCATCAACTCATTTGTTAGTAGTCTGCCTCATTTTGAAAATTGCTTGAAATAAGAACATGCTCTTGCATATCAACTTGGAGACATAAACTCCACATGCAGTGAATAATGGTATATTCCTACCAAATATGGGAAGTTGACAATAGAAAAGTTGAAGTCATTACAAGTATTATAAAGTTTAGTTGTTAGTTTGCCATCAGTGTCACTGTCTTTCTCAAGTAAAATATCCAATTAAGAAGCAGATGTGTCAGACTCTGTGGTGTTTTCTACATTTCATTTTGTGCCATCAATGTTTTAGAGAATTTTCTGTAGAAAAAATATAACTTCTTTGGATTATATTTTGTGTTTGAAGAAGTGTTGGTAAACTTTGTTATATATATTTGAAATTTTATCAACTCTCATGAGATATGAATTCATTGGTCTTTTTGTACCATGAAAATGACGCAAATTATACCCCCCCCCCCTTTTTTTTAAAGATATTTCACATTTGTTCAGGTGAAATTGACTTTTCTTTTAAGAAGAGATGTTTTTCCATTGAAAACCTGGCTATTTTGCAACTGTTTTGATAATTTTCACAAGTTTTAAGTAATTGGTCTACAGTGTATTTCCCCTTTGATCAACCTGGTATGAACCCACAGCCCCTTGCCAAATAGGTCTAATAAATAACTAGAGTATTCAATGGAAGGTTTGTGTCACCTGCTTAATAACAGATGCAAATAAATTTAAGAGGGCATTATACTGTAGTTCATGCATTTACCTAAGAAAAAAAATTCCATGCATAGTATGACTATGATAGAATAAGAAATATGATTCCCCACCCTGTAAGTCTAAAATGAATAATGAAATTGAAATTATTAGAAATAACTATTTATCATTTTATTACGTGTTTATATAATCCAACAATCCTCCAACACAGATTTCAGTCTGTCTTTACTGCAATTGTCAGTCTACATGATCCATTGTAGGATCCCGATCCCAGTGTATTTTGACAGTGTTTAAATACATGTTATAAGTTTGTGTGGTATAAACTGTATATCATACAGTTTCAAAGTACAGTGTCATAAGCTCATAAAAATGTGATATAAATGATAATATTATCAAAACCCTGCCTCTAAAAATTTAAAACATGCAAGTGAAATAAAACATCCAGAGTATTTTGCAAAGAAGGTCAAAGGTCAAGGAGAGGTAATCTGTAACACTGGTATTATGGATAATATTTTATAACAAACTTTGCACATGCTAAATAGCATAAACTTACCTCTAAAATGTCAAAAATATGCTGTATATCAGCACTATCAACTGTTTCGAAATGAAGGTCAAAGGTCAAGTTCAAAGGTCATGAGGTCAGTAATCATGGTAATTTATAAAAGCTATAGTACCAAGCAATATATGCACAAAATATCAAATCAATACCTCTTACAGTTCTCAAAATATAAGGTGTGACAGATGGCCAGACAGACCCTGGGTAAAGTGATCCCCAAGTGTCCCTCTGCTCTGCAGGTGACACAGAAATGAAAGGCTGTTTAAGCTTTAAAAAGTATGAAATAATATAATTAAATAAGTTGGCAAAAAAAATGAAGGCTGAAAAGACCTTGGTCTTTCTTTTAATTGTTTATAGGATTTTTTCTCTGAATATTTCATTAAAAAAAATTATAAGCACTGCGATCAATATGCTAAATAATGTACATGTTGCTATAAATACATGCAGTTTTTGATAGACTGTGAAGCAGTAAAAGCATACAATATAGCAAAAACCATGAATAATTAATCATTTGTGTAGAATATGACAGAGTTCAGCCTGAAGGCAACTACATTTACATATCAATGAGTACATTGACACTTCCCCTACTATTTATTGAGTATTGAGAGGAATATTTCCTCAAGGGAAATAACTCTGTTAAACATATTGATAGGAATGATGGTAGTAATTTAAGCAAGTATCAAATTTTCATAGATCATATGTCTTAAAAGCAGCCTAAATGATAACCATTAAGTTAATGCATTGTATTAAGTGATTATCAGTTCATTAATATAATGATTATCGATTATCTTGTGATGGATTCATATTTATATGGCTCTTCTCTGTTACAGGGGGCTAAAGTAGAAATAGAAGCAATAGCCATAGTTGGAACACTGGTGGACTCCCAATGACTAGAGGCAAAACTGTAGTTTTTAAAAGTACTTTTGTCATCACATTATTGGGAAAATCCAATATCTGACTGTTTTATACTGAATTATAGGTAGAATCATAAGTTTGAATTTTATTGTAATTTTTTTCAAAAAGCATTATTGAGTACTTTATATTCATTTTATAAAGACAAATTTATATTTTTCATAATAAAATTGTATTATGAGCTGGAAACATATTACTAGTTATTTTGTCATGAGGAAAAATCCAGTATGTGTGTTTCTTAATGAACATAGCTGGATTGAAGTGTAAGATTTAAAAATCTAGCAATTTTATTCCAAAGTAGTACAATATAATTTGCTTATTATAATAGTTTATTTTTTCAAACAAGGTATAAATATTATAATAAGCAACCTATAATAAAAGCCAACGTAGGTCTAAAAACAGCAACTGCAGAAATGCCATTCCTGTTTGTGTTCCTAATTGTGCTAATTTTGTTTTTTGGGTTTCTTTAAATGAAAATTATAATGGGAGGAATTTACATTGAATTGTTAAGAAATGTTTTTTTTTTTTTTTTTGTGTTTCAACATTCTACAAAAATAACAGTGTTTTATATGAAACCCATATAATAATAAGCAAATTGTACTGTATTTAATATATTTTATACATATTATAAAGACGAAATTTTATTTTTTTAAAGGGAAAATAATATTTTCATTGAAAAAACTAGAAGATTGAAATGTGTTACTCTGACAATTGTCATGTGATGGTTTGAATTCCTTTGTGGCTACTTAGTATAATGTATAGGTCACGGTGTCTTCATGCAGTTAATGAGTTTACCTGTGGATAAATATGCAGTAGATGCCACTTTTAGTAAGAGTCTACTGCCTGTGCAGATTTAGATGATTCTACTCAGTTTTTAGTTATAGCTGACCACCTAAGCTTTGACAGAGATTCTTACAATTCAAAAGTTTACCGGGTCATGCCTGCTCAACTAATCATGCACAGACAATAAAATTTTGTGAATCAACATGAAACTTGGTATAAGTGCTGGCTTTTAAATGTTCATAATTATTTAATGGAAGATTGAAATTATATTCACTTTAACAGAGGTAATGGGCAGATATTATCAAGGTATAATGACACCTACAAGCTATATACATGTAAAACACTATTACACAGATTGAAGCAGCTAGATCACTTTCTGAGTGCTATAATCTGTCCCAAAATCGTTTTGTGTCTCTCTGTAGGATTTATAGATAGCTAGGTCTCCACTTGACTTCTGTATTTGAAGTGTTTCAGTTAATACTGGTTTATCTTCAGATGGTATTTACAATAGCTCAAATTTAAACATAAAACTGATAAAACCTTAAAATGTAAATGTGTATTGTTCATCGTTCTCAGAGATTCACTGATATTAAGGATTCTATATTATATTAAGATGCCTTATGTTAGCATTCAGGGACAATATCTGGCCCATTTTGACAAAGTGTTTCTCAGGTGACAAACAGAAACTGCAGTTGATATACCTGTACAATATTTATACAAAGGTGTCAGTATAGTTATGCTTTGTTTTTTTTACATGGAAGGCCTCTTTAATTTTGTCCTAAATTTTACAGATTGTGTAAATTGAAAAAAATGAGCCTTAGTCAGTTAAGATGATGGAAATGTAGACTGTTTCTACTGAAAATGACTCTATTCGTTATGAATTTAAGAGACAATAATGTAATACAGTGTACATCTCCCAATCCTAAAATCACTTGATTTGCATATGGTGTCTTTCTACACATCAGTTAGGCAATGTAGTTGAAGATTAAATGATAATTCAAAGAACTTATCCCCCCCCCCCAAAAAAAAAGGTACATGAATTTTAATTGGGAATAAAGAATTGGTAATCATAATAAAAAGGAGTGTGAATATAACATCTCCCTGTACCATGATGAAGGATGGGGCAGCAAACAAGTTGAGTTTAATGATTGTCAGACAGTAACCCCCCCCCCACCCCCCCAAAAAAAACATCAAGTGATTAAAGTATGCTATGTTAACCATGCACGGCTTTTTGTTTCATGTATCTGTTCATTAATCTTATTCAGTGTGTGGGCTTGAAATATGTCCAAAGTCTTCTAAAATGAGGAAAAGATTTATTTGTTTAGAGTTAATTGAATTAAACAATTCATGTAAATTGGAAAAACAAGAATTGAAAGTGTATATAATAATTTATTAACTTTTAACTATATAATAGCCAGTTGATGAAATTAACACTTTTTATTACGCTGTCAATCATAATTCAATTTCAATACAGTTAAATAAAGACAGAATTTAATTGTGACAACACAAACATGTCTATACATTAAAGAGTCCATCATTAGTAATATTCCAATAGCAGTGTACTTCATAGTATAATACTGGTATAGATCACAGTAATACATTTATATCAAAAAAATGCACCAACATTCCATGTTCTGCATTTTAACTCACACATTCTTCCTCAACTTTCATCCATCACAGTAAAATTGGAATAAGTCAGACTTCCAATAAATTCATGTTCATCCACACCATGTTGTGAAGACAAATACATCACAGGGTAAAAAAAGTAACTAAAGAAAAAAAATAGTCCAGGACGGATAGTCTCCCTTGAGTGGGCTCTTTTGTGTGTGTGTGCTTTTTCACTGGTTTAAAAGTTCCTTGCTTTATCTTTTTGAATAGTAAGAAATGAGTTTAAGAGAAAACTGTTTTGCCAATAAAATCCATTTTACTGATCCAGTGATACATAATTGAAAATGACCTAGCTTTAATTTTATCCCTGAAAAGAAATTAGAAAAGTAAAAATCAATTTAGTTAATTGACAACTCCATTAAACTTTAAAGTTACTAAGAATTAGAGCATTGATACATAGAATTATTATCATTTTTAATATAAAAATATTAACTTTAAAATGATACACATGTAAAATAAAAAAAACTCTGAGATTTATTAAATTTTTTTTAGGGTACATTTTCATATTTCATTAATTCTGTAAGTTTCCGAACAGTATACTAACCTATCACTATTCTGCTGCTTGTTCCGTCTGTTCAGACTCGGCGGCGGGGGGATCTGTGTTCTGTGCTGGCGCAGATTCTATAAAAGAGACATGTTTTTTTGTGTAAATATATTACTGGATGCACATTTTACCTTAATAATAAAAATAGAGCATTTTCCCCAATGACGTATAAAATACAGCTTAAAATTATTGGGAGTTTCCTGCCCTTACGGTCCACCTATTTTGACATCTTAATTTTTGAAACCTATAAATCCCGACCCTCGTCCGTAAGCTTTCACCAGTCTCTGATTACTTAAGGAATTGAATTTAACAAGCAAATTCAAAGAGCTGTGGTCCCCAGCTTTTGGTGTCTTAGTGGTTATGATGCAGTTATTTATGGCATATTGTAACTGTCTTGTCTGTGTGTCCTGTCTTGTCTGTCCATCATACAAAACATATTTAAAATTTTGAATTAAAAAAGTTACCGTCAAGATTTAAGTTACATCATTCAATCACATTTCAAGATCAAGGTCATGAGGTAAAATTCTTAATACAGTCCGAAAGGTCTTATTATATACAATTAATGCACACGTGAAAAAAAAGTCTCTTCTGCATGCATGGAGCAAAAGTTTTGGCCAAAGTAAGTAAATCAAACTTCTAGGTCAAGGTCATGATATAAAAAATGATAGTTCTTCTTGAGAGAAGTAGTCACAGGTAATGTACATATTAAATATGAAAGCTTTACCTTCTTTCAATCAAAAGTTATGACCAATGTTTAAATTTTTGAAAAGTACTTTAGGCTTAACTTTAAGGTTAAGGTCACGAGGTCAAAAACCATAGTGCACTCTGAAAAGTTTAGTAACAGGTAATGCACATGTCAAATTTGAATGCCGTATCTTCTTTCATTCAAAACTTATCACCAATATTAAAATTGTTGAAAAGTAGGTCAAACTTCAAAGTCAAAAATCATAGCACATTTGGTAAGGTTTTGTCACAGGTAATGCACATGTCAAAAAATATGAACGCCCTATTTTCTCTCATTCAAATTTTTATCAACAATGTTAAAATTTTGAAAAGTAGAAAGTGACGGGTTCAAAAAAATAAATCATCGTTCATTTGGAAAGGTCTTGTCACGGGTAATTTACTTGTGAAATATGAAAGCCCTATTTTTTCTCATTCAAAAAGTTGTGACCAAGGTTATTTTTTTTGTGACAGACTGACAAATGAGATTTAAGTCCCCTCACTGACAGACAGACGAATGAGATTTAATTCCCCTCCCTTTCACGAAAGCGAGGTACAAAAACGAAAATTATAGAGGTGCTAGTACGTATGTATTAAGAAATTATGTATCTTTATTACATACCCCCCCCCCCTCCACATCACTCCCCGTATATACACACGTGTCTTCGGATGAAAAAATGTATGTTTTCCAATAATTTTTATCTTGCTACAGATTTAAAATGAACGACTTACATACATGTATGTATCTATCATATTATCTATCATGCAAGTGAACTGTTTACTTGTTTATTAGTTACACATTGCAAAAACAGAATCAGAAATTATTATTTCAAAATACTATCTGTCAAAGTTCGTTTGGTTACAAAGTCCTTTAATAGAACATATACAATAAAAAAGTGCACCTTCGCGAATCGTAATCAGCTTTGGACTCCCCCCATCAACATATATATGAACCGGATCGTGTGACGTTTTAAGCTCAGCGTGCACGCATGCTAGCAAGATTAGGGGTATTGTCTGAACTGAACTTTAGCAGCTAAGTTCATTGTAAATAATTTTCATAAATCTGCCAAGCCTTTTGCAGTGCGGTTAATTTTTATTGGTATAGACGGATTAGACTTAACCTTCCCCCTCCTTGTTTCATTGCAAGTCTCAAGGCCGTTAATAATCTGTGGCCAGGCCTGTCCCTGCTTTGCACTCATGAAATGTCTCTTGAGGGCCAGTCGGGAAGAAAAAAAAGGGGGGTGAGCGAAAAACGAGAATAATAATAATTTTACTGAATTATCCGAAACAAGAAATAAAACATGTAAGATGTTATTTCACTTCGAAGTGACTTTTAGGGCAACTAAAATGGAGGTATACATTACTGGACCATATTAATTTTGTGAATAAAATGAAAAATCCGATTAATGGGTAGGGGGACTTAGGAATTCTCTCTCTTCCTCTCGTGTAATACGGTCTTGTATCAATTTTCTTTCAAACCAGTTATCATTATTACTTATGATGTTGGCGCATTAAACAGTTTGTGTGCTAATTAATTTTCTTTGCTCAACCCCGTTCACGATCATAAATTCCTATTCAAAGGCCCTATAATTAAAGTTTTGACATACATGTTTTGCAATTCATACAAAACAGGATAAGACACGAAAACGTTGGAAGAAAAAAAATGACTAAAACTCTAATTAGTACGAAAAACAGACAAATGAACATGCATCCCGTGTTCCATTCTCCGTTGTTACGTAAAAAAAAGTTCTAATATTATTATTAAGAGGACGTCCCTACTTTTTGCATGAAGTGAAATCCCATCACTTCTTTGATAAATAATTGATATGTTCGTCAAAACCTCCGAAAACAATTTTTTGGTTGACTTCCCGCCACACACTAGTGCTAATTATTACGATTGCTTTTAACTTCGAGTATATACATGTATCTTGCTCTTTGACGAGCAGAAATTAAAAAAAAAGGATGTTTAAAACCCTTTATTAAAAGTTGATCGATAAAAGTGTTCCAAGATAAAGTATACTTGTATATCTAAGTTGTCTTTTCCTCGATTATGCCTATATGGAAAGTCATAAATTCCAGATTGGGTTTATATTTTTGTGTAGCTATGTAGCTACTATCATAAATATTTAAAATTTGTTACCAGTATCTGTTTGTTAAACATATCCATAGACTTATTTTGGTCGATTGGTATAAGATAGCAGATAAAGAACACGAGCTTAATGCCAAATAGCTAAAACATTGATTTGAACTATGTTTTAATGGGGAACTGCGTAATTATAGCGATCGAACAAAAAAAATAACAGGTTTCGATCTGTGTTGGACCTGTTTCATTTATGATCTACTTCCTCGAATAGGGGTAGAATGTTATCTCCACACGCGATTAAGATGCCTTTACTAGACGGGGGACCTTCTATTATTAAAAGTTGACATCTCGGAACGACACAATGTCTAACTGTGGAGCTTTAAAGAAGATTTCAGATAACTAAATCATCAAATGACTAAGCTTCTACATACATATATCTTCCAGAATTTTCGTAATTAATATGAAACTTGTTTTACAATCTGCAAATAATATACAAAACTTGCACTTCTACTGAAATTAGTTGCCAAATCCACATTTTAAACTCAAAAATGAAAAATCGACAAAAAAGGCATTCCTTACCCGTCTGTGTTGCGGGGGCTTGCTCCTGTTGCCCATTGCCCTCTGATGGGCCTGTGGTTGCTGTTGCGCCTTTGCTGTTGTTACAACCCATCTTGCTGCTATACGCTCAGTTCTAGGTCCTCCGTTTTTTTGCGATGTAAGATGATTACGTCTCCGCGGTCGCAACACTGACTTTTGCCCGAATGCAGAAATGCGCCAAATAGGATTTTAATGCTCTCGATCCGCTTTTCCTCCTTGTTTACAATGCTTTTGTTTTGGGTCGTTATGACTACCTTCGTGTGATGTTTTTGATTGGATTCAACATCATCCATGAATATATTTATGACCAGTCGTTGCCCGTTCCTCGCGAACCACCAGATAAGGAATTAAAAATCTTTCTTTTGTTTTAACCGGTGATTATTAAAACGCCCGTTAATTTGTTAAGGTGGGATTTTAATGTTATACAACGGTATAAAGACAATTGTGCCTCATTAAACTGGTTCATTCGCGATTATTAACGAATCAATCAACCTAATTATCCCCACGGATACTCTTCGTATCAGAGTACCGATCAGGATAAGTTGATCACACGAATCAATAATTAATAAGAATGTTACAGGTTCTTCTCGCGAGAAAATGGACCAAAGATACAAACAAATTACGATTATTTTGCAAACAAGGGGAAGATATGCATCCCAGTATTTACAAACCAGGAAGAAAATTAAAAGGATAGAGAGAGAGGAAGAAAAAAGGAGAGAGAGAGAGAACGAGAATCTATTGTATTAATTAAGCAGAAACAGCTTTCTATTCCCATTCTTCCACAGTATTTGTGTAGTTCGAATTTATCTAGTCACAAGATTTTTAGTAATGAATAACTACTTCTGATCATATTTTCATTGATGGTCAATGAAAGATGTCACACAGACATTAGATAAAGACACGGTGTTTGGAACCCCCCCCCCCCTTATTCGTTTCTTACTCTTGTAAATAATGAAAAACTGTACGATATTTCACAAGGCCAATTATTCGTACATGACATTTGGAAAACCTTCTCATATTTTTTTGATGGGGGGGGGGGGGAGGAGGATAAAACAACTAACTACTGGTGAAAGCTTTCAAAGTTAAGCCTTAATTCGAGTAAATTTCAATGACATCTCGAACTTTCATGATTGTCGTTGATTTTTTTTTTTTTTTTTAAACCATAAAATCAACCTTATGTGTTTTATCAACTGAAATAAGGTTAGGTGATCGAATTTTAAATAATGAATACATGAAAAATGACCGTACAGAGGGGGATGATGTTGCTTGTGACGTGTGTTTCCATCAAAACTTGGTATAAAATTACAGAATACGTTAGTTTACACGCTTATCAGACTACAACCCTCGTGTCGTTCGACATATTTCATGATTACATATCAAAAAATCATCAGGAAATTCTAGGGTTTTTTTTCATTTCCAATATGAGGAGGTCTTCCATGTCAAAAATTAATCCAGTAACTTTTATTTTCTTTAATCTTTGACAACTTAAAAAGCTTTTTTTTTTATTTGGAAAGGAAGGGAATGGCTAATTTGGGAATGAGAGGAAAAATGATTCCTATGTACCCAAAATTAATAATTTATAAACATTGCCTTTCGTCTGAAGTATATACATAAAAGCGTTTAAAAAGCGTGAAATTACAAGATTGAATGCGGAGACATGTTTTATTCATTGTGTACAAGATTAAGAAATGTAATCTTCAATTTTATTTCTACTTAAAAATCAGCTTCTGGTGAAAGTTATTTTGAAAACAACATATTTTTAGGAGACATTTTACAGCTCTCTAGACAACAATATGCATATTTCTGTGATGCACAACACATATTCTTTGTACACGTATTTACGAGTCCCCAATGATTACAGATGGTAAAGCTAGACGCCATTCCATATGGAGCCATTGAGTACATTGACATTAAAGAAATGACGCACTTGTCGTTGGACACGCAACAAAATTATTGGTAATTATAAATAACTCATTTCTGTAAACCGAAAATCCATTCCTGAAACATTTCAACAATGTTTCACATAGTTGTAAGAATGGGTTTGTAATTGGATTGTTACTAAGTAAAAACAGAGATTTTTACAGGGCTGCATTTTTCCTACCACTGTATAACAATGTTGGCTCAGAATCAATTCCATTTGATAAGGTTTCCCTGAGAAGTATTGATAGAAACTCAAGAAAGTCATCTGCATCACTGATAAATTATCCTTAGGAAATATCTTTGTCTGAAAACTTAATCAATATTGTATTCATTGATACACAAATAAATATTCAGTGTATTGACAATTGTATGATGTTCTCTTGTTCTTTACCCCCCCCCCCCCCACCTCTCTCTCTCTCTCTAAAGCAATGTATTTCATGCCCACCCAACACCATATCTTACCTGCATAAGAAAAAGAAAGAAGATTTACAACATTTTAGAGAGATTTTATTTTTTACTGAAATAATCAGCCACCTGTGCTATTGTTAAATTTGTTATAGATTCATTATCAGAATAAATGTCTATCACTTCCAGCCCATCTTCTCTTTCAATAGCCTGTAAAATCAATCAATGCACACATTTAAAACTACAAGTTTTTTTTGCAGGTTAGAGGATATGAAATGACAATAGAAGTACATAACAACTTTGGTCCCAGCTATCAAAGAGCTAATTAATAATTAAGAAAATGAAATCTGCAATAATCCTGTGGAAATGTTTACCTTGTTGCCAATGACAACGGCATAAGGAAACCCTTGACACCTGGCATCCACAATTCTTCTCCCGATTGTTATTGACAACCGATCATCAATAATTACCTCCCCTGCTGTTGATGGTATGTACTGTAGCTGTTCATATAGCAGTTCTGTTAACTTTCTGAATTCATCATCTGATGCTCCCTTCTGAAATTCAGCATCAATAAAAATCACATGGCGTAAAAATATATTATTATAGATTAAATTCTAGATTAAGGTGTAATGACCCTCTGCTCAAAATTTCATTAAATTTTTTTTTTTAAAACTTCCCAACATTGGTTTTCATCTTTAATTATAGCAATAGATTCAAATGGAAAACATTGCCCACGTGGTGCAGTGGTTAGAGCGTCTGCTCTAGAGGCGCGAAGTAAGGAGTTGATCCTTACGTCGCGGGTTCAAATCCCACTGTGGGTCATGGAGACCGGTCCTTCGGATGAGACCATATAAACCGAGTTCCCATGTCGCAGTAGGTGCTGGCACGAAAAAGATCCCTCACTGCTCAATGGCTGTAAGTGCCGAGTATAGGATAAAATTTGCAGCTCTCCGGAGGCAACTGGTGGCATCTCTGTATGAGTGAAAAATTCTCGAGAGGGACATTAAACAACATACAAACAAACATCAAATGGAAAACAGTATGAGGTATGAAGTGGTGTTTATTTTTTCAAAAAAATTTATGTATGACCATGATATGAAGAAAGTTTGAAGCAGAGAATTGGAAGAGCAACAAATTATAATCATTTACATAAAATTTTAAAATTTGAGGTTTATATGAAAATCGTACTTAGTGTCATACATATTAAATTCATATTAGAAAACATAATAAAACAGAATATCAGATTTTAATCTGTGCTTGAAAAAAAAAATGCATCCTTCAACGAGTTATCTTTCTTTAAAATATTTTTAACAAGGAAAAAAATTGTATTAATAATGAAAATTCTTTAAATGGTACATGATGCATTACTGCAGTTTTAAACTGGAAAAAAGGATAGAACTATATAATTTGTAAGTGTTAAAAATCTGGATGCAAATGTTTTAGGTCAATTAGAATCAAAAACTATGAAAAATATAGGCAGAAGAAAATAGAACTCAATGTTTCCTCCTACATGTATGCTGGTTTTAATTGAATTGACTATTTGAAGGTCTCCACTACTTAACTCTGTTATGACAAGCTATGGGTAATTTCATGATTATTTACTTGGGGAGTTATCTCTCTTATCAGAGGGTAACCCCCTTAAATCAAATGCCTATTAAGATAGCATGCTTTCAGTTTTGCATAAAAATCACACTGCTGTAAAAATTAAATATGCATACATTTCTATAATTGTCTGAATCACTGTATTGAATTCAAGTTAACAGAACCCCCCTGCAATCTCAAACTAACAAATTACACAAAAAAACATCCACTCTGAATGACTCAAAATTTTCATTTTGAACTTTTTTAAAACATAAAATGCCACAACATTTAATGTTTGATATCAATTGAACTGTAAATGTGAATTTGTGCAAACTACAGGTGTTTGGTTTCAATTAAATCTGTATTCTAAATATCTTACCTAGAATTCATTAAAAAATATCCTATCATACACAAACCCTTTTCTTTTTATCATTAAATGATTGTTATGTGAACAAGAAGTTTGTGAAAGAATTATCTCTTTCTGTAGTCAGTGTTTACCGTAGAAGGGATGAATGGCTCATGCTGCAGGCATAGCCCCATTAGCCAGCATAACCCATTTCCACCTCCTACGACAGGGACATGGGGCTTAGACTTTAGGAGGTGAATGAATTATCAATAAAGCTATAAATATTAAACACTGCAAATGCCTCCACTCCCTCCTCAGCAATTCTTCTAGAGAGAGAGAGAGAGAAAGAGAGAGAGAGAAGACAAACCTTTTGTGGTATAATCACTATCTGATATGGTGCAATCAATCTGGGCCATTTGATGTGTTTCCCATCACTCTGTACTTCTACGGAGGCCTGTAAAAGCCTAGACACACCCATACCATAGCATCCCATCTCAAGCACCCTGAAAATAGTCCAGTATTTAATCCGTAGTCTATACACAGTAAAAATATCAATCTGGACACTACTTGCATGATTTGTACTTATGGTGCTACAAGTTTAATTGACAAATTGTTAAAAAGAATTATTTAGAATGAATAAAGTCTTTTCTCACTTCATTTTCTGATCTTCTGCTCTATACATGGCCCCCAAAGGTTTTGAGTATTTTTGTCCCAAGAGGAATGCATGGCCTACCTAGATATGTTAATATATAACTTAAATTGCAAACAACTTACACCTAAAAAAATAATATGTTAACTGCAACAAATGATAAGTAATTGCAAAAATAAGGAAAAAGTCAGCTCTATTTATCCATACTACTGAGAGATACATTTTTTTAATGATGTGATAATTTTCAGTAGTACAACATCTAATATGATTTGAAGATCTGTCTTGAGCTATGGTAACTCTTAGTCAAAGTCAAGTGTAGTATTATTGTCCTAGAAATCAAACAAGTTCCAATACTGATCAAGCAAATGCCTGCATGTATTCTAGATCTGCTGTTTGAAGTTGCATATAATTATGAGAAGGTTTGAGAGATTTGTTTTTTACCTCTATGGCATTAAATGATTCCAGTCTATTGGATTTACAAGATGAACATTCGTCTTCTTTTTCTTGTTAAAAGAAAGAAGGAAAAAAGCTTGACATAGTAAAACATGCTTATAGTGAACATTCAAATATACATGTAATGAATTTACACTTACAGTGAAATGATTTTTGTTCCTTGTGGTTTTAAAAATTTTGTGTAATATTGTGAATTTAACAGATATAACAAATTATGTTTACAATGAAGCAAAATTGTCTGTCCCTGGCCTTTGCTATAAGCGTGTTTACTGTACAAGTATCAACCTATTCATAATATATGACACAAAAACTGAAATTTAAGGTTCATCAACACTCTGATAAGAGAGATAACTCTTACTGGTATGATTGATTGACTATTTCATGTATTCCTTTACAGAATTGTCAAAATGCAATTTCAATCTGACCAATTTTGCACTGTAAGGTATGCTGAAATAATGTGCAATTTAATTATCAATCAAATTCTTTTGGAAAATTGTGAGCATTTAAAACAAAATTTTAAAAGAGTGAATAGAAGGCTCATGAACCTTAAGAATAAGCACAGGTATTTGGTAATACAGTTGAACTTCGATATCTAGAACATGGATATCTTGAATACCATGGATATGTCGAAGTATTTGGGAAGTCCTAACCATGTATTTCTCAAGTATTTTCCCCTCGATATCTCGAACCCTCAGATATCTCGAAGTTTTTTCTTGGTCCCATCGAGTTTGAGATAATGAGGTTTGAATGTATAAGGGGTTTCAAATGATTATCAACTTATTCACTGATGGAAAAATGGAATTACATTATACATTTAATAGCATGTCAATGGCATGCATCCAAATTTGGACATGACACTATCATGTTTACAAATAAATAAAAGCAGTTACATGATATTCTAAACATACAGTGATAACTGAACATAAACATACCTAGAACTTCTTTATTACCACTGTACCCACAACTGAAAGAAAGCAAAGGCAAGAATTTAAAGCTGCCATTAGTATACATCATGTATGAACAAACTTTTCACAGCTAAACTTTAGAATAGTATCTCAAACTCTCCAGTATGGAGGTAAAAAAAATACCCCTGAAATATCCATCACTTTGAAATAACAAGTTAAAACTCAAACTGTAGTTGGCCAAATACCTCAGTCTGACTTGGTCCTGGTTTATGATATATTTGCATTTAATAACTCAAACTGCATTGCATTTTTTAATGTCTGATATAAGGTAAAAAGAATATGACAATAAATATTTTATCTCGACTTACTGTTTTGAGTTTTTTTCAGTCTAAGGGGGAGAACTTCAAAACAGTTTCTGATATAGAAATCTATCAATTGAAATAAATGTATTGGAAATAAAGCATATTATTGCAAGGTTTTTTTAAACTTCAGAACTACCTGCCTGGTACAAGTGTATACTAGATCCTCCCCTACACCTGGACATTTCAGGTGAAACTCATGTGATTGAGACCCCCCAATCAAGCCAGTGGCTGCCTCAGCTGTAACAAAGGGGAAACACTAACAATGTTTATCTATAAACACTAACAATGTTAGCCTAAAAAACACTAACAATGTTCACCTAAAAAAATGTCAAAACTGAAGAAAATATAGCCACAAGGTTGTATTTGCTGTGAGTCACCATAAAAAAAATAATTAAGCATTCTGTCAATGTTTTGGAATTATGTGGGTTTTTTTTATTAAATAAATTGGTGTATTTTTGTTTTGAAACTTTCCATACTACAATTCAAATATTTTATAACATTGAATATGCCAAAATGTATTCTAATAAGACAAACATTTGCATAAATCTCAAGCTCCAGTGACATCCCCAAATAGAAATAAATTATTTCCTCTAAAGTCTTTAGAGACCACATTGCCATGGATACTGTAATTTACGGACTATATGACGATGCTTTCAATAAGTCGAAAGGCTATTTTTTTTTAACTTTTGGGGCCTTTTTTGTAAACTTGAGCCTTAGAAAGGTCAATTCTTTGAACAGGGCAACGCCAACAATTCTGAGGAAAAAAGTATTGACCTATCATCCGTAAATTACGGTAATCTAAAATTGGACAGATTCAAACTGAGCAAGAGAGTGTATTGATGAAAGTGAATGAAAGATACAAGACTTCTCACTCTGCAAATACCTTTAACAAACTCCAACTGAAGTCTCTGTAGAATTTTCTCATAAGCCTGAATCACCTCCTCATAGGTACTTTTTGCATCCTCCTCTGAGGTATGAAAAGTATACAGATCTACAAATAAACAAAAGAAAAAAAAGGTAAAAAATGATAGGCCTAATAAAGTAATTTTTTTAAGTGAAACTTTTGTCTTCTCCCCCCCCCCCCCCCCCCCCCCAGCACACACAAACATATACACACATAATTGGCTGTCAATTTACAAGAAAAAGGATACCTTTCATTTCAAATTCCCTACTTCTTAAAAAACCATGGTGAGGTGCTGGTTCATCTCTAAATTTCTTTGTTATCTATAATAGATTAGGAATAATTTCAATTATATTTTGTGTCAAAGTTCTCATTATTGTTAGCAGAAAGTAGACTTTGCAAGAATGAAATTTTCTAATCAGACTTTTTCTTCTGGCCAGAAAAAAAGAAAAGTTAGCATTTATTTTGACAGTAAGAAAAGTATTCAAAATACCCCTTTTAATAAAAATAATTAAATAAATAATAAGTTTCAAGAGTATGTGATGATTTGACATCAAATAGGACAGTTACTGTATACTTGAAAATTCTAATCCAATTCTTATTTAAACCCCATCAACCAAAGATGAAAGTAAATATGGACTACATGTATTTAAAAAAAAAAACCCTTTTCTACTACATGTACCGGCAGTACCTAAACAATTTTTGTTCAAGTCAAACTGTTACGGAATCTATTTAATGCATTATGCTGTTATCCTTACTTGATATAGCTTGGTAGGGAACCTGTGCTGGAAATTCAGCTGACTGGCTAACAGCTCTGTAACAATTTCTTCATGTGTCTTCATAAAAAAAAATGTTTAAAATCACACAAAAATCTGATTTTTTTTTTTTTTTTTAACAAAATCAAAGTTTTCTCAAACACATGCTTTACAATCATTTATTCAAATTCAATGAAATATATAAAGTTACCAGAGTTATCTCTCATTGCTTCACAATAAAAAGACAAAACACTATTATGTTTTTAGATTCATTAAGAACTATCAATTATTGGGCTTTGATGATACACCTTCTACCATGTCTTATAATATTTTGATACGATATATCACAATATTCATGCCATAATATGATATACATCATATTTTTAACTGGTTATAAATTTCTAATTTGTATTGAAATAAACATTCATACTAAAAGCTGTATATCTAGATCTGTTGTAAAACAAGTTATTTAACAAAAGTATTGTTAATCAATACATATTTCATGTTTACATCTAAATTTAAAATATTTAATTTACATTTTAAACCCAAAATGTTTAGTATTAAACAAAATAATAATCCTTCCTACCAACCTAATTTTTTATTTACATATAATACAAAGTAGTAAACTAACATATATTTTTCTTGGGCCTAATACTAATCATTTATGAGGATTAAAATAAATAAAGCCCAGCTGTCATATCTGACATTCTCTCTTACAGGACCAAGGCAATATCCTTTTTTATGTCTGTCCTCTAATCTGAATAACTCTGCTCCCATTGCATCCCACCTCCCTATAGAAAAAAAATATATATATATAACAGCAATTTAACATAATACAAAAATTAAATAGCTATCTTAACTAAATACAGTGCAGGAACAAAATTTACATTTGATAATTTAGATAAAAATGACAAAGACTGAAAATTTAAAAGTAACTTTTTTTTAACAGTAAAACACATTTGAGCAATAAGCAATATATAAACAATTTATATCTCTTGAGAAGCAGTAGCACATTCAGAACATTTAATTTTAATTAGATTATAAAAATTATCAAAATCAGTATACACACCAGTGGTTTTCCAGAGGCGTTTTGGTACCAATGATGGCATCTGAATTTTCTCCGCTCCTATAGCTTCCATTTCTTGGTCTATAATCTTGATTAACTTTTGTAGAGCTCTCAGACCTTGAGGCATAAGAGTGAATACACCTAGCGAGCTAGGATAGTAGATTCCATTGGCCAAAAAGAGCTGAAATGTGAAGAATCTGATTAAAATTAGTTCTTAAATTTTTGTCCCTTACACTCATTTATGAAGTAGCAAATCAGCAGTGAAGGAAGCAAATGAAAATTTTTTATTAGTCTGTAAAATAATTTTTCTGTTGATTATGACTATCAATGCGCTACTTTGAAAGAAAATAGTGGATTTCACATTTAACACAGATAAAGAATTTCTAATACTGTATGCATATCTAAAAGAAAATAATAACGAATTATTCAACAATGCACAAATATTAGTACTGTAAACAAACGCTTACTCTGTGACTAATTGAAGTTATCTCCCCTTGCTTTGGGAGATCAGTAAATTTCTGGAACATCTTTGACAAATATTTTGGCTTGTTGTGTAGAAAACTTCTAACCAGTATTCTCCTCCTAACAGACAACAGCTTATTTAGGGTCCTCCATTGATCTATATTTGCTGTAAGTAGCTTCATCTGAAAGAAAATTGGTGAAATTTTTATTTTCATCTTCTTGTAGCATATCTTTTCAGTTTCATTGCTGTTGAACTTTGTTTTTCTGACACAGATACTGTGAAATCTCTAATGTTTGTGGAGGTTTAAATTTAATATTTGTTGTTTTCAAGGTATGAAGAGACCCATGAATTCATGTCTACCATGAACTGTAAAATTTCATAAACGTATATATATATTACTCATCAGTTCTTCATCCAAGAAATCATATCCCCATGAATCCATATTTTTTCCTCAGAACACAAAAATTTTACCCCATGAATATATGTGATTTTACAGGATATCAAATACAAGAGATATGCTGAACTGAGAAATTGCTCTTTGGATACCAAGTCATGTTTCAAGTTGTTCCTTTCAGTACCTCAAATTCAAGTTAATGGTTGAAAACTCCAATCAATTAGGCCACAGAGCCTGTTTTCACATAGAGTCTGACACTATCTAAGTGTGATAACAGGCCAGGCATTAAATAGATTCTCCAATTTACTAATGAATGTGAATTAATTACTATGGTAAAACTTGCTTACAGCAAAGAATTTTGTTTTTATAAACATAAATTAATATTATATCCATCAAGTTCACAATATGAGTGATTTAAGCTGTCGATGTACAGGTTTCTTGTACTTTACAATGTTCAGTGTAACACGGTACTGTCCAGGGTTCAGTTCCCGTATAATATCCAATCACTGAGTTCAAGAAGGGTAAGAGATTTTCAGTGTTTTAATAATTACATTCTGGTAAAAAGCAAAAATAAAACAAGTAATTTGAAAAACAATTATTAAGATATAATTGAAGGAGAGTGTGATTTTCAGTAATACCCTTAATTTTAACTCCTGCCCCTAAAATATATCTGGGAACAAACTTTATCTAGCCTGAACTGTGGAGAAGTATATATGTCGATATTATTTGTCAACGGTGAAACCCGGACAGGTACGAAGCCTGGATGCACATAACCCGTATGGTTTCTGCGCAAAGGGTGATAACTCTAAATAATAAAACATACAATACATGGAAAATACCACTAGCTAAAAATAGACAAAATACAAAAACCATCACATCAATATTAAAAGTACACATGCAGCTAATGTATGAAACAAAACCTGAGGCCTGTTCAAATGAGCGAAAGTTCACAAGTGCTTGCAAACATTTCTGTAAGAGGGATAAGGAATTTTAATGAGCGTTAGAGAACATACACAATGTTGAACAGGCCTAAGACTGAGCGCTGAAAAACATTAGATAATAATAAGCAAAGTGTCCTGTGGGTGATCAAACAGGAGGTAAATTTAACACCTTGTCTGATATCAAGATACATTTTTAATTTACCAATTGAGATAGGCACATATACTATGAAAAGGACTGGGCTGAATATTATCATTTTGATCTTAGAATGATGCGTCTTTCACAAATATCTTAAAAAGTACAGTTCTAGTCTGGGGAAATAAAACGTAAATTCGAATTTTCTCTGCAGAGAATCTAATATGTCGTTTATACATTCAGAACAAACATAAGATGAAAGATAATACCAGTTTACCGTTTAATACTGAGCATTTCATTTGACGATGAAAGGAAATAGGAAATTGGAGAAACTGAGAAACCCTATTATCAGTATCAACACTGTGTTTACAACTTGGGAGATACTATTATTTGAAAATAATTTCCGGAATTTAAAAAGAAATGAAAATGTTTATTGATTGCTGTTTATCTCTCATAAACAGAGTTAGATTCATATAATTAACTGCCAATAAATTATTTAGAATTAAGACAATTTTTAATAGTCATCAAAAACTTTGAATTTTTAAACACTTTACGGAAAGAACACAATGAAGTTTTTGCATTTATCGTGTCTTCGTGATTTCTCGTTTTGAGAATCTGAACTGAAGTTGACGGAGAACAGAGAGTCAGAGTGAAAAACATATTTATGTATCTGTTGAAAAGGAAAGTAGATCCTTCAAGTGTTACTTTGGGAGATTTCAAGTAATTAAGAAACTGACGGTCTTTGATAGGTTGCTTTGCAGAGCGGTCCTACTAAACAGAGAACTCTAGAGAACCCTAGAGAACTCAAGGTTTATTTGGTCAATTCAAATAAATTTTATGCATAATTGAGTTTATTTTTACTTTATAAATCATATTCTATCTATAAAATCAATAACATGAATTTTTTATGGATGTTTTCCCTCGAAAGAACAACATAGAGTAGTGTAATATTTTATGTCATCCCGATCCCGACTGAATTTCAAATACGTTGTTAATTGAAATAATAATTTTACCACATAATTTTACAATTCTTTTTCACATTATTTTTTATTTAATTTTATTTTTAAAGTTATATAGAACTCTTAGTCATTAACTCTGGCATAAAGTTATTTGAAAAAATAATTAAAAATAACACAAAGTATGATGAAGTCTTCATACATTAGTATTCCATTGAAAATAAGCATAACACCTGGCATAATATTCTTTTTTTAAATTTAATTTTGTTTTTGTATGCTATATTGATTATTTAAAACATAAATATTTCATTTACAAACAATAAATAATTAAAAATCGTTAGGGTTCTCTAGGGTTCTTTAGAGTTCTCTAGGGTTCTCTGTTTAGTAGTACCCTTTGCAGAGATAATGTAGTATGACTGCACCTTGTCCACTTCTCTAAAGAGAATACCTGGCAACCTGTCTTGTTGCATTCTGTTGAATATTCCTCTAGCTGATCTGACAGTTCATGTTGATTTAACATTTCCCCTTTTTTTTTAATTTAGATTTATTTTAGAGTTTTTTATGTAATTTAAAGTTATATGACAATGGATAGTTCTGTGAATTCATCTTGTAAAAGGAAACGTGATGAAGAAGATGAGACGAACAATATCAACAGAACTGAAAGTGAAGAGCAAGGAAAACTCAAACAGACTCAGTCAAACAAATGTACTGTGAGGGAGGGTCATTCCTGGTGGACCTGCTTAATGATGGACATGCCAATGAGCATGACAAAGCCCCAGAAAGTCGATCAGAATTCACCACAGAAATAACTCAAAGTCTGGAACAATTGCTGTTACTTATTTGAATTTATGTTATTATTTTTACTTTAACTGAAGATATGTATATACATGAACTGCTGTGATTTTCCCTCACAAAATGTACTGTTTTTTATTTTGTTAGTACATTAGCATTACTTCCCAGCATGGAAAACACAAGGCTTTTAAACGTATCAGTGTCTCTATTATGAATGTAGTACATATTAAAACCAGTGATAAAAATATTGAGCAAGTTGATGATTGCAATTCAATGAATTGTGACAACAGTCCCAGTAAAGAACCTGGAGTCTCGCTGCCTTGTCCCCCTCTAAAACCTGAGGATACAGACTGTTGTGGGTCAGGATGTGTACCTTGTGTGTTTGATATCTATGAACAGGATTTAAAAATATGGAGAAAAGAATGCAGAAAAATAAAAGAAAACCAGAGAAATGAAGAAAATCTGGTAATTTAATATATGTAAATTCTACAATGTTGATAAAGAAGACAGTAAACCTGTGTAGCAATTGGCAAACATTTTAACAAAAAAATATTTATTTAAACCCTAAGATAAAGAGAGTTTTGTTCAGTAATGGAAATAATCAGTGTTAGGTTGATGTGTTTTTTTTTTAAATTTCAGTCTGATGATCATTTGCTGACTGATTCTGAGTATAGGAAGTTTTGTATCACAGAAATCAGACAAGAAACAAAAAATTGTTTTCGCTTTCGACTGAAATTGCCAGAATTTTCATCCTTGGGCCTCAAAGTTGGACAGCATATCATAATTAGGTAATAATAATTTTCACTTTCATCTTCGAAAAAAAAAAATATTTGGTTGATAATAGATACATATATACATGTATCTGAGTATAAGTTCATTACATGAAGGAAACAAAAACTAATTTTGTTTCATATTGAATAATATTGATTTAATAGTGATTTGTTCATTGTTAAAAAACAATATATATAACAATACTTGTTATCATTTATTTGGACACTGATGTTTATATTCTAGGGATACAAACAATGGTTCAGCAGTTAGTCGACAGTATACCCCTATATCTGATGTCAGTTGTTTGGGACATTTTGATCTCCTCATCAAGGTAACATTTTACAGTGCTAGTTTTACAAGATACATAGTTACCTCCCTTTCAAAAATTTTAAAATAAGGATTTGGTTTATTCTTTTACATGTATTTATTTATGTGATTGAATTTAAGACAATGATCAGAGTGTGCGAAAAATGACTATCTCAAGAAAATTTTTATTATTGGTAAATAATTCATGCTGCATTTCATTAGCATTTTATGTAAACAAAGATTTTTTTAATATTATCAAAATACTTTGAATGACTTAATGGGACACAAACTGCACTGGCATATTTAGGGTGGGGGCTCAATATGTAGTGATGAATAAATTCTATTTTCTTGTTAGATATTGCTTTTATTTACATAAAACATAGCTAAAATAACTCAAAAATGTTTTTAAAAGACTTAAAACCTTGTAGCTTCTTGGGGCCTCAATAGACCCTCATCAAAGCTTTACCCTGGACCCACTGGGGGCCCTAAGGTGACCCTAGGCCTGCTCCTACCCTCTCCCCTTTCCCCCCATCCTTTCAAGAATCCTGGATTCACCACCAAAATAGGTGAAATAAAATAAATAAAAAACTTTTAATTTGTCTTGCATGAAATCATTTTAGATTCTATTCATTACAAAATTCATTTTTGATCTTTTCATGTTCACCTGTCATTTGGATCCTATAGAGTTGTTAATGTCCTTTTATCAGAATTTTAAATTTTATCATTATTAGGATTACCTTAATTTTGCCTAAGAGAGAAGCAAACACTTTGTGTGCCAAGGATTTTCTTTTTAAAAATATGTGTATATATACACAGCTATGGATGGTATTTAGTAAAACACATGTATTATCAATTCAGAAATTGCAATTCTTCTGTTATTTCCTGTGTCATTATTTTATATAGAACTATAATTGATGGGTTCTGGAGATTACTGGTATCCTTTCCTAGGGACCGAAATATATAGCCTTGAGCATTGTGACGTCATATACATGTATATCATTGTTTACACTATGGTGTCATAGTTTCAACTGAAGAAACGTGCCTAAATTTGTTGGAAATAGCTTGTTTTAGAGGTCATGTGTAAAAATATGTTGCAGAATAAAAAAATACATGATAACTGTCTTGCAATATAAGCAATATTTGTGCTCAGGTCGAAAACATGAAAGAGAGCTCAGCAAGTGCTGCCCTCTATCATGTTTTCTCACCCTCGCCCAAATATCACTTATATTTCAAGACAGTTATCATGTATTTTATATTTCTCAGTCAATGCATAAAAAAGGAACATTTAGTTGATTGTTGTTTTTGAGCTTGACTGAAGTAAAAAAAAAAAAAAAACTATCCTTCAGATGCTGTAAGTTAATGGAAAAAATACTTCTAGTCTTTACTTGTTATTTATTCAAACTCAGATTTATGACCATGGGAAAATGAGTCACTGTGTCAGACAGTGGAGTGTTGGTATGGGTATTGAAGTCAGAGGGCCATTTGGAAATCTTCAGTATTCTCCTAACAAGGTAATAATTTTTAAGATATTTTTGGGTGTTTGCTGACAAGGAGATAATGTAAGCCTGAGGTTTTGGTAATAGAAAGTGCAGTATGCACCAATTAAACTCTGCAAAATTTATTGTATTTTCATGTGCTAATGTTTGAATCTGTTTACATTGATATACAGTCTTACTCCATGTTTGTTTAAACTGTTCATTGTAAGATAAGTACCCACTGAAAGTCCAGGTTATCTGGGGATTTGTAATAATTCTGCTGCTACATGAAAGACATGTTCCTTAAGGTTAATATCATCACTTTGTTTACTTGATAAAATTTTGCTTTAACACTTATGATTTGTTCAAAAGAAATTCTAATTTATAATTAAAATGGACATAATTTCAGCATACCTTGCAGGACAAAATCTGAAGAAATGCCTAACTTGATATTTTTATAAACGAATAATAGGCATTTAGCTGTGAGAGTTATCTCTCTTATCAGAGGGTCAATGAACCTTAAAGTTTATATATATAATATGAAACTAGGAGAATCAGTCTTTATTCTAAGCAATATTTATGCCCCCCTTGCAAAGGGCATATTGCTTTGCACCTCTCGGTAGGTAGGTCAGTTGGTCAGTATTTTGGTAGATCAAGTATTGTTCATACAATATCTTGAAAACCCATTGCTAGGTAGACATTTAACTTGGTACACTGGTTCCCATTGAAGAGTAGATGACCAAATATTTTATCACAAGAACAAGGGTCAAACTGGAAATAGGAATATATTTATTACTAAATATCTTGAGAATTCTTTGCTTGTTGGACATCAAACTTGGTATACTAGTTATACTTAAGGTATGACACTCTTCAGCTTTTGAGAAAAGTTTGGTCAGAACCTCTGTAGTTCATGTACCTCATGAATTCTCAAAAATTAAATTCATATCTTATATTTACATTATTTGTCTGATGAATTGCCACAAATTTATGTCATTCAATGATCATTTTTGAACAAAACAGTTTGCACTATAGTTTTGACATCAAGTATGGTATTATGATGTCACAATGGTGATATTCTTGCTTGTTGTAGGGAGAGGGATAAATTAGGGTTTGTCTGCTGCCCAATCATATTCACTTTTTGTGATTAAAATTATGTATAAATTAAATATTCTTGCTCATCCATGGTAGTTCATGAGAAAATGAACAGTCTTCTAATTGCAAAGAATCTTAAGAAAAATATTTGGAAATGTAAATATATAAAGATATTGTTGCTCAATATTTTAAGAACACTTTGCTTGGCAGACTTGGTACATTGGAGTAGATGACCCCTATTGATTTTGAGGTCACAAGATCAAAGGTAAAGGGTCAAACTGGACATAGGAAGATACTGATCATTGAACATATTGAACACTCAATATCTGAAGAACTCTTTGCTTGATAGACATCAAACTTAGTACACTTGTTCCCCCTTGGTAGTAGATGACCCCTGTTGATTTTCAGATCACAAGCTCAAAGATCAAGGGTCAAACAACATAGACACTGATTATGTCAGTTCAGTATCTGGAGAGCAATTTGCTATACAGACATCAATTTTGGTGCATGGTACACTCTGAGAAGTCATAGAGATCAAACTTAGTAATGTGTGCCTCAGACTAGAAGATGACCAATTGTTTTCATTATCATTACAGACATTCTTAATTTAAAGTTGTTCCCTTTTTAATATTACCACATGTGGGAGGAGGCATACATGTTTCTTAAGCATTTTTTTTGTTTTGATCTCATTTTGCAGAACAGGAAGTTATTTCTGTTGGCTGCTGGAACAGGCATTGCTCCCATGAGTCAAGTTATCCAATGCATTCTGGGAAATGAAGAGGATGATACATTGATACAGCTCTTCTATGCCTGTAAATCATATGAGGAAATTCTTATGAAGTCTGAACTGAATGAATGGTCATCATTCTGGAACTTTTCTGTCACCTATGTATTAAGTCAGGTAGTTAGAACTTTTGTCTGTAATCCAATTCTTTGATCACACTGTCAAACTTTCTATTATTTTCATTTTGTTAGAAGTGATGGATGAGACAAAAGTGTAATAGTCAACATTAGAAATAATAACTTTTAACCCTGCTTTGATCAAACTTGCAGTGAATATGCTTGTAGATTGCACACAGTCAATCAAGCTTTTGAAGATTTGGTTCAAATAATGTGACATATATTTTGTATATAACAGACTTTTTAGCTCACCTGAGCCGAAGGCTCAAGTGAGCTTTTCTGATAGAAATTTGTCCGTTGTCTGTTATTGTTGCTTTTCACATTTTCATCTTCTTTTCGAGACCCACTGGGCCAATTTCAACCAAACTTGGCATAGAGTAAAGGGTAAAGGTAAAGGGGATTCAAGTGTGTTCAAATGAAGGGCCACCCCCTCTTCCTAGGGAGATAATTAAGAAATAGTGAAAAGAACTATATGCGGTATATGCATATTTTTGCCCCCTCCAAAAGTCATATTTTGAAAAATTTTTGAAATGTGCTGAATTTTATATATTGTATGAGAAATCTAAATGAACAAAAAATATTATAGTTTCAAAGTAGGTTATTGGCATTTTTTGTTTCTATGACATCACAAACTATTTGGATTTTATGTTATTTTTCAGAAAGAGGGGAAAAAATGGACAAAATTTGTTCAATTTTTACTACAAAATTTATAGAGCTCAGGCCTGCTCCAGAACAATATTTACATATTTCATTGATATTATCATTCTACACATTATATTAAAATATTGAGTTGGAGCAGGCCTCCGCTCAGTGATTTTTACTCAAAATATTGACGTAATATACACCTTTTTCTGTGTAAATCATGAAAATTTTGAATTTACGTCATTTTTCTGACGTCATATCTAACATATGGTGCTATGGCTTATGAAAATATTCAATGCTTTGAAGTCTGTAGATATCCTCCTGTTTTAGAACATAATTAAAGATTTCTCCGTCAAAGTTTAATTTTGGTGGGCAAATATTGGTCATTATCGAATATAGTCCTTTGCTGGTATCTCTTAAAAATCTTCTTCTCAAGAACCATTGGGCCAAAAAAGTTGAAACTTATGTGAAATCTTCTTTACATAGTGTAGATTCAATTTTGTACAAGTCATGACCCTCAAGGGTAAGGTGGGGCCACAATGGGGGAACAAAGTTTTTCATAGGAATACATTGGAAAAAACTTTGAAAATCTTCTTCTCAAGAACAGCAATGCCATATACGGAAGCATCCTCAGGTAGAGTAGATTCAAGTTTCTTCAAATCATGAGCCCTGGGGGTAGGGTGGGACCACAATTGGGGATCAAAGTTTTACATAGGAATACAGTATAAAGGAAAAACTTGAAAATTCCTCTTCTAAAGAATAACAAAGTCGTGTTGAGTCATATTGATAATGGAAGCATCCTCAGGTATTGTAGATTCAGGTTTGTTCAATTCATGACCTCCGGGGTAGGTTGGGGCCAGAATGGGTGATCAAAGTTTAACATTGGAATAAATAGGAAAAATCTTGAAAAATTTTCTTCTCAAGAACAGCATAGCCATGATTAGTCATATTAATATGGAAGCATCTTCAGGTAGTGTTGATTCATGTTTGTTCAGAGCATGACCCCTAGGGATTGGGTCTGGTCACAATAAAGGATTCAATTTTACATAGGAATATAAAGGAAAAAATCTTGCAGAATTTCTTCTCAAGGACAGCGAAGTCTCTTGAAGTCATATTGATATAGAAGTATCCTCAGGTAGTGTAGATTCCAGTTTGTTCAAATCATGACCCCTGAGGGTTGGGTGGGGCCACAACAGGGGAACAAAGTTATCAAAGTAATAAAAAAAGAATATGAAGTATATATCAATAAAAATGTTCTTCTCAAGAACATCAAAGCCAGTCTTATTAATTCAGAAGCATCCTCAGGTAGAGTAGTTTCAAAGTATTCCAATCATCCCTGGAGGAAGGCCTCAATAGAAGATCAAATGTTGGAGCCACATTTATATTTAAACTTTTCAATACTGAACTGATTTCTGCTTTTTCCTAGCCAAAGTACTTAAGTGAGTGATGTGGCCCATGGGCCTCTTGTTTAAAATCATTGCAGTAGGTTGCTAACATTTTTAAAAAAATCTTAAATTATTGAAGCATCAAGTCAGATATTATTACAATGTCATTAGACCTACTTAGAAAGGCAACCAGGAAGTTTTTTGGAGAGGGTGCATATGTAGTAGCTAGAGACCTTACAGTACCTGGATCTATCTTACATAGAAATTCATGAAGTCGTGTATACTGCCAATCTTCATAGGCATAGGAACCAGGGGGGCTGGGGGGGGGGGGGCTAAGCCCCCCTCCCACTTTTTTTGCAAAGATAGACATAATATAGGCATTGAAAACTGGGGCTTACCTTTTTTTGTTGGTTTAGCCCCCCCCCCCTTTCAATTAGCCCCCTCACTTTCAATTTGCTTCCGACGCCTATGATCTTGAATTTGTTGCTGCATATGACCCATATTTTTCAGTTGAGAAACAATGCATTTTATTGATTTTTCCTCACAGAAAACATTGACATTATATTTTTTTTCTATTTTCAGTTACCTAATTCTTTTTATATATAAAATTTGAATTTTTCGTTTTTCAGAATGAATTATGAAGTATGAATAAATATTCAAAATTTGCTGCTTTTAATTTTTCTTAATGTAATATGATAGCAGGTTAGTAACTTTACACAATGGACATGAATTTGAAGAGGAAAAATTTACCATCTTTACTTACAACATGTTTCTAATGGTATGCATTGTTTGTATATTACTTCAACAGAGAACTTGTATTTGTCTGTTTCCACATTTTTGTACACTCTTCAAGCATATCAAAATGCCATTTGCATTCTGTTTACAAGGACACATTCAACATTACCCCACTCTTTGATGTACAGTTTTATTATTTATTATCATGTGTAGTATTTCATGCTGTATTATTTTTTTTAGGAGACAGGAAATGGAGGGTCTTACAGGTATGGGGATCAAGTCTGTGAAGGTAGAATGGATTTGGATTTTCTCACCAAAAATGTGTCACCCTCTGACATTAACTCAGGAACTTTTGTCTTGGTCTGTGGGACAAAATCTTTTGACAATGACATGATTGAGCATTGTAAACTTCTCAGTTTTAAAGAAACTCAGATACATAGATTTTGAAAACAAAGTTGACAAATATGCTTCACATATTCATAGTTTGCTGTGTTTTAAAAATTAAAAAAGAAAAATGAAAAATATTAGGAACATAATAAATGTGTAACACACTTTTAAGATATAAACTTTTTTTTTACAAAAAATGGAAATTTGAGGAGAGCCTTAAGTGACAAAAATTTATCCATCAAGAACAAAACAAGTTTGATTTCACAGGTTTATTTTTCAACATATATTGAACAACTTTGCAGTTCATGATAGTTTTTATGACAATTTTACAATTTCTGTAAGAAATTGCAGTTGATGCACACAATGAAAAAAACTTCAATAAATACATACAACTTCAACCTGTTTTTTTTTTCAGATTAATGAAATTTGATCACTATATTTAGTACCTTTGCCCCCAAAGTTGTAATAGTGAGATAAAGTTGAGTGGTGGTGTTAATCCGATGTTTTTTAATGGTGGAGCAAATTAAAAACAAAAGTATGTGTAATATATTATAAAAGGACAAGGTATGGTGATGGCCGAATATGGCCCCTTATTTGATGTAAAAATCAAAACACAGTTAAAATTGTGATAGTTTGCAATTAAGAACTTAAAATGATGCTTGTTTTAAAAACAGGATTAATTTTGATTCCAAGCATACAGGGAGGCCACAAGAGGGTGCAGAAGTAGAACATTTTCCCAAATTTTCTCGATTCTGGTGGAATTTCATAAATTTGAGACACTTTTCACTTCAGGAAACACAGAGGACAAGCTTGCCTATCTGAGATTTTGATACATAAGATGCATCTGATAATAATGTTTGAAATATATAAATTTGGTAGATAGGCAAGTTTGTGCTCTGTATTTTCTGGAAAAAAAAGTGCTTTAAAATGAATGAAAATTTGCATAAAAATGAAAAAATATGGAAATTTACACTCTTTGTGACCTTCCTGTGATCTCTGTGTACCCCATACCTGAGAATCAATACTCATTCTGTATCAGGGATGACAACAGGTTTTTATTGATGAACTATTGCATCATCTTAGAAGACACCCCAAACCAGGGGCCAAAAAGTGGTCTTAACCTATCTTGTCCTTTCAATGTATTATATATCCTATTTTTCCAGCCTATTTTCTTCAGTTGTATACTGGATCAATGGTTTGGAAGTCGAACGGATCAGTTCAAATATACAAAAGAGAAAAAAAAACTGCTGTGGTCATCCGACCAAATCATTTGCTTGGCTGGACATTTAAGGTTCAGTGATTCTCTGATAAGAGAGACAACTCTCATGGGGATAAAAGACTTATTCCTTTATAAAATTGTTGTGTTAAAAAACTATATTTTCTGTCAAATTTTGCCCCGCAAGGTATGCTGAAATTACATGTATGAGCATTTTAATTATAAATAAGCTATCTTAGGAAAACAATATTTTATATGGGTGAACTGAAGGACAATGAACATTAAACTATGAATGATTCATACACATAATTTGTACACATCATTAATTCAAAATACGCCCATATCCTTTTCCTGATTTTGGCCCATAGAAGTAATCCCATTCCAAAATATTATTATAAAAAGCAATGAGTGTGAATTAAAAGAAGATGAGGGGATTAGTCAAGCCATATGCCTACATAGCGACAGATAAAAATAATCTATAAATATATTTCTAAAAAATTCCTCTTTTTGTTGAATTTATTTAAGGTTTATTACCATATGCTTGGTATGCAAAAATTGACACTACTTGAATACTGTGAAAGTGAAATTGATTACAATTAAAATACCAAAATAGCAACAAGCATCATTAGGCTTGAACGAAAACTTGTATATAAATTGGATGCATAAGGTCAAATTTTGAACAGTGTTTTTTTTTTTTTTTTTTACACTTTCATCAACTTGATACAAAGACCCATTCCATATTAAAAATTTAGCTAGAGGGTATCCAAATCATGCTGTGATGCTTTGATTTTTATGCCCAATCATTGAAGATTCAGGGGCGTATTATTTTTGCCTTCTGTCTTGTTGTTGGCAAAAACTTAAAACCTTGCCCATAACTTTTTAATGGTTGAAGCTAGGGCTTTCATAATCACATGAATATCCCTTGTGACAAGACTTTTCTTTGGTTACCAACATAATTATTTGACCTCTTGATCTTGACCTTGGAGTTTGACCCATTTTTGCAGAATTAAACCAAACTTTAACCTTGGCTATAACTTTTGAATGGCTGGTGATAGGGCTTTCATATTTCTTAGAGTTTTTCTTGTGAAAGGACTTTCTTTAGGTAGCAACAATTTTTACTTTGACCTTGGAGTTTGACTTTTTTTGAAAAAAAATTAACTTTGGCCATAACCTTTGAACGCTGCTAAGGCTTTCACAGGTGTTTTCCATGTGACGAGACATTTTCTCAAGTACCAATATTTTTTACCTCTATATCTTGACCTTGAAGTTTGATCTATTTTTAAAAAACTAACCTTGACCATGGTTTCTGAATGGTTGCTGCAAAGGCTTTCATATTTCACATGTATATTCCTTGTGATAAGACCTTCCATTGGCACCAATATTTTTGCTCTCATGACTTTGTAGTACGACTTGCATTTGAGAAACTTTAACTTTGGCAATAAGCTGCCATACAGAGGCATCAGTGTTTCAAAAACACATTTTTTTTGTTATTTGATTGATTATACGCCTATGTTGTTTTACGTCCAATTCGAGAATTTTTCACTGATATAGAGACTTCACAATATACCGATGAAGGTCTTCAAATTTAGACCTATATCCGTCACTCGGGGCCATTGAACAGTGAGGGTTCTTTATTGGAATATGTTACCTGCATTTCAACAACAACATTTAGGAAATATTTGAAACACAATCATATTTAGAAATCTTTACTCCCTTAATTTTTCTTTTATTGCAGCTTTTATTCCACGGATTCCCTATACCATGGTGGCATATTTCTACCACCACTTATCAGATGTTTATTTTGACTTGTCAGATATTAATGTATTAACCAAAAAAGGATCAAAGCCTATGTATGATATACTAAATAAATCAGTAATAAAACCTGTGGGTATGGGAAAATGGGCAAATTTTTTCAACTTGACAGATACAAACTGGAAAGAAATTTATTATCTGCCTATTATAACAACCCAAAACAGTAAATTACAATGGCTTCAATACAGAATCAATCATTATATATTGACAACCAATAGTTTTATGTTTAAAATAGGTAAAACAGACTCTAACCTATGTACATTTTGTGAAGCAGAGGAAGAAACAATATATCATTTAATTTGGCAATGTCCAGTTGTACAACAATTTCTAGATGGTTTTGTTAGACACTGTCACCAAAAAGACATTTTATTAAATCTAGATGGTAAAACTTTTATATTTGGAGATACAAGTAATACAATATCATCAAAATCTTTAAATATACTGCTTTTGTCAATGAAACAATATATCTACAGAGTTCGTTGTCAAAACCTCAGCCTCTCTATCCATGGTTTTCTGAATGAATTCAAAATTATTTATAAGTCATTGAAATATACAGCAAGGGAATACAATAAAATAAATGAGTTTAACACCTCCTGGCAAAAATGGCACTCCATACTTTTAGACTAACATGAATAAACCCTGTCTTTAAACTAGTTTTGCTACAGGTCTCCTCTATTTATCTGTCATCCACATTCTCTTTTAACTCATCTTTTCTCTCTCCCTCTCCTCTCTCCCTTATCCTATCTCTCTCCAGCTTTCTTTCTCTTTCTGTCTCTCAAAAAAAAAATGAATACTACAATGAAAAGATTGTGTCAATTTCATATGTTTATGTTTGTATTATAGCATTGTGGAATTCAAAAAAAAAAAAAAAAAAAAAAAAAAAAAAAAAAAAAAAATATTAATGTCAACTTGTCAGATAAAAATCACAACAACCAAGAACTCGGTATCTTATTATTATAGCAGCAGCCACTGACTGACATCTACTTGTCATCATAATAACTGACAAGTCGACATAGTTTTCTGATAAGTAAATATATTTTTGTGACAAGTCGACATAATTATCTGACAAGTCAACATAATTTCCTGATAAGTAAACATATTTTTGTGACAAGTCGACATAATTATCTGACAAGTCAACATAATTATCTGACAAGTCTATATAATTTTCTGACAAGTTGGCTTGTCAGATATTATGTCGACTTAATTATGTCTTCCTTTAACTATTCCTTTCACCAAATTTCGACTGATTCTGTGATCTTATTCTAAACCTGCATTTTCGTCAGATATGACCATTTGCCCTTCCCGTCCCATGTTATTTGAGTGAGTGTTCATCGCTGCTTTTCAAGGGGCCTGGACACAGTTTCACTGTTAACAATTTTATATTTCTATGTTTATTTAAAAAAAAACTTTTGAAAACTGATATTGTTAGCACTATTTTCTCTAAAGGTCTTTGTCTGTCACACCCTTGATGAATTGAAAATCTGACACATCTAGCTTAATTAGCACTGAAAAGCTTAGTTAAAGCTAGAAAGCCTAAGAAAGGAGTTACAATTGGATGGCAAACTTTTCAATTGTTTAAGTTTACATTAGTATACAAAGAAGAAATTGATGAAATAGCACTTTGTTTTGGTTTTCTTTGTTTTGGTATGAGTTTTGGCACTTAATTTTGAGATGGAGACTTATTTAGCACGATAACGATTTGGAAGTGTTTAACCTTTGTGTCCACTTTTGGAAATTTGTCCTTGAATAGGCTTGATTCACTGTCTAAGGCTGTAAGGGGGGGGGGGGGCTTTCTCAAACATTACTTTTTGAGTATTGAAAGTGTTCATTGAAAGGCTGGTTGCCCCCTCCAAATTTTGTTGCGGTATAGTTAAATCATGGTTATAGGGATTAATAAAATTTGATTGGGAAAAATGGTTACTGTAGCTGGATGCTCATGCTGATTTACGTATCAGCATTGGTTCCCTGCACTGTACGTCTGTATCATATTATTATATATTATTATGCATAGGTCCTCTAGTAAACTGGTAACCTTTTCAATCATCTGGAAAATATAGGTCAGATCCAAGTCCTGTTTAGTCACTATAGTGCTCATAGTTACTTTAAAATGAACTTAGTCCAAAAACGTTAATCTGGTCATTCCTCTGGAAAATATAGGTCAGAATCACTATTCGAAGCAAGTCTGCATATCTACATGTACAAGTATCATCCATACATTTGTCAACATAGGGCTTATAGTCATTTGGGAAGGAGACCTGCTCACAAAAAATTTAACAGTTCCAAAAACATTAACTTAGATATTCTTTGGCTAAAAATGTAGCATCTGAAGCCTAACTGGTACAATGAAACATACTAGATTTTCATTCATGTATTCTATGTTCATATCAAGGAAATATATCTTATCAATACCGGTATAGGACACAGAAGTAGTTGGTAAGAACCTTGGACGCCGAAACTATTACATAAGATTTCCCAGCTTTGATGAAATGAGCTAACAATGCTCACTCAGTCCATACTATCAAATCCAGAACATGTGTTGGCGTAAAGCTTTCCAATTGGAGAAATGGACTCAATTCAAAACATTTTCATAATTATAGATACGAATGTATAATTTTAATGTACCAGTAGGATATCGCTCCACGGCAAAATGGTCTATTATACAAACACTGTAAATTCTGTCAAGATCTGTGAGATTGTGGCATATTTTGCACTTTCTAACTTGTTCCAACATTAATTAAGCATATGAAGAAATTTAATTTATCCTTAAGCTTGGTGCCAGGTTTGGTGAAAATTTGATAACAGATTCTAGTGAGAAGGGGAAAGTTATTAAAAGTTTACAATCTCAAACAAACGGTGTACAGATGCTGGACATTTAAGCCTTTGTCATATCAAGGAAAAAAAAAATTTTTGATGCAAAAAATTAATACATTTAATACATAAATTTACACAAATTTACACATAATTATTCTTCGTTAAACATACAGACAAAAAAAAATATTGAATTTTTTTTACAAATATACAAAAATAAATAAATAAATAAATAATAATAATACAATAAATTATGATTATCCATGAAATTATCCATAAAAAAAATTGTGCTCAATGGAGCGAAGAGCACTGTCTTATGGTTACATGGAGCACATGCGTAGACGATCAAAGTTGCAATAGTTCATTCTATCTAATCGGATTGGTGTACGTATTTTTGTGACATAAACTACTGAGAATGAAGCGTCATATAATTTTACCACAGGGACCTGGCGTTTCGATTGTGTACCCCACCCCACCCCATCGCCGACTTTCTGAGAATACATATACCAGAAGCTATTACATATTAGCTTTTTGATAACAGACCTTGTCTAAACGGTACAGAAATTAAAAAAAAAAAAAAAAAACGGGGCACGGCAAGCATACGTCAGGTGCCTGTGATATTACACTTAAAAAAAATTACATTTCTTAAGATCCTACATCCATAAATATTTTTAAAAAAATGATGATAATAATTTGCTCCAAAATCACCAATCCTTTTTTAAAGTTTTGTCTATATTTGAAAGCTATTGCTGCTCCATTTCATGTGGTTGTCCAAAACATCGTCCAAAACATCGGCGCAGTATACGACGCAAGAAATTCGGCTGAAAAAATAGGAGTATAACATTGAGTATTTAAAAATTGAAATGAAGTATAAAAAACACCACTGGCATCAAGTTAAAATGTGTGTTACCTTTTTGGGGGCTGCTTTGCGGGCTTCTGGCACATCTGCAGCGTCACAGAAAGCTATGAGCAGATCCTTATCTACGAGCTTTTTAGTCTATAAATGATAGAAATGTACAGAACAGAAAACGTTTCGTAAATATTTAAAAAAAAAAATAAAATGAATCAATTAGGATCTTTTACTTTAGGTAATGTAGTTGTACGAAAAATCGCTGTGTACAGATATCATTGAGTAATTAGCTTTTTCTCATTTTTTTTTTAAAGAAATTACGTGTTATTTTAATTTTTATTATTTAACAACGTTTATCAAAGATTTATTGTGAGCAACCTTCAATTATATACATTGAAGGAAAAAACAAACAAACAAACAACCTTCTCATCTAGATATCTCAAACAAACAAATGTACGTGTACTGTATACATACATGTAAAACAACATGGACCAACAAACAACCAAAACAAAAAGGAAATTTTCAGAATTAACAAAATGGTCCCACTATGATAAATAATAAAGAAAATAAACATCTTTTTAAAAAAATGCTCATTGATAATTAACTTTCTATTTTATATATTGAATACTTACTGACAATTAATCTTTAATCTTTAATGTGTTAGTCCAAAAAAAAAAGTCAAGTTTTCATACGCATCCTTGATTTCATAAAATACACATTTGTATTTTATTTCCGCCATAAAACCAAATTATTTCTTAACAGGAATCTTACTTATTTTTATTCTTCTTAGCATCATGACATCATAATTAGCTATAATATACATGTACATGTAATTATGGGAATATTTGCCCATTTTATCGCCTTTGAACAAATCGTCTCAGATTGCAGCGGGAAGGTTAAACTGATTATTGTAACAATTCACATAACATATAAATTTCCGTCCACAACAGAAACATGTATATCGGAGTATAACGTTTTTAATTGATGCTTCATTTGTTGGTCCATATCTCAATACTATGATTGAAAAGGTAATTTAAAGAATTATTAGTACTGGTGTTTAATGAAACCACGCTCTATCTGATAGATAAATATAAGGGCGGATCCAGGAATATTTCTATAGAGGAAAGGCCCATGTTATGTCAGCTAAATCTCTGCAAAGTAGAGACATATTAGTATCAAAATAAATTTGGTTAAAAAAAGAGAAATATATAACATTTTAATCTTACAGCACTGAATCTTCAAGGGGTGGGGGTCCAGACCTCTCTGAACCCCACCCCAACGTTGGATCCGCCTATGTAATGTATATGAATAAAAATGCTTACCTTCAGAATTCACATACTATAGAAATTCACTTTAAAGAACCACATGGAATGGTTACATCAAATGCATATAAAATATCTACTAAAACAAGGTAAACCGTGATCCTGCTCATTGAAAACATATATACTAAAACATAATATAATTAAGAAACATATGCAGATAAATTATAGTATATCATAATATCAGTGAGTCTTATTTTTATATTATTTTTGGAAAATCTCAAGTAATTTTAATTTATCGAATAAAAAAACATGTAAGGGACACCATTTGTTCCAGTGATACGTACCAGGCTATTTACAGCAATCTCTGTGATGGTATCATCGAGACATAAACCGGTGAAGGTATCCTGCAAAATTGTATTTATAAGATTAATACAACTGTTTTCAAGTTTGAAATATAGTTTGATTCTCTCTCTTTCTCTCTCTCTCATCTGAAACATCATGATGATTTGACATTTTTTTGTTTAAAATGATAAAAGATATCCATACATCATGTCCGATGTATCGATGGCGAAAGTAGGACCAGTGAAGAGGCACTTCCGGTAATTCAGGTGGTGTGTAGCCCTGAGTACTGGTGGACGGTTGATCCTCGTCCTGGAAGACAACATACACACATTACCGACATCAGTTAGTTTGATTCTACTTATCTAAATATTATGCAATTTGATGATAATTGAAGCTCTTTACAAATGACTGAAATTTTCAAAACTATTACTATTGATGTTTATTTTTTTTTATTTCGGTTGTTATATTTAGAGGTTGCATTGTTTCAAAAAGCAGTTGAGAGTAAGTACTACATTTTTACACGTAAATTTAATTTGGCAGCTGTTCAGTCAGCTTCCGATTTGAACAGGCTGACACTTGAATATACACTACCTGAGGATGCTTCTATATAAATATGACTAATAAAGTCTTTGCTGTTCTTGAGAAGAACATTTTAGATTTAAAGATTTCCCCTTTATATTAGCCGGTTTAAATATTGCTCTACGATCAGCTAAAACAGTCTAGTGATGTACGAAAGATGATCCAGATGAAATGAGATATAATTAATACCCTAGCGTATCTCAGAGGCCCTTGACCCTTGTAACCTTTCAGTTACATGTTAGACCAGAGGATAGTCAATTTACATCATAAATTTAGTTCAATGGTGAACTCTTAATATGTAGACTAATAAAGATCTTACCGATTCTGGTTCATCGTAAACACCCATGCTCCATGCAAATCTTGAAACAAGCTGCCTTCGTGGCGAGATGAAATACTGAAAGTATAAATAAAGTACTTGTTTGTACGTATGATTTTAAAAACATGCATAACAAATACTCTGAAAAATATTTTTAAAATATCTTCTGGTAGCCCAGAAGTACTCCTTGCTCTCGTTGTAAAAAAAAGCACTTGGCTTACTTGTTTATATGCATTACCCGGGGAAAGTGAAGACTTTCAAAGAAATAAAGCATTTTTACTATGTAATCAATAGACCCCCCCCCCACACACACACACAACAGAACACAAGACCGAGTGGTCATGAAATTTGCAATTTTGGACGACGAACACTTGCTAATCATTACCATGCACTTTGTTAGTTTGCTGAATACCAGGGATAGAGAAGTAGATTTTCAAAGAAATATATATTATTATTCATTTTCACTATTATACATGTATATTCAACAGAGCCCCACCCTAACGACCGAACCCTGGCTCGGGCCATGAAATTCATAATATTGGAAGGCATTCTTGCTCATCATAACTATGCACTTAGTTTGTTTGCTTAATATCCTGGAGCATAGAAGAAGATTTTCAAAGAAATAATCCATTAACAGTGCGACATTTAACTCCGGACACGACATAGTCCGGACTTTTTACTACCATTTCTAATTGCGATATCAAAGAAACTTTAATATTTCTTGGTGGGATTTTTTAGCAGTATCACATAATCTCATGCTGAATTCACAAGCTTATCTATTTTCAAAAATATAAAGTCCTAAATATCAGAATCCCATGGAAGAATGGTGGGATTTTTTGTCCCAAGTACTATCCCACCATTCTCCCATGGGAGAAAAAATCTCAGATGGGATATTTTCTCCCACAAAATTGTACAAATGGGATAAATCCCACGGATACTGATCAGTGGGATATTTTCTCCCACACACTGCCAAACATAGGATTTATCCCATATATTCTGCTGTGTGGGACATTTTCTCCCACCAGTACTTGAATGTGGGACAAAGTCTTAAATCTTCATAATGACTAACAGCAAATGTCATTAAAGTATTTATATAAAAATACCCCAGAGCATACTCTCATAACATCCACTGACAAAATAGGGCCTAGCTGTTGAACATAAAGAGAGCAGGTTGATTTTCTTGAAACCTGTTATCAGAGTAGACTAGCAATAGGAAGAACATGAATGAACTGGTTTTTAACAAACAAACCAAAGACAAAAAATATACTAGCACCAGGAGCAAGCAGATGTAAGAGTATGAATTTGTAATTTTAATTCATGTCAAAGTCTTTTCTTTTCTGTGCTCTATTTTAGGGTCAATAATAACATACAATTGGACTAAAGGAAAATGTAACTATTTCCTCTTTGTTCCACACAGCATTGTACTTTTCAAGGTTGTCATTCTACATCGTAATCCTAGATCTAGTATTTTTTGGCAAGTTAGAATCTTTGTGTTTGTGATCAAATCTTAATTTACCGAGCTAGTCTACATTTTTATTTTCTATACTCCGAGTACATTTACCCCTTCATCGTAAATGCCTATGTATTTAATCAAACCACAGCTCTGTTCTTTTTTCACTTTATAATCAATAGACCCCCCCCCCGGGGGGGTTACCAAAAAACGCCTGACCCTCGGGTCATAAAATTCCAAATTTTAGAACAGACATCCTTGCTCATCATCACAATAGTGAATACACTTATTTTATCTGCTCAAGGGGGGGGGGGGGAAGAAGATTTTAAAGAATTTATGCACTTTCACTATGTGATCAATAGAGTTCGACCCTAACTCCAGAACCCCTGACCATCAATTTCAAATTTTTTGCAAAGGACTCATCGCTTGTTATAATTAATAGTTTGACTGCTTGATGTCCGGGAGCAAAGAATTAAGTTTTAAAAGATTGCATTAATTTTGATAGTTTTAGCCCCATCCCTCAAGCCCGAGCGGGGCGGGGACCATGAAATTCAGTATATTTTGTTGTTATAAGCCAAAATTGGCTGAAATTGGTTAAGTGGTTCCTGAGAAGAAGTTGAAAATTTTCAAAAGTTTACGACCAATACACGGCATACAACATCGGACAAAAACGGATAGCGATAGGTCCCCACATTGACTCAAGTGACCTAAAAGTATAACTTCTTCTAACATGATAGACAGACAAGACATGACAGACAAAATACACTGAATCGTTGCATCCCAACTAATAAGACTTCGAAAGTTCTCTGAATTTGCTTATTGCATATTTTGTAGTTTGAAGAATCGCTCCAAAATTTTGAATCGAATTTAGAAATCTGACACTTGTTTGCGGTCCCATCACGATCAAACTTGAAATTATATGTACTAGTCTACAATTGACCGAATTTCCCTTTTGGTTGAAAACTGTTCAGCGTACTTGGATGAAAAGAGACAATAAATAGACGACAGGATTAAAGACAAACTTTATTGTTGAATTATAGTGTGATGTAAACAAAATAGACATTTTTTCGTGATACATTTATAACGGAGAGTCTAATATCTGAATATTATAGCAATTCTTTTTAAAATAATAAGATCAAAAAGTGTATTTTTTACCGTTATATTTACCTATATCTATATACATGTATTTCCATAAACATAAATCATACTCACGTGTTCGATCTCCTCTCTGGTATAATCGAATCTTGGTTCGTAAAAATTTACATCCAAGGCTGCCTATTAAGGAAAAAAATCAGATACCGTTTAAGGAGTCTGTGACACATGAAAAAGCATCATGTAACAAGTATGGTGGGAGTACTTTCTCATATATACAAAGTGTCGGATATTGAGTTTTATTTGAAAATATAGTCGCGTAATTTAACTCATACAAACCAGTAAACGACAGAAGTAATAAGGGTGTGCCACTGGAACAGGGCAAGTTTTTTTTCCCCCAGTTCAGAATTTATGATTCGATGAGTGAGGTTATCGATAATATGTTTACAAATGCTTACAAAGTTTTGATAAAAGCCATCAAATTTAATCCAGCTGCTGTAGTTATTTAGATAAATGTACAACATCGAGAGGAAACTTTAATTTAAAACAAAACATAAGAGATTTAATATGAAGGCCTTCATGGAGGAAACACACACCCTAGAAAAGGGGTACACATAGGTCATATTCAGCATGATTACATCTCGGTTATATCTATGCTAATATTAACACTTTTTTAATATTTTGTACAAATACTTACTAATGGATATCTATCCTCATTGATAGTAATACCCGGATTAACTCTCCTTGCCATCCTTCTCTTCTTTTCAGAGAAAAAATAAGGAGGGTTTCAAGAAGTAATCAAAATATAATCAGCTTCTCGATGATGAGATAACTATTATGACGTCACTATAGCGACAGCTCACTCGGAACACCTCGGAGCCAGTAAAACGAAGAACTGGGCATAGGGGATTTATTTTCCGGATTGTTAAAGGTAAAATAAATTAAGAAAATTTTGAATCTACTTTAAATACACTTAAATATGTGCTTCAATAAAGCTTCTGACATTTTCAGGCAAGAAATACAATGTTTAAAAAAAAATCGATAACAAAATTTTCAAGTTTCTGGTGTGCATGGTAAGTTAATTATGGCAGAGACATTGTTATTTTGTTTTGTTATTCTCTGCTCATGGTGATAAAAACATTCCTTTCCCTCATGTTTTACAACTTTTCTTTGCCTGTTTAAAGTGTATATAACATGGTATTTGGCACTCATGAAACACGTGATATTTTAAAAACTAGTCTTATACGATCCGATGAACACTTGGATGCAATATAGATCTATTGAAACTTAACGTAATCTATGAAAATGGACGGCTAAGTAAAACTATACATATACCAACATAGAGCATTTTCTGGTACATGTTATAATTGTATTTGACAATTATTTTAACAATGTGATCTATTCCTTTCTAAAATATCGTATTAATGTGCTTTTTTCGAGATGAAAATGTCAAGTTTGTTCAGGGTAAATATGTTGGGAATACCGTATTCTTCCAAACTTTTCATCTTACTTCTAAAGATTTTTTTGTCAAAAATTTTATGTTCTGTCTGTTTTGGGGTGTGTGAAAATGGTCTTTTCTGATTGGGCAGACAAATTTAATTACATGCATACATATGAAGCATATTTATAGCAACTTTCAGTTAACCTTCTTCAGTTGACTTCCATATATGGAAATCGTCCAGACCTGTTAAACATAGAGTTAGATTAACACTATTTTTCTATCCTATCATTTATTTTGATTACTCAGATATATATATACCTGCTACAGTCTGCATCTCTGACTCTTTGTTGTAATGTAAGTACAAATATTACACCAACACTAAAAATCCATAGTATTGAGGGATTTATAACTTACATTACTTTGTCACTTTGATTTACTCTGATTTTGTATACAATATGACGTAAGAAAGTCAAAGTCTCTATTCTTAGCAATATTTTGAACTCATTTTGCAATACAGAAAGATGCTTCTTTTGGCAGCTGGATCAGGTATTATTGCTCCCATGAGTCAAATTATTCAATGCATTCTGGGAAATGAAGAGGATGATACATTGAAACAGCACTTCTTGGCCTGTAAATCATAAGAGGTAATTCATATGAAGTCTGAACTGAATGAATGGTCATCTTTCTGGAACATTTCGGTCACCTATGCATTATAAGTCAGATAGTTAGAACTTTGTCTTTTATCTAGTTTTTTGACCACATTTTAAAACTTTCAATTATTTTGTTACAAGTGAAAGTTTAGGAGTCAAGTTCACTGTAAGATTGTTAACTTTTGACCCTGCATTAATCCAACTTGCACTGGTAGTGTTTGTAGGACTGTATATTACTTTTAATAGGGTAATGTTATCTATAATTTCTAGATATAAACATACAAAATTAGAATTCCTTAGCCAGTCACTTGTTTAAATAACTGTATGTTCTAAATGAAAAAAAAAGAGAAAAAAAAACCTTCCTTGAATTATTTATTGAAAATGCATACAGTCAGATATCATTATAATGCAATAAGACCTTTTCTATATATTTGAAAGACAACCAGGAAATACATCCTGAGTTTGTTGCTGCATGTGACCTGTACTTTCCACATGAGAAATAATGTATTTTGTTGAGTTTTCCAATTAGAAAACATTCATTGACATAATATTTTTAGCTCACCTGAGCTGAAGGCTCAAGTGAGCTTTTCCGGTCGAAGGGTGTTCATGTCTGTCGTGTGTCGTCTTTCAACTGTCGTCTGTAAACTTCTACCATTTTCGACTTCTTCTCAAGAACCACCAGGCCACTTTCAACCAAAGTTGCTAGAAAACATCCTTGGATGAAAAGCATCCTTCAAATGAAGGGCCAAGCCCTCTTCCAAGGGGTAATACTCAGTAATAAAGAATTCGTGAAAATTTAATGGCATCTTTTAAAAATCTTCTTCTCAAGAACAAATATGCCATTAAAGATTACATAGTGTAAATTCAAATTTATTCCGGGACTAGGATGGAGCTACAAGGGGCGATCAAAGTTTTACATAGGATTATTATAGGGAAAAATCTTTATAAAAATATTCTCAAGAACAGGAAGCCCATGATTAGTCATATTTATATGGAAGCATCCTCAGGTAGATAAGTGTAGATTAAAGTTTGTTCAAATCATGTTCCCTGGGGCTAGGGTGGGGCCACGATGTGTGATCAAAGTTTTACATAGGAATATACAGGAAAAATCTTTAAAGAACAGCAAATCCATGATTAGTCATATTAATACAAAGGCATCCTCGGATAGTGTAGATTCAAATTCAAATCCTGACCCCTGGGAGTGAAGAGGGGACACAACAGGGGATCAAAGTTATATATATAAGAATATATAGGAATAGTCTTTAAAAATCTTCTCAAGAACTGCAAAGCCATGATTAGTCATAATAATACAGAAGCGTCCTCAGGTAGTTTAGATTCAAGTTTGTTCAAATCATGACCCCCCCCCCCCCCTTTCCCAACCCGGAGGTATGGCGGGGCCACAACAGAAGATCAAACTTTTACATAAAAATAGGTAGAATTTTATTTTTTAAAAAATCTTCTAAAGCCATGATTAAACAAAGTGGAAACATCCTTCATGTGTAGATTAAAGATTGTTCAAATCACGACCTCCTGGGAAATAGGATTGAACCACTTTATATTTAAACTTTTCAATAATGAACTGATTTCTGCTTTTCTCCAGCCAAAGTGTTCAGGTGAGCGATGTGTCCTATTGGCTTCTTGTTCAATATATTAGAAGCGTGATTAATCAGAAATTTTGACCCCTCTTACAATTTCTAATGTAATATGATAGTACATGTACAATAAAAACTTGACACATGAAGATAAACATGCAGGAAGAATTAATAACCATGCTTTACAACACCAGGTTGCTAGTGGTATGGATTGTTTATCTAGAACTTCGACAGAGAATTTCCATTCATCCATTACTGGATACATGTATTGCACAATCTTCAAGCATATTGCTTGCATTCTCAATTCAAATCAAAGACATGAAGATTGTTCTCTGATATAAAGGTTATATTTCTTATCAAGCATTGTATTTAATGCTGTAATATTGTAATTTAGGAGACATTAAATGGGAGGACTACCAAACATACAAATATGGAGACAAACTCTATGAGGGAAGAATGGATTTGGCTTTAAGAGCCATTCTCTGTAACGACTTGAACTTTTATATAGAAGCTGTGGCACGCATAGTCTCAGAATTTCTCCAAACTCTCTATGATAAAAGTCTTTGATACCGTAAACTCAGATCAGGCAGAAATTGGTTGCTACGTGACATGGTTACCATGGCAACATGTCCTAAAGTTTGAAAAATGGCATTTTTCAACATCTTCAGAGTCCCACAGTTAACGTTCGCAGCAAAGCAAACAAGTGGCAATGACTGTTTCTGAAAGTTGAAGGCCTGGTGTCTTAAATGCATGATAAACATGTTTGGTAAATCATCTATAACATACGTTACTATGGAAACAAAGTATTCAAAAGTAATAATTTTGTTCATTTAATTTTATAAAGTCATACACTTAAGAATAAAAAACAATTATAGGTTGAAATGCAAGCAATTAATAGAGAAGAGATCCTTGTAACATATACCTAGGACAAAATATGATATTTCTTATAGGTTGGCAATGGTTGCCATGGTTTTAATACCACGAAGGGATTTTAAATTTACTCTCTTAGTGTTTTAATCTTATCCTATCTTTTTAAAAAGCATATTTCTATATAACTGATGATCAATTTTTAAAGGCCTTGGTGTGACCCTAATTTTCACATTTCAAAAAATTCAATTTCAATTCTTTAAATAGTGCGTTGCTATGGAAATAAGGCGAAAAAACATGCATAAAAATCTGAAAAATACTCGGTTTCCTTGGATACGTACAGTTGTATGTAGATTCCCAAAACTTTAATGATTGATATATGTGAACAACTAACCTGACTTTAAGTTTTGACTATCACCCAATCTCTAACTGGATGCAAGAAGCTGGCACATAGGGTCTAATATTGACAAAAAATTAACAAAATCGAACATTTTCTCTTCTTGGTAACCATAGCAACAGTGTTGTATTTTTCAATAAACTTTATCAATATATGATATTCAACTTTAGTTCTACGAGATAAGTACTATTCAAGGTGATTCAAATAATATTTTTCTTGATTAAAAGGTTAGTAAATACCCAAAGCAGCAAAAAAATATCACTTTAAACAACTAGTACGTTGTTCCCATGGTTACACTGCAAAGTAACAATTAATCTCAATTTTTCTTATGTTGTCGGTGTTGCAAGGTCCTAAGGATGTATATGTGCCAGTCATGAATTTTATTGTATTTCCTCAAGATAGTAGCATTAACCCAATCATAGCAACAGATTTTGCATGGTGACACTGTGTTACCATGGCAACGATGAAAGTTATTTTTAGAATAATATTGCCAATACCTAATTACATGAGGTCAAATATTTTTCATTGTTTTTCTTACGTTGTTGATTGAGTTTGATCATGTAACATCTATCATTTGTGACTATAAAGCGTTTTTCAGCATTTTTCAGCATCTAAAATGTATTCCAAATGTACCCATGGTTACCACTTACTTAGAGATTAATTCTAAATAGTTTCTTTATAGCATAAGTGGCAACAAGGTGTCATGTTTTTGGGAGAATGGTTTGTTTGTTTTTCTTAGTCTTTAATAAGACTTAATAAAGATTTAAAGTAGCTGAAAATCTCAATTTTTTCAACTTTTCTGGCTGTTACCATGGCAACCAAGACACATAGCAACGAAATTTTATTTGATATATGTTTCTTGTGTCAAGTTGTAATAATGGGCAAAGTTTCATCAAAATCGGTGACCATGCGTGGCAAAGAAGTTTAAGTGGTTACAGAGAATCGCTATTAATTACCCAAAATATGACCCACAGACAGTAACTCAGGAACTTTTTGTCGTGGTCTGTGGGAAATTTTTTTTTTTGAAAATTAATACGACTGAATACTGCAAACTTCTCAGTTTTAAAGATAAAAACAAAATGAAAGATATTACAGTTACCCACTTTGTGTTTTCTATATTGAGAGAAAGAGTTCCAGCATTAATATTTTAAGTGAACCACCCCATGAAAATGTATTGGACACTTTTAAGAAGTAAAAAACATACACAAAAAGAAGTGGAAATTTGATGAAACCCTATGTTGACAAAAAATTGATCCATCGGGAACAAAAACAACGCGAGGCCTTGATTTCAAAGGTTTATTTTTCAACATATATTGAACAGCTGTGCAGTTCATGAAAGTTTTTTATGACAACTTTATACCACGATGAAGTTACAATTGATGAACACAGTGAAAAAACTTCGATAAATAAGATACAATTTCGACCTGCTCTTTCAGTTTAATGAAATTTGATCACTATTTTTGTACCTCTGTCCTTAAGGTTGTTATAGTGAGATCGAGTTTAGCGCTTGTGTGATTCCTTTCTATGGGTGAACGATTTAAAAACAAGTACGCATAACATATTATAAATTTTGTGCTTATTTAAACATCTGAGATTTGTGCATCCAGTTTATTGTACTTAGCCGACATGTATTTGTCCTTGGCAGTTTTTTGCACTTTTGGATTTACTTTCGCGTCTACTAACATCGGTATGTGTTCGCTTTCATGTAAATTATTACATTCAATAATTTGTAATTTGCAATGACTTTCCGATGTACAGATTCATCTGAAATGCATAAAAATTTATATTAGGATAAAAAGATGAATGATCAATAATGTAAGCATTGGATTGAGATTTTCTTGCCCCAGTATTACCGGTATATTCTTAAACTCCGCCTTCTTTGAAGGTTTATCATTATCTAGACATCCAGGCAACAGCTCCATTTATTATAGGTAAAAATAAATTTGTGTACCTTATTCAACCTGTTTGATTAAATATATTCATTTCTCGTAAGAAGTTTCAAATACAGACATGTATCTCAAGTAAAGTTAAAATTTGCTAAGTGAAACTTTGATATCTCGAATACTAGAATGCTTCGCATAGCGTCGGAACCGGGGGGGGGGGGCTAGGGGCCCATGCTTAGCCCCCACTTTTTTTGCAAAGATTGATATAGTTAATATAGGCATTGAAATTGGGGTTAAGCCACACAAAACATTTTTTATTGTTGGTTTACCCCTCCCCCCACTTTCAATTTGCTTCTGACCTCTATGCTTCGGAGTGATTTTGCTGTCCCACCAGTCGTAACATACAATCGAGTCTCACCTTTTTGAAAGTCCCTCAATGTTCGAACTCTCTGGAAGACTAAATGTCTTAATGATGAACTGAATTATAATATTAGATGTTCATATGATTTAAATAAACATACAGTGCAATTTCCCTGTCATGTTGATGTCATTAGCAGTGTGGAATGGTTTATAATAAGAAGCTCGTATTTGTACCTCATAAAGTACCTTTTTTCATTCATGTCAGACCAGGTTAAGGTGGTATGAGATGTCATATTTAATCGTTTAATATAAACTAATCTTGCATAGTTGATGGACAGTTATCTATAAAACAGTGTTCCATCAACGTGTACATATGAAAAGAATATGAATAGAAAAGATACTTTCGATCAATCCATACAAATTAACTTCAGAATTTATGCAATAGTTTTCTACATGGGATTTGAACTTCAAATTGAATGAAACTTACTAGAAAAAATAATTATCTCGAACTTTATTTACTAAATAATAGGTTAGACATATTTAAATACATATATTATTGCATATATAGTATCTTAAATGACCCTTTGTGTGTTAACTGAAATACGAGTGTTGATTCTTTTATCAAGCTGTGAAAACACATTAAAATTCTCATAACTCAGTGATGCGGCATGATTTTGTCCTTATAAAAAATGCCACGAAGAAACCTACATTCCAGAAAATTTAATTATTTGTAAAACTTTTATAATCTCTAATTTTGCAGTGTTTTTTTTTTTCATCCAATCACTGAAAGTCAAGCTTAACTATCATGTATATTGCAAAACGTAGTTCATATGTATCGGTCACATATACTTAAATTAACAACCTCACCTGAATCGGTCATATTCAAAACGGAGCTCATCTGCATTGGTTAATAATTAAGGGAGCTCATCTGCATTGGTCAATAATTAACGTAGCTCATCTGCATTGGTCACATCATCTGCATCGGTCAGTATATGATAAAAACGTAGCCCATCTGCATCGGTTAATAGTAAACGTATAGCTCATATGCATCGATCACATACTGCAAGCGTACATCAATTAGTGCACTAAAAAATTTAGCGCAATATTCATCTTCAACTGAGTAGCGTAATCATGAAATAGCGCGCTAGAATCTAAACAACGGTATGGGTAAGTTTTAATCGTACATTAGCGTGTACATAATAATTTTGCAGATGACCAATCATAAGATATGAAAATTTACGAGTTCCATTTTTACTGGGAAAGCAGTTGTCTACGATGTCAAAAAAGCCTGCTCTTTAATTTTTCGTGTGGAATAGTTGTATAAAGTGTAGATAAGTCATATGTTTAAATGTTATTAATCTTTGAAAAGTTTTTGAGATTTTGATTTTTCCTTTGCGTATTTTTAGAATCTACATTTGATTTGCACCACTTCTAGCTGCAGAACTGTAGCGTGTTTAGTCTTTGACTACGCTACAGATCCCGTAATGCAAATATGATGCAATTTACGGTGCAAGATTTTCTGCGCACGGTTGGGGAGAATTTGTCCACTTTCCAGCATTAGTCAATCAACTACCTTTTATTCCCAAATTCTAGACATATTCTTTAATCAACGTATATGTTTTATCCACCTACTAACCCTGTATAGTCGTCTCTACAGACCAATAAACTCGCTTATTTTGATTTTTTTCGGATGGCAGAAAATTTTAAAATGATAGCTTTTAGGTCGTCATTTTGAACTACAGTAACATCACCAGTAATAAACGAAGCTCATCTACAGCGGTCAGTTATAAAGGTGGCTCATCTACATCTGTCTAATAATAAACGTAGTTCATCTACATCGGTCAATAAGATTGATTGGTTGTTTGTTTGTTGTTTAACGTCCCTCTCGAGAATTTTTCACTCATATGGAGACGCCACCAAATATATACATATGGTTGTGCTATATCAGTGACAAACCCGTATACAATGAATGCACCAAGGTTTTAATCTCAATAACAGACATTGCAAAAATGTCGAAGTTGGAGAAAACCACAGCACAATATAAACTGACCGTACGCAGACAGGAAAAACTTACTTATTTGTATATATTTTAAGAGCCTTTTTACTTAATTTCAAATCTGCCATTATTTTCCAACAAAGAAGTTGATGGGGGATTTTCAAGGGGATATACTGTAGTATCATGGTATTTAGATGTTTGCGTGCTCTGTATTGTTCAGCCATAACTTTTTGTGTTACTTTTTCGGTACTATTTTGTGAACAGAGATGGAGCCGCTTTCGAAGTATAACTCAACAACTCTGATACGACACGCAAACTCAAAACTTGATCTTCGATGTCGTTCATCCGATAGTTCGGCAGCTGAATTGCAGCTTATGCATTGTATCTCATCGCGTGATTGCAGAAACCTCACAGAAGTTGAGAGTTTGGGTTCACAGGTGAGGGTGAGATTTCAGTCCTTACAGGCCAATGACAGCGGAACCTACATTTGTTTGGATCATAACACCACAGAAGAAACGTACATTATACTGAAAGTAGGAGGTATATGAATAAAAAAAAAACAATGCTTACTTAGAACTTTATTCTAATACCAGTGCATTTCATACTGACATAATGCTGTAATTTGTAAAGTTACATGTAATACTTCCATATTTTCCTGTAAAATATCATTTTACTCTTCCTTGCCGTTATTAGTCTATAATTTACTTTTGGCAATGACCATGGTAAAGATCTTATTTGAAACACAATGCATTACTTTTCTCGCGAATATCACTTACTCTTGAAATTTTTTACAGTCATACCCGAGCCTCCAGAAGACTTTAATTGTGTTTCTCAGGATTTGAAAGATTTAACCTGTACCTGGAATAAATCCAAAACCCAAGTCTCTAACTCCGTACCGACCAAATGGAACATTACAATAAGATGGAGTGTAAAGGGCGGATCTAAGTTCAGGTGATCATTGATTGGCATCTATAGAAAGCTGTCTAATAATTATTAATTCTTTGTTCATGGATAATTCATCATATAGGAAGAGCAGTGTAATGTGATAAAGTCCTGAGAATTTTGTATTTTTATCATATTGAAATTTAATACTCATCGTAGACAGCAGACTTTAATTATTTAATTATTAATGTAATATAAACATAGAAAATCCTTCGAAACTTTATACAATATCTATTCCTTTGTAGTGTTTCTGAAAATTGAACTTTTATTGATGATACTATTTATTTGATCATGATATGTTATTGATGCGGCATATGTTACTATAAAAAATGGCGATTAAGTAGCATTGGCTACCAGAGCGAAAGTAATATTGTTTATAATGAATATCGTAATAATGAGACAACCAACTCTATATAACGAGATAGTACTTAACTCGTTATAATGAGTTGACTAACTCGTGATAACGAGATACCAACTCGTTATAACGAGATTATTATTTTGTGTTTTTTTTTATTTTGTCAAAAATAGCCTTTTGTAGGTTACAAACTAACTTTCAAACTGGGAATATATATTTTCGAGGGAAATAAACGTGTTTTTGCTGCAAGTTCTATCAATGAAGGATTTTTCTTGTAACCCTACAGCGATTTAGTATCATGTCCAAACCAGACCATCACAAATACAAGTATAACCTGTCACTGGTCATGTGACAATGGCAGAAAATACCACGTGTACCTACACGGATGGAACCAACTCGGAAATGTCTCGAGAATATACAACATCAGTCCGGAGAACTATGGTATCTAGCTTTTATCTGCAATATACATACATGTATATCAATTTTTTTTTAAAAAGTTTATCAAAATTCAATAAGAATTCACCACAATGATTACTTTATATTTCAGCAATGCTTTCAATTCAAAAGTTGGAACTCGTGCCATCCAACATATCAATGTCAATTGTCGTGCAGCTGCATGAACATGTATTTCTGTCTAGAGTTGGAAAAATTGTTTTTCAAATTGAAAAACGTGTACTACAAGACTCAGAATCTGAGGTAATTCTAACTAGTGTGTTCGATTATACGTAATTGTAACGAATCTGCGAATTTGACTATGACATGTATGATGTGCATGTCTGAAATTGATTCAATGGTTACAATTATTATTATGTTTTAGTTAACAAATCTGACACAGTGGATAACTGAAATACAGGAGAATTACGAGAAGAATATCACAGATTTGAAACCTTTCACTCGTTACGAAATTTGTATACAAACTAGGTTATTTGAAGCCATTGGTCATTGGAGTAAACCTGTCTGTGGCAAAACAGTCACAAAAGAAGGAGGTATCATGCTGCGTGATGCTTTTGTGATTCAATGTTTATAATATCATGCCTCAAGTAAATCAAGTTGCAAATTTTATTATGTGCATTGTAATTAAAACATGCCATGTTTAAAAATGGCTGATCTGTTATCTTTTTTAATTTTGAAGATATATATATATATATATATATATATATATATATATATATATATATATATATATATATATATATATAATCATTCTACCTCATCATGTCATATATAGTACAATAATTTATGGATTGGTCTTGTCTGATTTAATTTTTGTTTTACAGTTCCAACACATGCACCAGAAACAACAAAATGGGCATATTACTTTGAAAAAGGAAGTGGTCGAGTTCGATTGTACTTGAAGGTTATAATACAATCACGCATACACCTAGTTGAAGTCATTATTTTTAACACACATGTCAATTAAAGAATCAGTTATGCATTTCGATGTCATGCTTACACATAATAATGAGAGAAAGAAATGTCTAATTAGCATCCTGCACTTTTTGCAACTCATTTTTTTGCAAAAGCGTTGTTTTTTAAAGGGTGGCAATAGCTCTCGAGGCTTTGACCTAATAGAATTACTACACGAAGAATTTTTTTTTTTGGCAAATAAAACCATTACAAGTAGTTAACAGGAAAGTTAATAATTACTTATATGATCACAAATTTACAATCGCATACCTTTAAGTTTGAGCTTATTTATATAAAAAATAAAGTATGGTTTTAATTTTGTAGAAAATTCCTTCCAAATATAACACTTCAAAAAATTATAATTACTCCATCCTGCGACTCGAAAGTGGTCAGGTGACCTCCAACATCACGACAAAACCGAACACAACAATAGAAATTCCATCCAACTGGATTAAAGGCAATGATAAAATTACCGTAAGAATTAGGTCGTGTAATGACATAGGATGCAGTGACCCTTCCACATACGTTAACATTCACAAAGCGAAAGCAGGTAAATTGCACCAGGTAACACAAGATATTTCATATGTGTAACGCAATTTGTCATTGTTATAGGGTACATTTACAAAATACATATTTATGCTGCGAAAACGAAAAAAAATATGGCGGAATATGTACTTTAAGATAAGAAGAAAGTACTAGGATGGCATACAAACTAATCTTGTAGCTATAAAAAGGCCCATCGAAGGCATTGTTCCCATTGTTAATACGACCTACAGTCGCCTTCAACTGTTACAGCCTGGCAATTCTTGGTACAAAATAAGGCAACGATTCATTATATCTTTTGCATAAAATTCACTTGTACTTTTGGCGTCAAACAACCCAAAAGAAGATTTTTAAATAACACATTAACCTTGAAAACATTGATGAATTAACCATGCATGTTGACCACACGCCACAATACATACTTTTGTTAAGTTTTGTTATTGCATAATAATTCAGATTTATACGTATATCTGTAGCATTTATTGATGGAAAACAAAAAAGTAATTAAAATATTTACCATAAGGCAATGATAAGTATTCTAGTTAAGAAAAACAATGGTGTCTAGTTAAACACGATTGATTTATATTTAAGGGGAAACTGAAGATTATGAAAGGGTTCATTAGAAAGATAATATGAAAAAACAAATATGGCTGAGGAAACGGATACTGAAAAAAGTATAAAATGTATTAAAATTTTGTCAGATTTCCGTCCTGTCGGTGTAACAGCTATGAAGGACGATGGCAGCGATCTGTATACGGTATCTTGTGATATAAGAGAGAAATTCCGAAGGAACATCCGGTACACCATTTTCTACTACTGTCGTGGTTTTCGGGAAAGCCATACCTGTCTTGTACGTCTTTGTCATATAAAATGGTAGACTGGTAAAATTGGAGTAATATTGATTCTACTTTGATTAGTTCGGGAAAAAGGTGATTCAAAACCCTGAAATGAAATAACTATTTGCACATATGTAATGCACAAAATTCTTTGAAAAGACAAAATTCATAAATGTAAAAGAAGCAATATAATGCTAAATTTCTATGTTTGACAATGCTAGGAACGATACCCCCAATAATTTTTAATTAAACACTCTTCCAGAGTGACTTCAACTGGATAAATAAAAATGGTGCCATACTGCGACATACAATTAAAGTTCCAAGTGGCCAATATGGAGATTGGATGTTTGGGGTATCATTAGTTGCCAATGATTACACTTCTGGTGGCATTTCATTTGCGAGCTGTTATTCCTCTGTCAACATCAGTTGTGAAGATGCCAGTATTCAAAAGGTAGAAAGCTTGACAGGTAAGTTAAAATGTCATTAGCATCGATAATACACATGTACTAATATGAAAGGGATCTTTATACCGCCAGTAACATTATGACGTTCGGAATCGACACTCATTGTAAGTCACACTCATGTGATCTTTGGAAATAACGCCAACAACCCCTTAAGCTTGATAGAAATCGCCAAAATCAACATTGAAAATCGCTGTAAACTTATCAAAAATAGTGTCATACACATTTGTCTTAGCGGTTGAATTTATCCAATCTGACTAAAATGGTTGTGAACTGATAAAAACAGACTTATAAAGCAACTCTAGTTACATGTATCTGTCAAAGTTCGAAGCCTGCCTGAATATCGTAAAATTTCAGACAGTATCAATCAATCAATCAGTCAATCAAAGTGCAATCACTTTAATTGCAATAAAAACTCCTTTTTTGTTATTTTCTTTTGTGATTTCAGTTATTCCAGATGGAGTCCTCACTGTTGTGCTGATTATGGTCTCGTTGGCGTTGATATTCGTTCTGCTTTTGTTGCTAAGGTAACCAAAGCCAACTTCGCCTTCATCATTGTTATTTGTGTGACAGTTAATTTTGATTGGTACTATTTAAAGGATAGGCTTACTCACCCACAGTTATTTGAATGATTCGTATAATTGTAGATACTCGAGGCAAAGATACTGTCAAGAATTCAGAATCGATCTACCTGAAATTTTCCAAAAGGTACTAATGTGAGCTATTGGAATTTTTTTTTTCGCTATTCCTTCTTAAAAGAAATTGACCATTCTTTTTGACATATTTTCATCTCATAATGACTATCAATAAGAATTTATAATTACAGAAATACAAGAACGAAGAAATTAACAGCACATTGGAAGATGACTTCAAATTACAGATGTACACTAGCTACAGCAGTGATAATGATACAGTAGACATGGTCAACAAATGCCAAGAGGAACGAGTAAATGTCAAAGGTCGCCATGATTTTGTTGATGGTCACCATGCAGAGAAAAGCAATGCTGATTACGAAATAATTTCCAGTAAAAGTTCTGATGCAGTCCACAAAATTGAGGAACATCCTTCACTGAAATCAAGCTTAACCGATTCTGGTGTAACGGATTTAAACAACGTGGTTCACACTCCAACAAGTAATTCCAGCTTCGAACAAATTATCAAGATGGCTTCACAAGAAAGCTTAAATTCAGTCTGGGCACAGAACAGTGACCCAAGCGATGAGGTCATTGAAATGAAATTAGACCTTCAAAAAGAAGTTGTCGAAGTTGATAAATTTTCAGATAAAGGTGAAACTGATTCGCTGCTACCGTCTGGGTATGCAAAAATTACATATATGAAGTGTTATGCTTGTGATGATAACATGAAACATTGTGAGGAAAATGAATGCAGAGAACTTGATAGAACGGCAATAAATTTAACCCCAGTTTGCAGTGCCAATGGATGTAGATGTCCTGAAAAAGTTGAGTTGATTTCTGAATATGTGACTTGATTAATGATACATTTACAGTCCAAAAATGTTGAATAAGAGAAAGAAGTAAATATACAATGCACTGTTTTCAAAACTGATATTGATAGTTTGAAGTAAAAATGCAAACTTGCTACAGATTACTTATATGGGAATGTATTTGGTAATATTGTTTTGAAGTGGCGAAATGAAAATGCCGATTTAATTTACCTGTTTGTGATAATGAAGTGCAGAGTAACGAGTTGAAATGTAAAATTATGTGTTCATATTAAAAATAGTGAATGAATTTTTATAATGAATTTATGCACCACAATTATGCAGAAGTTAATTCGGAGATGTTCGCCTAGATATGACAATTTAAATCAACAGTTTTTTATCAAAGTTAGGTACTTCTCGTACATCGTATTTTTTTTTGGAATAAAAATTAAGTATCCTTTTATAGCATCGCCAATTTGGCATTTAGATACAATGAAATATACTCGAAGTCAACACATTTTTTTTGGTGATATGCCATTTACAGGATTTAATTAGAAGAACATTTTTATGTCAGTTTGTGAAGCAGTTCTCGTAAATTTGTGTTATGTTTGTTCTTTTTGTATATGCTGGTTTTTGTATACTTGTCTCGTGTGGTAGATTTATTTTTATAACCAAACATTTATTTTCAGTTTAAGATTACAATGCAATAACACTTTAAATAGTCATGTATAAACATTTTAAAAATGCTTGTAGATGATGATTAGTGTACTGGTACGTATTTGCAGAATATATTTGTCCTGAAATAAACCAAAAAACTAATAGTTTCTTAAAATAATCAATTTGTAGGTTAATTTGTCATTACAATTTACTGAGGATAACTGGGACGACACGTCAAATTCACAAAAATGAGCTTTAAATAATTTATAGTTGAAAAAAAAACTAGGTTCTAAACTGTAGTTTATGTATGATGTTAATTATAGTTTTTGTTGATAAATTATCATTAACATTAACATAGTTAGGAGTTTTAAATAATAGTTTCACGATAAACTATATTTATTAGATAAACTAGGTTTTACTTTTGTACTTTTTAGCTCACCTGAGCTGAAAGCTCAAGTGAGCTTTTCTGATCACATTTTGTCCGGCGTCCGTCTGTCTGTCTGTCTGTAAACTTTTTTACATTTTCGACTTCTTCTCAAGAACCACTGGGCCAATTTAAACCAAACTTTCCACAAAGTATCCTTGGGTAAAGGGGATTCAAGTTTGTTCAAATGAAGGGCCACGCCCTCTTTCAAGGGGAGATAATTAGGAATTAGTGAAAAAATAATGGCAACATTTAAAAATCTTCTTCTCAAGAACCATAGGGCCAGGAAAGATGAAACTCATGTGGAAGCATCCTCAGGTAGTGTACATTCAAGTTTGTTCAAATCATGACCCCCGGGGGTAGGGAGGGGCCACAATGGAGGATCAAAGTTTTACATAGAAATATATAGGAAAAATCTTTAAAAATCTTCTTCTCAAGAACAGCAAAGCCATGATGAGTCATATTTATATGGAAGCATCCTCAGGTAGTGTAGATTCAAGTTTGTACAAACCATGACCCCCGGGGGTAGGGCGGGGCCACAATGGAGGATCAAAGTTTTACATAGAAATATATAGGAAAAATCTTTAAAAATCTTCTTCTCAAGAAAAGCAAAGTCATGATAAGTCATATTTATATGGAAGCATCTTCAGGTAGTGTAGATTCAAGTTTGTTAAAATCATGACCCCAGGGGGTAGGGAGGGGCCACAATGGAGGATCAAAGTTTTACATAGTAATATATAGGAAGAATCTTTAAAAATTTTCTTCTCAAGAACAGCAAAGCCATGATGAGTCATACTTATATGGAAGCATCCTCAGGTAGTGTAGATTCAAGTTTGTTCAAATCATGACCACCGGAGGTAGGGCAGGGCCGCAATGGACTATCAAAATTGTACATAGAAATATATAGGAAAAATCCTCTTCTCAGGAACAGCAAAGCCCAGATTGTTCATATTTATATGGAAGCATCCACAGGTAGTGTAGATTCAAATTATTCAAATCATGACCCTCGGGGGTAGGGCGGGGCCACAATGGAGGATCAAAGTTTTACATAGAAATGTATAGGAAAAATTTTAAAAATCTTCTTCTCAGGAACAGCAAAGCCCTGATTGATCATATTTATGTGGAAGCATCCTCAGGTAGTGTAGATTCTATTTTGTTCAAATCATGACCCCCGTGGGTAGGATGGGGCCACAATGGAGGATCAAAGTCTTAAATAGAAATATATAGGAAAATTTCTTCTGAAGAAGAACTGCAAACCATGGTTAGTCATTTTGATATGGAAGCATCCTCAGGTAGTGTAGATTCAATTTTGTTCAAATGATGACCCCTAGGGGTTGGATGGGGCCCATTGGGGGATCGAAGGTTTTACATACGAACATATAGAAAAAATATTTCTTCTCAAGAACAGGAAAGCTATGTTTAGTCATATTGATATGGAAGCATCCTCAGGTAGTGTAGATTCAAGTTCAAATGATGACCTCTGGGATAGGGAGGAGCCACAATGGAGGATCAAATTTTTACAAAGGAATATATGGGAAAATTTTTTTTAAAATCTTCTCAAGTACAATAAAGCCATTTGTTATATTGACATGGAAGCATCATCAGGTAGTTTAAAATTCAAGCCCCCCCCCTCCCCCCGGTAATCTTTTCAATGCTGAACTAATTTGTGCTTTTGCCTAGCAAATGTGCTCAGGTGAGCGATGTGGCCCATGGGCCTCTTGTTATAGTTTTTGGTCGTAAACTTTAGTTAAAAAATTTATTTATACTCATAAATTATAATTAACAGACGTTAACTATAACTTACTGTTGTAAACTATAGTTTTGAGAGAGAATCTGTAATGACCATTTGTACATCAAAGTTTACCGTCGTAAACGATAGCTAAGTTCTACTAGATATTATGATATCTATTATGAAACTAAAAAAAATCGTCAACGATGATATTTAATTTATAATTTGAAAATGATCGGTTGTTTCAAGATCAAATACTAACGTTTGCCATACCTAGAATTTATGAACAAAACATAGTTAGTTTATATATATATATATATATATATATATATATATATATATATATATATATATATATATATATATATATATATATATATATATATATGTATGTATGTATGTATGTATGTATGTATGTATGTATGCATGTATGTAAACTACAGCTTTTTTAAAGACATGTTTTTAAAATGCAACCCCAGATTAAAGACAGCACGATGAAAATATTTAACTTCTAATATAAAAAAAACCAAAGCTACAATATCCAACGAGTCTTTAGGTTCAAATAACCTCCAACAATCAACATCTCGGTAGAACACAAAAACAGAGATACCATCTAAAGGAGCAACAACAGTGGTACTGTATTTATAATTACATTAAGAAGCATTGCCGTGTGAAAATGGCATGTCTATTACATAGTAACGCAGACAAACAAATAGCCAGATTGTACCGTGAAACTTGAAACGCACTATTGTGATGCTATGAGGCATTTCTGCACAACGTAAGTTCATATTGACAAAATGAAAAATAGGGCGGATTAATTTTAAGGAGGGCAGTGTGTATAAAATGCCTCATGATTACAGCATATATTATTTGTTTATTAAAAAAAGCTTTGAAAGGATTGACTGCTTTGTACATTAAACTAACTACCCCCTCCCAACACACACTCTTAGAAATGTTTGAGACTGATACAAAATGGTACTAAATAATAACTGTTTAAAAATACCATCAATAATACATCGTTTATACTTTTGTTTTTAAAATAAAACTGTCGAAAAATGCCCAGACATTGAATATATGAATGCATACAAAGCTTTTGGTTATTAATGAGGAAGACCTAAAAAAGACCCAAAAACTATATCCTGCAATAATGACCTTTTTTCCTCATGAAAATGGCTTTCTCTCTAATAACGACTTTCCTAATTCGTAATAATGGCTATTTATCTCGTTATGAAGACTTTTTAATCTCATGATTAAGTCTTTTTGAGTTCTCCCCCTTTTTTTTCTCTTTTGAGACCAGGCTTTTGTACCTTCTTTATAAAAAATTATATATTTTAGCAAAGAATACTCAAGATCTACTTTATAAATTCCTCGTGTACAACTTTAATCCCAACAAGTCAAATTAAACCTGATTTTTCCTTTTTTCTAAGACAAAATCTTAAAGCATATTCACACAATCACACACTGTATATTTTTAGCAAAGAATATTCTAAGTCTACTTCATAAATTCTTCCTGTTCAACTTTACACCTACATGTAGCGAGTCAAATTAAACTGATTTTTCCTTTTTCCAAGGCAGAATCTTTTCAATATATGCATATGGAATATTCACTCACAATCACATATTTAAAAAAATCATGACACAGGGCCTCGGTTTTTAAGGTTTCATCCAAAAGACCCGCAACTTTCACTTAAAAGTACCGAGACCGAGCGCTTGGCGAAGGAATAGTTGCTACCTATTTTTTATACTTAGTTCTGTCGCTGCCAGGCTTGACCAGCGACCTTCCGATCACTCCTGCATTTGAAAGCATTGCCTGGTAATTCATATATTGTATGTTTTGATAAAATTTCCAAAATAAAAATCAAGTGTTTAGAAAACCTTTAATGATTAACATGAATCTAGAATGATAAGCTGAAAAGCACTTATGCGAGTCACGCAGTCCTTGATAGGCGGGGGAAAGGGGTGCAGTCTTTTGTTGTTAAATATAACATGGGCATTTTCATTCAAAGGCCATAAACCCTCACTTGATTAGAGAGGAACAACTTGTTTATTTCAGTACGGGTAGTTTTTCTTTTTTGGTCAAAATTTTAGGCACTTTTTTGCCTCTCAATTATCCCCCCTTCCGCACTCCGATTTTGAAAAACGATAACACATTCCTAACATGTCACACACCCTTTAGTTTCAGCTGATTGTTTAAAAAAATCAGTTTATTGGCAAATAAACAGACTTTTATCATATCAAATTTAAACGTATTATGCAATTAATGCATGTTTTAAAAGATGAGTGCAACAGATTTGCCTGATATGTTATCAGTATGGATTTGAACATATGATTCTCAGGATGTAGCTATCTTAGTGGTGATGTTAAGGTTGGAATCATGCTATCAAAATGTGATAAAGTCAACAGCATAAATGATGAATCTTTAAAATATGCAACATTAGTGTTTCACGCAACCTTGTTAAATAATTCCAGCAATAAATGACACTGGGGGAAAAATGGAGAAAAAGTCAAGGCATTACCTATTTACATCGTAAATTTTTGCTTTGCATATGGATTGTCCTTTAAGGAGTCAAACTCTAAAATGCATTAAAAATAAGACTACAGAGGCCAAAATACACAATGGAATCGTCTTTCTACAGAAACGAAACGATTACATAATTGTTTGTAATACTACTGTATGAACTTTTAATAAGTAATTTAAAACAATTAATGAGGAAATAAGGCATATTTTGACGAAGCTTAATGACTAAAGAATTCCATGTTGCGAAAATGAAGTTGCCATTTATGTCTCTTAGCACATCAAATTACTAGTATTAATCCAAGAAAAGATTTTTAAAATACTGACATTCTGTCCATTTAGATAC